TCATTTTTTTAGCAAAAATGGTCCAAATCTGAAAAGTTTTCCATATCCGCGGTCATCAAAAATACTGATTTTTGGCCAAAAAATCCAACTTCACGAAACTAAGTCAAATGTTCACACAAGGTGAGTAGATGCAAGAAATGAATCCCCAAGAGATTTCAGCTCACTACAGTCAGGATCCGGACAGAAAACAAACATTTCAGTTTTTTACCAAAAATGGTCCAAATCTGAAAAGTTTTCTATATCCGCGGTCATCAAAAAAAATGATTTTTGGCCAAAAAATCCAACTTCACGAAACTAAGTCAAATGATCACACAGGGTGGGTAGATGCCAGCAATGAATCCCCAAGAGATTTCAGCTCACTACAGTCAAGATCTGGACAGAAAACAAACATTTCATTTTTTTAGCAAAAATGGTCCAAATCTGAAAAGTTTTCCATATCCGCGGTCATCAAAAATACTGATTTTTGGCCAAAAAATCCAACTTCACGAAACTTAGTCAAATGTTCACACAAGGTGAGTAGATGCCAGAAATGAATCCCCAAGAGATTTCAGCTAACTACAGTCAGGATCCGGACAGAAAACAAACATTTCAGTTTTTGAGCAAAAATGGTCCAAATCTGAAAAGTTTTCCATATCCGCGGTCATCAAAAAAAATGATTTTTGGCCAAAAAATCCAAATTCACGAAACTAAGTTAAAAGTTCACACAAGGTGAGTAGATGCCAAAAATGAATCCCCAAGAGATTTCAGCTCACTACAGTCAGGATCCGGACAGAAAACAAACATTTCATTTTTTTAGCAAAAATGGTCCAAATCTGAAAAGTTTTCCATATCCGCGGTCATCAAAAATACTAACTTTTGGCCAAAAAATCCAACTTCACGAAACTAAGTCAAATGATCACACAGGGTGGGTAGATGCCAGCAATGAATCCCCAAGAGATTTCAGCTCACTACAGTCAGGATCAGGGCAGAAAACAAACATTTCAGTTTTTTGGCAAAAATGGTCCAAATCTGAAAAGTTTTCCATATCCGCGGTCATCAAAAATACTGATTTTTGGCCAAAAAATCCAACTTCACGAAACTAAGTCAAATGTTCACACAGGGTGAGTAGATGCCAGAAACGAATCCCCAAGAGATTTCAGCTCACTACATTCAGGATCAGGGCAGAAAACAAACATTTCAGTTTTTGAGCAAAAATGGTCCAAATCTGAAAAGTTTTCCATATCCGTGGTCATCAAAAAAAACTGATTTTTGGCCAAAAAATCCAGCTTCACGAAACTAAGTCTAATGTTCACACAAGGTGAGTAGATGCCAGAAATGAATCCCCAAGAGATTTCAGCTCACTACAGTCAGGATCCGGGCAGAAAACAAACATTTCAGTTTTTTAGCAAAAATGGTCCAAATCTAAAAAAGTTTTCCATATCCGCGGTCATCAAAAATACTGATTTTTGGCCAAAAAATCCAACTTCACGAAACTAAGTCATATGTTCACACAGGGTGAGTAGATGCCAGAAACGAATCCCCAAGAGATTTCAGCTCACTACATTCAGGATCAGGGCAGAAAACAAACATTTCAGTTTTTGAGCAAAAATGGTCCAAATCTGAAAAGTTTTCCATATCCGCGGTCATCAAAAAAACCTGATTTTTGGCCAAAAAATCCAGCTTCACGAAACTAAGTCAAATGTTCACACAAGGTGAGTAGATGCCAGAAATGAATCCCCAAGAGATTTCAGCTCACTACAGTCAGGATCCGGACAGAAAACAAACATTTCATTTTTTTAGCAAAAATGGTCCAAATCTGAAAAGTTTTCCATATCCGCGGTCATCAAAAAAACCCTGATTTTTGGCCAAAAAATCCAACTTCACGAAACTAAGTCAAATGTTCACACAAGGTGAGTAGATGCCAGAAATGAATCCCCAAGAGATTTCAGCTCACTACAGTCAGGATCAGGGCAGAAAACAAACATTTCAGTTTTTTGGCAAAAATGGTCCAAATCTGAAAAGTTTTCCATATACGCGGTCATCAAAAAAACTGATTTTTGGCCAAAAACTCCAACTTCTCAAAACTCAGTCAAATGTTCACACAAGGTGAGTAGATGCCAGAAATGAATCCCCAAGAGATTTCAGCTCACTACAGTCAGCATCGAGAGGACTCGCAGGATCTGTTGTTCTCCTTTTGTGTGTCGGTCCTCGGGGGTTATGTAGAACACGTACATGCGTAAATGTATGCACATACACACGCTGTACGTATCTACGTAAGAGAGAGGACCACTGGGAGGGCCCCCGGGCTCGCAATCGCTTAACAAAGTTTAAAAAATCTAAGTTGGACCAAGCCTCACCCATCCACCGAGTTTGAATGCCGTGCGATCTGCCACTTTCGAAACATCCAAACATCAAAACAAACATCCAAAACAGAGACTTGTGTATCATTATATAGATAATATAGAGGATTTATAATGTGCCAGTTCGGCATTCATTAGATGCTCAAGGCGCACAGAAACAAAACAAATACAACAAAAGCAGGAGGTAGCAATATGAAGGTACACATAAATGAAAATTATATGAATATGAAACAGCAATACGAGATGAGAATCAAATCAATGGACAAGCTAATGAAATTTTGCTTAAAATAAGCCGGTCTTTACTACTGAGAATAAAGATGTTAAAGGTAAAGCTGATGCTATGAACGCTTTTTTGCTAGTGCGTGGGACAAATTTAATCCTCCAGACTACTCCAAGTTGCCTGCTTTTTTGCCTGCCAGTGAACCTGTGCCTCATTTAAAGCTACCAAAGTTAGTGGCCTAGATAAATTCCTCCTAGACTAGCCAAGGAATTTGACTGTAAATTAAATGTGTCTCTTACGGATATTATAAATAGCGCCTTTAAAGGAAATATACAACATTTGCAAAATTCAAAAACATAACTGCCGGATTATTATAAAAATACCTTACTGGACTGTTAGTGAATGACAGTCTTAAGCATCCTGTAAAATCACGGCACCTGGTGTGCTGGTATTTTCAAGAAATGTGGTATTTTTTTATCAATTTCCATCACTAGTCGGCCAACCAGCATTGGAAAAAACAAGCTTTTTCCAAATACTGCCCCCAATTTACCACATTTAGTTTGCAATCGATTACACATCTATGAATGGGTTCAAGCCTTCTAGACTGGTTCCCTTACCTTACAATTCCAACATCTATAAATTGCTCCATATCAATTTAAGTGGGGTCAGGGAACCAGACTACACGAACATGATTGTTTTTTTTGGTTTTTCCAGCATCTACGAACACACAACTTCAAACAAGTCAGAGTAACAATATTTGCTATATCCCAAAATCCATTCATTCCTGAAAATTACAGCAAAATCAAATGTTGTATATTCCCTTTAATGATGGGAAAGTTCCAGGAGCAATGGAAAAAAGCAATTTTTTTCAATTCCTAAACAACCTCCTACTATCATTGATAAACTCAAGCCAATGTCACTTACCTCAGTTTTCGGTAAAAAATGGAGGGTTTCATCTCTAGGGTAAGATCGCATATAAAAGATGACGTAGATATCCGTCAATTTGGAAACATAAAAGGCGTATTTACTACGCATTATTTAATTAATCTCGTCCATTATATTTTCCCGGGTGCCGAAAATAGTTGCAATGTGGGAATAGCGGTTCTGACGGATATCTCTCAGGTGGGACTCAAACCCACGACCTCCTGCTTTCTAGTGCAGACATCTTACCACCGAGCTAACGGGACCGGTTGGCTGGTTCGAATCTGATGTACATAGCAGCAGGTACTGCATTAATTATTATAAGATGGAATTTTGTGTCGGGGTGATGTAAATCAATATTGTGTTTTGCCCTTCACCGACGTATAAACACTCCATACTCAGTGTGTAACCTCCCGAGTGAAAGTTGGAAAAAATCACTCGGGTTGGACTCGAACCCCACGACCTCCTGCTTTCTAGTGCAGACATCTTACCACTCGACCACCGAGCTAGTGGGATCGGTTGGCTAGTTCGAATCTGATGAACATAGCAGTGGGTACCGCATTTAACTATTCATAAGATGGAATTTGTGTCGGGCTAATGTAAATCAATATTGTGCTTTGCCCTTCACTGACGTATAAACACTGTATACTCGGTGTGTTACCTCCCGAGTGAAAGATGGAAAAAAATCACTCAGGTGGGACTCCAACCCACGACCTCCTGCTTTCTAGTACAGACGTCTTACCACTCGACCACCAAGCTTGCGGTCACAACATTTCCCAAATTCCTGCCAGAACCACTCGTTTTATAAAAGTCTTATTCCCCTTTTTATTGATATGTGAAATACATGTAGGTAAATTTTCATCCTTTTAAACCTTGTTTAAACTTGAAGAACATTATTACATTTTTAAGAATGTGTCTTTTTTTGTGATAATTTGGCGTGTATCTTCTGTGCATAATTCTTGTAATTTACTTTATTACTGTACTGATGTGTTTTATATTAATATTTTGTATTGCAACATAAATGTAATTTGGCCGTTAGGCATCGCGATGTATGAAATAAAATCCAATACAGTCCAAACCAGTTTGACAACCTCCACGGATATCTCACAAGAAACAATGAACATAGAGTTACAAATTACGCTAAAACAGACTATGCTCACAAAAGCACAATACAGGGTGAGTAAAAAACACGAAACCCAAATGTCGGGACCATTATTTTAGTCAAGTTCTGCATGTAGCACTTTCAAAATCTAGGATATGAAAGCCCAATTCATAAGCTTTCTTTTAGTACAAGAATCATTCAAATCACACATGCACTTTTCAAGTTACGGAATTTTAAACACAATGACCGTTTTAAAGTTCTGTCCATGGATCACAAGAATGCAAGTGTTCTTTCAGCAAAACAAATACAAATCACTGGGGATGTGTGTGAATTGTTTTCGTTTTGCCGAAAGAATGCCCACCTTTACTTTGATCCGTGGACAGAACTTTAAAACTGTGGTTGTGCTTAAAATTCCGTAACTTGAAAAGCACTTGGTTATGAGATGTCAGAATCATTTGCTCCTTATCCTTTTGACACATGAAGAATGGAAACAAGAAGGGGAAAAAAGGAGCAATATGGACAGAAAGAAAATGAAAGTGACCAAGCCGCTTACCTCTTTGACGAGATCTTGCTTCTCCACAGCATTATAATCCTTCTCCAGCCGTTTCAAGAACTTCACAAACAGATCTTTGACACTGAAAATACGCACATAAAGAACACGATTCAGCATAAAAGCATCTAGCAAAAGGAAGGTTCATAATGAATGGAAATGCAAAGGGAATTTGACATCAGGATACTTTTACTGCCCAATTCACCCGAGTTGAAATGTGTTCAATTTCTGCGAATTTGCAGTGCAAACATTTGCTGCGGTGACATAAATTCACGTTTGCATTCGTTTCTGAGTATGAATTGGTCCTAAGGCAAAGTTATCAAATTCATCATATGTTATAGCATCAGTACAACTGGGACACCGCAATTGACCTATCGCCGTTTGCGAGTTAGCCGCGCCCCTTAGACAACCCTATGGAGTTTTTGTACCTTAAGTTTTGTTTGTCTCAGATTATGCGCGTCCCGCGTCCATTTGTATATCATATAATTGGACAATATTTTACAAGCTGTGTTGACGCGATTCTAACACGATTCTTTTGCGACAGGTCAATTTGCAGTTAAGCCATGCCATGTATAATCTTAAGGTAGGAAATGAAGATTTGATATTTTTGAAGAGTACAAATGATTTTGAAGCATCTTCACGTGGAGGAACAAATGACAGCATTGGTTTAAATGAAACATGGGTATGTGATCACTGTATACACATGAGACCCCCTTCAATTATGAAAGTGGTGTGCACACTACAACAGATTATCTGAATAGCTAGCACAATGCTTTCGCCATTGAAGTGGGCCTTCCTGACAGAATTGATGGCGTGACCTGTTCTGTCAAAATCAGATTTTTCTGGGCATAAGGTCAAAAATTAGATTTTTGCATACTGTTAAAATATGTACATTTTCCTTTTAATAGGTGGTTTAATTTTTGAAACCTGTAATTCCTGGGCAAAGTTATTCTATTTTGAAGTTCATTGTGTCAAAAAGAAGAAAACAGAGAAATGGCCACGAACGTCACAAAACAGACATTTCTTTAACTGATATACCTCAACAAATCATCAAAAATACTATATTTAGAGTTCAAATTAGGGTTTCAAACTTTTATAGTATATTTAAGACATGTTCAGGATTACAAATATGCAAAAAATAGAAAATTGAAAAAAATCATCCCACAGCGTTTTTTGGGCCCTATCTCAACTTCAACCTCTGCCCAGAAGCGTCTGCTTTTGACAGAACAGGTCACAATTGGTCTATAGGGTGGCAATAACATGGAATCAAAGTGCCCGTCAATAGAAGAAATGTTTCGCAGCACTTCCTTCGAGGGCATAGTTCCGTGGAAAGTCTAAGACATACCTTTGGGCAGCAAGCAGGGAATCAATGAACTCATCCAGCTCAAAGAAGCTGCCAAAACTACACAATTCCTGAAAAACAAACAAAAAATACCTCAAGTTTACCATAACTAAAACTGAGGTAACAGCTTCACATTGAGTTCATTGACAAGATGCCCTTGATTCTCAGTGTGCTGATAGTGTAATCATGCTGCTTAGAGGACCTGTTTACTGAAGACTAGATATTCAATGAAATCATAGTTCAGTCGGAAAAGGGGGGTATCGTGCACCCTCGGAAATCAATTTCTAATCAACGTTTCTAGGTCAGAAAAAATGCGTAGAAAACGATTTGCTATGTTAAAAAATTCAAAAAATGTCCCACGTATTGTTTTTATGCAAATTAGTGCCGCCATTACCGAAAAATCTATTTGTAACTATATCTCAGCCAATATTGCATATAACGGAACGAACTAGGTGTCTAAACCAATGTTTTCAAGGTCAGAGATCACAATAAAACTATTCTGGAAGTGACCACATGTGTCTGTGGCATAGGAATATGCAAATTAGTGCCGCAAATACCGGAAAGTCATGTTTTTGGCATATCTCGGCCAATATAGCACATAACTACACAAGTAAGGTGTCTAAACCCATGTTTTGAAGGTCAAGTATCATTAGAAGACCATTCACGAAGTAACTATGTGTGTCTTTGGCATGAAAATATGTAAATTATAAAGTGTCGGTTTATCATATATTTGATTTTTAGCCAATATCTCGGCCAATATTGCACATAACTACACAAGTCAGGTTTCTAAACCCATGTTTTGAGAGTCAGGTATCATTAGAAGACCATTCACGAAGTAACTATGTGTGTCCTTGGCAGGTAAATATGTAAATTCTAAAGTGTCGATTTATCAGAAATTTGATTTTTAGCCAATATCTCGGCCAATATTGCAGCTAATGTTGACAGAAGGGTTTTTGATAAGCAATAATGATCAAAGTTTATTTTAAACCATCATATTCAAAATAAACTGTAATATTGGCTGAAATTGAATATAATTTGGCTGAAAATCATTTTTTTGATAAACCGGCAATTTAGAATTTACATATTTTCATGCCAAAAACACACATAGTTACTTCGTGAATGGTCTTCTAATGATACCTAACCCTCAAAACATGGGTTTAGACACCTTACTTGTGTAGTTAAGTGCAATATTGGCCGAGATATTGGCTAAAAATCAAATATCTGATAAACCGACACTTTATAATTTACATATTTTCATGCCAAAGACACACATAGTTACTTTTTGAATGGTCTTCTAATGATACTTGACCCTCAAAACATGGGTTTAGACACCTTACTGGTGTAGTTATGTGCTATATTGGCCGAGATATGCCAAAAACATGACTTTCCGGTATTAGCGGCACTAATTTGCATATTCCTATGCCACAGACACATGTGGTCACTTCCAGAATAGTTTTATTGTGATCTCTGACCTTGAAAACATGGGTTTAGACACCTAGTTCGTTCAGTTATCTGCAATATTGGCTGAGATATAATTAAAAATAGATTTTTCGGTAATGGCGGCACTAATTTGCATAAAAACAATACGTGGGACATTTTTTGAATTTTTTAACATAGCAAATCGTTTTCTACGCATTTTTTCTGACCTAGAAACGTTGATTAGAAATTGATTTCCGAGGGTGCACGATACCCCCCTTTTCCGACTAAACTATCATGCTTTTAACATAATCACATCTTTTTCAAGATGTGATAACTGGTTTACCTTCAGAAGAATCACGAGAGACAGAAGATTCTCAGTCACGCCTCTTGGATTAAAGCCTCTTGGATACCTAGTTTACTAGTTTACTATTTTACTTAACTAGTTAATTAACAACCGTTTACAGTAGCTGGTTTACTTTCAGCACAATCATGACAAACAGTGGTTTGCCTGTCTGCTTACAGGAGATTATGCAAAAAAGCTGTTTCGACAGACCCCCTGGGTGCTTAGTTCACTAGTTTACTACTTCACTATATTATTTAACTAGTTTAATTAACTTTACAAGTTTACAATAACTGCTTTACCTTCAACAGAATCATGAGAAACAATACATGGATTGTCAGTCTACTTGCAACTTATGACACCGTCACGCTACTTGGATTAAACCTCTTCGATCCCTAGCTAACTAGTTTTCTATCTAAACTTGACTAGTTTTGTTTAGTTTTAAAAACTGTTTACAATAACTGGTTTACCTTGAGCAGAATCATGAGAAACAGTGGATTCTCTGTCTGTTTGCAGAAATGACACAGTCACGTTACTTGGATTAAACCTCTTGGATCCCTAGCTAACTAGTTTACTATTTTAACTTAACTAGTTTTGTTTAATTTAAAACCTGTTTACAACAACTGGTTTACCTTGAGCAGAATCATGAGAAACAGTGGATTCTCGGTCTGCTTGCAGCTGATGACGCGGTCATGCTGCTTAGAGGACAACTCTTTGCCTCGGACAATCAACATGGCCTTAGTGATCTCGGACTGGAGGTCTTCGCTCAGAGGAATCATTGGGAGCTGGTCAAACTCTCGCTGCTGGACAAGCTCCTGGATGTTGGCCGTGTCAGAGGTCAGAGTGGAGAGGACGAGGTGGGTGGTGTCAGGCGGAAACTTGGGCAGCCAGTACAAGGTCTGGAGGCAAACAGGTCAACATTTCTTATTCATTAATTTGGTTTGAGGAAACCTATAGAATTTGGCAGCTACTCAAAAGCTATCCACTTACTGGAAGGGGTCCGTGGGATACAAACAGGGCCTGGGCCAATTTCAGAGGGCTGCTTAAGCACAAGATTTGCTAAAGCACAAAAAAACTTGCTTTATATAATCATGTTACTGGCGAAAACACCATGTGATATACATTGCTTGTGACTGCTATTTAGCTTTGTTTACTTAACATAACAATCGCATAAACCTGAATATATTAAGCAAAGTTTTTTTGTGCTTAAGCAAATTCTGTGCTAAAGCAGCTCTATGAAATTGGCCGCAGGTCATAGATGTGAGAGACAGAAAAAGCACCACTGCACTAAACTGAGGCCCCCAAATTGATGTAACAAAATCAACATGCTATAATGCAAAAGGTAGTTTCTTCCGTATAAGACACATATGGGGTAGATTCCTTGATAACTTGAAACCAACTGGTTTCAGTAACATCCACATTATGTTCAGAGAGACAGACAAGTATCAGTTCCACATGAGAAGCTCCGGAGCAAGTGTGATCAAAACTATGGTTATCCATCACTTAATGCGCAGTAGTCAACAGAGGTTGACCTGCTCACTGAGGTTGGTTGCATAAATGGTTATCACTAGCCAATGGAACTGCAATGCACAACATAATGCAAGGACTGTGAGGTTTCATAACCGACTTCTGTCAATATTTCAACCGGAGACATTCTCACTTTCAAATAAGTATGACGCCGCAAGGTACGTCACAAATCAACAACTTGTAACCAACAGTGCCTGATAAAATTTGCTCCTTTTCACATCTGTACCTTCATGGTTTTTCCAGCCTTCTCCAGCATGTCGAGCGCGTCGACGACAATCACCACCCGCAGCTTCTGCTTGGTTGCCTTGGTAACCAAGACGTTCAGTGTCTGTTGGAGCTCTCGTATCTCCTCCTTCCCCTTGGCGGAATAAACCCTCTCTGCTTCAGGGAGATCATCGCGATCAAACAGTGCATCTTCTACATCATTGCACAACCTCTGCAGCATGTTCTTCACACCTAAGACACCATGAAAAATATGAAATTTAAATCTGACTTAAGAACAAGGATGTCATTTTTCACACATTACAGTGATTCAGTTAATAGTAGAGTGGGACGGGGGGGGGGGGGGGGGGGGAATACAGTAATTCAATTGAACTCCTGCTTAACCCTAACTCCCTAGCGTCTTTTACTAGGAACTGGACCAAGTCCATCAAAATCCATCAATCACTGTGCGTCCAATACAAAACTGTACATGACATAATGGAATCCACCACTAACGCACTGGTTGACATTCATGGACTTGCTACTCATGGCTTTTATCACAATAGCAGTACAGGAAGCTAGGCAAAATCAATCGGATACCCCTAGCACTGCTTCAGGTCATTAGGCCCAAGTCCATCATACTCCATCAATATTTAGTCACGCCAGGCCTCCTGGACCAAGTGTCCCCAAATCCACCCAAATTGGGAGATGGATTTTGATGGAGTTGGGGTAGTTAGGGTTAACCTATTAAAGTAAAATCCTAAATAAATTGACTTTGACTTCACCTTACAACATCTGTAACCTTATGTAAGGCCTTGAGAGTTGTGTATAGGACGGTGATATCAGCAATGAGCAGAGTTCACAGTGACAAAACACAGCAATAAATCTCCATGTGAGTTACATGTGGCTCTGATGCAAACCTTTATCAACTCAATGTTTCAAGCATTATGCACTGTTACACCTATGTCAGACTGGTCTTCAAAAATCATGTAGAACAAGAAAGTATTTGGAGCCACTCAAGTCTACGTCAACAGATTTTGGTTTGAAATATGGCAAATTTATGCACTTCTTCCCTTAACAAGAGCAGCATCTGAAAGTACATGTAAGATGAATATGAAGTTAGGAAATCTTTCGATAAAGTTACTCCAGGTTACTCCTGAACATTCAAACCTGGTGGATAATGTGATTCATCAAAACTCATGAACAGTTGAACACCAACTCTGAAATGGGTACAAAATGACAGGCCAAAAGGCTCCGAGACCAGGGTCACGGTGTGGAAGTCACATAGTTAGAACACATTTTCCCCTAATAATTCACAGCAGGCACTTTCTTTTCGGGTGTTGTATCAGACTTACTTGTGCTGCTGCTGGAGCATCCAACCATGTGATACGCGACGATATCATCCGGGAAGCGTTCCTGGTGCTTGATGATCCAGTTGCCCAGTAAACAAGTCTTACCACTCCCTGTTTCATGAACAAAACAAAAAAATACTGTCATTAGGTGTGAGAATATTTTGTTTTACTTCAAATAGCAGTATACACTACTCAGACAACCATAGACAGAGAGATTGTAGCGAAGATGTAACTGGCATTTGTAACTTTTGTTCCAAATTTGTAATTTGTTTTGAACACATTCCAGAGTTTCACAGAAATGTTCAAATGAAATTCCAAGACTTATCCATGACATTTCCAGGACATATTACGGCTTTTCTTGACCAATTTTTTTAGAAGCCTATAATAAAATACACTGGCCAGTCATCAAACCGAGGGAAGGGATGCCACTACCTTTCATCACAACAGCGCCACAATGGTGAATTAAACATGCAACAAGTATAGAGTTGTGGGCATCAAAACCAGACTTGATGCCATCGACCTAGAGGACCTGACCAAAAAAGCTCATTTTAAAATTTAGAAAGCCTGCCGCATGCATGACATCCTGTATGTTCAGAAAGCCCCCCCCCCCCAGGTGTTTTCATACAGTTAAATTTCTGAAGGTTCTAAAGAGGAAGTATAGTAAACTGAAATGCAAAGTGGAAGACTGCCATAGCCAAAAATTACACATCATCACATACGGGACGTGCAGGTTTCCACACCTTTCCCATGACTCTATATGCATGCCATGACTCCTTATAACATAACAAGATTCCATGACTTTCTATACCTCCCAATAATAGCTTGAAATTTCAGGTTTTCCCGGATGACAGTAGAACCCCGACATTCTTACCTGGCTCTCCGACAATCAGCAAATGTTTGTTCTTATAGCCATCCCTGTCATGCAAGACGTGATTGTCCACTGCCTCTAGGTACCCCTCCCCTCCGATGTACATGCCCCCCATGCCCAACTTTTGCAGCAGGAAGGCATGGTGCTCCAGGCGCTCAGCCTCCGGCCCGGACAGCGCCCTCTGTGGCTTCAGAAAAGTCTCCAAGAAACTGTGGACCGTTTCAAACATCAGTCTGGCGCCCTCACTCGGTGTGGCATAGTTAGGATGTATGGCAAGGCACTACCCAAAACACAAAATTACAAAACGTAAGCTCAAAAGTATTATAATTTAATAGGTCTAGTGGACAGTATTGGCAAGGAAGGTCACATATATTTCAGACTGGTTACATATCTGCATTACTTGGCAATGGCAGGCAGTAACATATGTGTCTATATGAAGTGGCTTTAGCCTTTTCCATAGAGGCACGTGTAATTGTCAGATGCAGCAGTACCTTGTCTTTTGTGGCTATGACCCTTTGTTTCAGGTCATTAAGATGCTCTGCAGCATTAGGGCCGTCGGAGGTCGGGCGAAACTTGCGGGCGTTCCTCTCGTCTCCCGATTTCTCATATTCCTTCAGTTTCTTGTCATCGTATGCCTGGTCAAGTTACGTTGGAATGAAAAAAATATACAATTGAACTTAGGCATTTCCTGATCAGATGGCAAAAAACTGATTTCTCATTTGAAGATATTTGACCCCCCTGCATTTTGGCCATAAGCCCCGCCCACCTCTGGTTTGTGTGCATTTCTCACAGTAATTGTGACCAATTTTTTGAATGAGTTGCTGTGGTCAACTGACCAAAGGCAATGCTGCTATTGGTCAATGTGCACTGTTTGATTGACAGGGGATGCATTTAAATTGTCTAGAATAGTTACTGGTAATCGGTCAAAATCTAGAGGTCAAGATGCGGTTGTCTTGCATAATTATTCAGGGAATCTGCTCAAAAATTATAGACCATGGCTTTTCTATTACATAGACTAGCTTGCCTGAGAGTTATTCTATAAATTAGGGGCCCGCTTTTTTTTCCCCTGTCCCTGTTATATCTGACATCTATGATTTTATTATTCTGATGTTTCAAGTCATTCGTAATGCTACTTGAATGGCAAATTACGTAGTACCAGGGTAACAGGGACAGGAAAAAAATGTCACAATTTTGGACCCTAACTTTGGAAAGAGTGAAGACATGGACTCCTTAAGAATAGCTCCAGTGTGAATGTGATTCCTCCCTTAAAGCTATAGTCCATCATTTGCAGCCATCCGAAAAAGTAACTGGCGTATTATTGTTGAAAAACATACTTGGTTGAAAGATAGTAAGTGGACTAAACTTCCTGTGAAATTAATCTTTCTGGCAAGCTATCATTTTGAAGAAATCAACGAAAGAAGGCCTTTCCAACGGTGCAACTCAAGACGCACCGTAGGAAAATTTAAATTAGTAGTTCGTTTTGTTATTCGGTGCAGCGCGCTCAAGCATTGGCACGACGCACAGGCGCGCACGGTTGCTATAATTTGTCAGATCAGTGCGCGATATCGTGTATAGCTGCAATTCAAAACATAATTTAGCAACTTTTGATTGGAAATTGAGATCCTAAAATGCTGTTTTTCTCGGAATATACAGTTGAAGCTGAGCTGAAACTTCACCAGGTTAGTTGTTCATTATCATTCATTAGATTTTGAACACTTTTGTTGCTTCAAACGAACAAAACGCACAAATTACAAATGATGGACTATATCTTTAAGTAATTTTGAAATTGACAAACCTTATCTCTGAAGAAGAAGCTTGCCGCCCGAGCACCAGGGTTATTGAGGTGTCCATGGAGGTATTCTAGCTCTGTGACTGAGCGATCCCGGTAGTCAGCAATGAATGGAAACGTTGCTAGGGCATAGTCAAATGTCTTCTGCAACATCTCGTCTTTGCTGCCGTGCCAACCATACCTCTGAAGACAAAATGAATAAATAAATAAAGAAATAAAACAATCCTGATTTCAAATTGGAGCACAAGTCATCCAGTTCTAAGTTAATCTTTAAGTCAGCGTTTTCAGACCTTATGGTTTTTGACTTGGCGTTTTGAAGTTGTCTCAAGTTTTTACTTCCAAATTTGAAGTGTAAGAGACAGTGTCATGGGCGTCAATCAGTTGGGGATGGGAGGGGGGGGGGGACAAGTGCCCACCACTTTTTAAAGTGAGGGGAGGGATATCAAATTGTTTTGTCCCTCCCCCACCCTTTTTTTCGTAGCCTATATATGATTCTATCCGCTCTGTTCACAAGTACCCCCTCACCGACAAAGCAAGTACAGTTGGGGGTGACCGACCGATGCCATCTTGCCTGACTACAATTCATTTGCCGCGAAGCGCTGCCACTGCGTGTACATAGTACAAATCCCCTGGTGTACGTGCGTCACACACAAGGAACGGTGCGCGTCAACCAGCGAAATGTCCCGCCCATGGGACGTCGTTGCTAGGTAAAAGGGCGCCCTCTTTGTCGGCGCACGGAGCCCATAGCTCAGGAAAGCTGATTCAATTACTCCAAACTCGAAAATGATGTTTAAATGGTAATCTTTTGCTGAAACAAATTGGTTAAATTGGTCAGAAATAACCTCAGATTGCACCACAGAGCGTCTAGAATCCAAAATGAACCCCACGCTGTTAGGGCTTCACGCTCACATTAGTTCTGATCAAGGTATGCCCCCTCCCACACTTTTGAAAAGCGATTGACGCCCTTGGACAGTGTTATTAAGGACTCACCTGACCAAAGAATCCAACAATCATGTCTGAACGGTCCAGCTCTCGAAGGCATATTTCTATGGTGAGTGCTTCCTTGGAGTGATCTGATGTGATACCCCATCTCATGTCCACTGGCGCATACTCGTAGCCAGCCTGTTGGAATTAACAACAAATATACTGCAATAACGGTTTTGTTTGCCAATGCTTAACCCTAACCACCCCAACTCCATCAAAATCCATCCCTCCACTTTGGTGGATTTTGGGGGACTTGGTCCAGGAGGCCTGGCGTGACTATTGATGGAGTGTGATGGACTTGGACCTAATGGCCTGAAGCAGTAATGCTAGGGGTATCCAATTGATTTTGCCTAGCTTCCTGTCCAGTATTTGACTCATTTTGTAGTATCCGAGATAAAGGTCTAGCATAACAATATTATAAGTTATCCCGCCAGCGTGGAACACGGAATAATGTAGTGTGTCTGGGTCCCACATACATGTACCATGAGGCCGGGTATGCGGGACACAGACGCACTACATTTTCCCTGTTCCACGAGCGGGAGCATGATAACGAATTTATCTTCAAGCAAACTTGGCACGCAGTACAGTTGGAACTAGCACGCTTTACACGAAGCTGTTAGCAGTTTAGCGCATGCAGCTGGAATGTCGCTAGCATCTTCGAAATGACGCATTATGCAAGGTGCGATATGGACCATGCAATACAGTATAGCACACTGTTGTTGCCACGGATCGACCAATCAGGATGAAGATTCAAGTTTGCTTGAAGATAATGAAACATCCTTACTTTCTGACACATGTGAGCAAGCCTTGGCCAGTATATCTTGGTCAGCAATTCTCTTTCTTCTTCCAAGCCGCCGAACGGGGAGCTCCAGAAAATACGGGCTATGCGCCGCTGCTGTGCGATGTGGGACACCTTGGCCATGTCGGAATGCTTCACGGAAGGGGCAGCTTCAGGCAACACGAGGGTTTATGGCCTGGGGGACACAATTATAATAGTAATCAATTTACATTTTCAATTTTTTGTTTCTTTAGAAACATAATACAGTAACCTTTTCAAGAGAATCTCAAAGGGTTTGAGTCAAGGCTGAGGAAACATACTTGGAGATAGACCCCACAAATCACGGCATTTGTTTACTACAATGTATAGGATCCTTCTATTTTGTCGTCGATGATGTTCTCAGAAGTCTATTGTAGTATTATAAAACAACATTGAGCAGCCCAGCAGCAGTTTTGAACCCAGATTCCTGGCACAGTAGTGTACTGTGTTTCCAATCCAGCTACAGAAGCATTCTCGTTGGACGGGTACTTTTAAATGTGATATAGATTCCCAATGTCGAGGATGGTTTTGCAATACCGTAAAGATTGCAGTTGAAAATCGCGTTGCGGATACGTCTGTCGTAACGACAGCCACTTTGTCTTTCTTAACATAGGCGGGAGTAGGGTATAGCCCCGCTTTTAGACCAAAATAGAATAAGACGTCTTACATCTCTTGCCCTACTTCTAGAATTGGAAGGCTTCTCTCTGTTAGAAGCCTTCTCACTCTAGAAGAACTCTTGCCCAGTCTCCTTCTTTATACTTTTTTTATATTTTGGTCTTAGTCTGAATTTTTTTTAAGTGTTTTCCCAGTAAATACTTCAATATTTACCCTGCTAAATTTGACTTTTTAGGACATAGTATCACTTTCTGATGGCTGATAGGTCACTGAAGGGAAAAATGAGAGATGGCCAGATATGGCCATATCTCATATAAAGATTCCCATATACTTTTCCAATCCTCCAAAACTATAACTCCAGCTTCAATGCTCATCAGGAATGCGACTTTGAATCCCTGACTGATAAGCATTGGAGCTGGAGTTACTCAAGCTACCAATGACTACTGATTTTTAGGGGAAGAAATAAAAATTGAAATCTACGTTACAGGTTAATCTCAATCTCCACTGGTTAAGTCAGCAAAATATCCTACCGGATACATCAACGCTAACTTGCGCACTGCATGTGAAAATAGACTACTGGTAAAGATTACTGATATGTCCCTTGAATTCAGCTAGAGTTGCGCTGTTCACAGCAGCCAAGGAGAGTAAATTCCAGTGTTTAACAGTTGACCCGAAGAATGAATGAATCTTAGAAGGCCCTTGCAAGAAAAATCTAAAACTAAAGAAATCTATTCCAATTTTTTTAAACAAAGTTGAGTAGCGCGGCTATGGTTCCCTAACGTACAATCGACCTACCGAAGCGTTCTGGTTGGATGGGCAGTGGGTAGGATGGGTTGCCCTATTATCGCGGTACTTATCACGTTTCTCGTTCGGAATAGAGATTGCCCACTAACCTTCCTGAATTGTCCTGTCTTTTGTGTAGTATAACTCTTCCTTTTTAAATTAATATAAAAAAATCCGACGGTGGTGTGGTCTATTCCGTGTACGATGCCTGTGAAAATAGACATGCGCGGAGTGTGCGAACGGAGGTGGACTCCCTATTATCGCGGTATGTGGGAAGTGGTTTTTATAATGATCCCAACTTTTTTGTTCATAGTTAATGTTTGACCAAAACATCCCCTGAATAAAGTCTGATATTTTCCCTGTAACCTTCATGTTGATTAAAGACTATATTTCTGCAGGATGATTTCTTAAGACCCTGCCCTTCCCCCGAAAGGAGAACACAAATCCCTGAGGCAAGTCTACTGATCGGCGATTGAGGGCGCCATTCACTTTACACGGTGTGCCGTTTTATTTTCGCTAACGCGCGGTGCTTATTTTGATCCCGTAAAAGTTGTTACGATTTCGCGCTGCAAATATCGTCGTTCGACTTCATTTTACATTTACAGCTGAAGAATGGGAACCAGGCAATGGAACTTTCATGGACAGAGCGCAATTAAAGATTTATGTTAAAATATAAGCGGTACCTTTTAGCAGACACGGTGAGGGAAAATTTTGCAAGTCTTGGAAAACGTTAATATTTATTAAAATCGTTAAAAGTCCCAAAAGACACAACATTTTTTAATCGTCCTTTTTATACAACTCGGTAGAAACCCTTGATGACTGTTGAACTGGATAAAAATCGCCACTTGAAGGAGTTTTGACACTGTAAAAAGAGAAATTTCCCATGCCGCGATAATAGGGATGCCGCGATAATAGGGAGTCCGACTATACTCCTAGAACTAGTAGAGGCTCCACTACGTGGAGCCTCATAGTTCTAGGAGTAGGCAGTGGGCAGTGCCAGTAGGCAGTAGGTTGAAATTTTGAGCTTTCTTATCTAGGCTCATGACATGGGGAGATTCGCTAGGAAAGCTGGAATTCCCCCCCCCCCCCCCCTAGCCCCACTAGTGTGGCCGCGGTATGCTGCGCTGAACCTCTGCGCAGCATACCGCGGCCACACTAGTGGGGCTACCCCCCCCCCCCCCCCCCCCGACTATGCAGATCTACTCTCATGTTTTTTGGCCGATATTTTCCATTTCCATTAAAATTACAAGCACAAACTCACCTATGATATCAGATTTATCCTTTTGTAAAGCAGAGGATCCTTTCCAAATGACAAAATGATCAAGCTGAACCCCCCAAAATGGGTATTTATATAGCTTGAGTAACCCCAGCTGACATGCTCGTGCAGACCAGGTGCAGGTCAGCCTAGCTGTCAGGAATTTGACAGACTTGTTTACACCGTACCCATGTTTACGCCATACATAACCAGGGTGACCGTAAGCTTATAGAAAAATTCTGCTAGATGCGCTGCAAACATCTGCTAGATTTAACAAAAATCTGCTAAATCACCTATTATTACACGAAATAGCATAAAGCTTTTTAACAAATTGAAGCTTTTTCAAAACTAATCTGCAATTTTTTTCAAATCTGCCATATTTTTATGTCAGATCACCAATTTTACAGAATTCTGCTAGAAATCTGCTAAAAAATTCATATCTGTCTATAAACTCGTTTTTTTTTTCGAAAAATTATGTCAAATTTGGCCGAAATTCGGCTAAAACGGTCACCCTCTACATAACCCCTGATAACGCGTGTGTGCAGGGACCGATGACTTGTGTAGCGAATGCAATGAGACGAAATCCAACGCTGGTGGCGCCTATAAGTTTTGCACATGGCTTTGCTCAACCTGAAGCTTAAGCACAGACATCGCTCGTACCCCCGCCCTGCCTGTTTGCAGGGCGGGGGGATACGAGCGAAAGACATCTGTGGTCATGATGGCCCCGCCTCCGCTGTTGAACCTCCGAAAATCAGGAAACATTAAACAATACATGTTACAGAAATTATTTCCCAGGAGTTTATTAGTTGATGACAAAAAGTTATTGGAAACGTTCAAAACATTTTGTTCCAATCTTGGTTACAAATCTCTGTTTACAAAACTTTTTTGTGTATCTTGAACACTAGAACTTAAAGGCTTAACACATTTCATCATGTGGGTGTTCCTGCAGGGATTAGATAGCCTTGCGCCGATGCATTTCGCCTCACTATAAAGCGCAGAGGAAGACCCTAACCATGGCCTGATAGCATAAGATGCATCGTCGGCGTTTTCACGAAATGGCAAGTCCACGCAAGCAGCGCGAACATTGCGTTTTGAGAAAAATCGGTTTTGAAGTTGGTCACTTTTTGAAACTGTCCTTTCGCCCTACTTTTAATCCAAACTTCAAAATATTTTCCATGGATACGACAGCTCATTAGCTAAATTACATGACCAGATGTTCACATAACAAATGTATAAATTCCTAAAAAATAAAAATAAATTTATTAATAATATAATTTGATTAATTAATTTAAAAATTAATTAACAAATAATTTGTTTACTTTAAAAACTATCCAGTTGAGCCTTTAACATGTTATATGCATGATAATACAGATAAACTCATTAATAAATTGAAGTCAGTGGGCAGGAAGATCGAAATTTGTTCCAAAAAAAACACAAAGGTTAGGTCATCCACACAAAATGCAAAATGCGAGATGCGGGGGGGGGGGGGGGGACTTTAAGACTTGAAACTGCATGCCCACATTTGCAATGTTAAAGAAAATATCCACTACTAAAGGGAATGTACATTATCTGCTTTTGCTGCAATTTTTAGAAATGGATGGATTTGGGGGGGGGGGGGTTAGTATGTTATAGCAAAACTTTTTATACTGACTTATGTTACGTTTTGGGTTCGTAGATGCTGGAAAATCAAGAAAACAAATCGTGTTCTTGTAGTCTTGTAGCACTTAAAATGAAACAGAGCAATTTGTAGATGTTGGGGAATTGTAAGGTCAGAGAATCAGTTGTACCCCTTAGAACATGTGTAATCAATTGCTGAGACAATGTGGAATAACTAAATATAAAAAAATAAGAGCAGTATTTGAAGAAAAGTAAGTTTTTCCAGCGCTGATCGGCCGACCAGCGTTGGAAATTGATACAAAAATATCACTTTACTTAAAAATGTGAGCACACCAGGAGCTATTGTTTTACAGGATGCTTCAGACTGCCATCCCCTGGCAGTCCAGTAAAGTATTTTGTGATAATTTGGTCATTTATTTTTTTGATGTTTGCAAATGTTGTACATTCCTTTTAACATAAACAACTTCCAGACACCACCTCTCTCCTCTGAAAATAAAAACAAAACAGTCTCTCAAACGAAATCATTAATTTATGATGATATAAATCATATTTATTAGAATTACAAGTAAAGAGGATACCTGGCACTCATATTGGAGTTGCCGCAGTAAAACTTGGCACGAATCTTATCTGAACTCTCACTATACTAGTACCAACAATTCAATCAAGTGTTGGGTATAAAATAGTTTCTAAATAAAATCTGTGGCAAGTATTAACTAAACAAATTAACTTGCAGGTATATTCACAACAAGGCATCCATATTTATGTTCCATCAATTATTTTTGAGACCTCTGAAATTTATGCTTAGCATGGTTTACATTTCCTAAGAAGAAAAGAAACTGGTTCTCCGCCAGATCTGCCTTGCATTGTATATTGCTTTACACTGGTTCTCAGTTAGCTGAACATATACATTTTGCTAAATGATATCTTCTGCTAAGTTGCTCAACGGCAATTCTGTTGGAAAAGTGAATGTGATACATCACTCATAATGTGACATCTAATGAGTAGAAAACCATTCATACCAAACTAAGGTACCACCACCACCACTTTAACGACCTTGCACACTATGTGGTCGGACGTATGCAGAGAATTGGTTTTTAATACGGAATTGCCCTAAATTGACCTATCGCCGTTTGCGAGTTAGCCACGCCCCTCAGACAAACCTATGGAGTTTTGTACACTAAATTTTGCGTGTCTCAGATTTTGCGGGTTCCACGTCCATTTGTATATCATGTAATTGAACAATATTTCACATGCTGCGTTTCTCACGCGATTCTCACGTGATTTTACCAGGATAGGTCAATTGACTGGGCCCAGTTTGCGAAAACTAGACCCAAGTTTCAAATGAGCTGAAGCAGAATACGTCAACATCAAATTTCTCTTGATGAGCTCAAATACAGAGAACCCACAAGAACCAATCAACGCAACTTGACATTTTTGCTTATAAACCTGTTTTTTTGCTAAGCGTAAATTTCGTGAGCTAATTTCAAGCAAAATCTGTTTGCATTCGCTGATGGTAACACACGTGTGTATAAGTATTAAAGTGAATGGTATTATGAAATAACGCTTAGCATACTTGATGAAAGACCCTCTTAGCACAGTTCCTAAGCGACTTTTCAGCCAGAACTAAATGAGGGTCAAATAATGGCAACATTCCTCCAATCCAAAAAAACACAGATACAACGGAATTAACATTGCAAATTATCCAGAAATCAACATGTTAACGGTTGTCTCTTGTCAAGTAATAACAATAACCCTACTACAGTGGACTTAAATTAACAAAATGATATCATTTCTTACGGTATCATCTTTATTGTATGTACAAGGAAACAATTTTTAAAAATGACACCGGGTAGAAATTAAACATTGACATTGTTAATTTGTACAAACCTTGCACCGGTAACAAATCATACAACTCTATATTCTTTTCTTAAGGGAAAAAAAATCAATTAGATTATATATTTATAAAGATTACATATTTATAAAGAATTTATGTTCGACACTATATCTCATTATATGTGAAAACAATGAAGAAATATCACAAAAACATGAATTGAATCTTGTATCATACATACAGGGTGAGTAAAAAAACTAAGGAAACCCAAATGGCAGGACATTTTTTAATGAAGTTCTGGCATGTAGCATTTTCAAAATCTAGGATATGAAAGCCCAATTAATAAGCTTTCTTTTTGTACAAGAATAATTCAAACCTCTCATGTACTTTTTAAGTGTGTGAATTGTTTTCGTTTTGCTGAAAGAACACACACCTTTTTTGTGATGCGCGGACATAACTTTAAAATGATGGTTGCGTTTAAAATTCCATAACTTGAAAAGTACATGAATGATTTGATTGATTCTTGTACTAAAAGAAAGCTTATGGATGGGGCTTTCATATCCTAGATTTTGAAAGTGCTACATGCAGAACTTTGGTAAAATGGTCCTGCCATTTGGGTTTACTTCTTTTTTTTAATCACCCTGCATACTAAGAATCAACCAGAAGTTGGAAACAATCCATTTTGCTGCCACAACATTTGACTTGTGAAATCTTAATGATAAAAGCATAATTTCTTCACTTATATGGCATAAAATATTAAGCTAATGTTATTTTGGGGAAAATTTGTGGAATCTAATAGTTGAAAGGATATTTTCTTCACCTTAACGGTATAAAATATGAAGTTAGTGAGTAATTGTGGGATAAATGCACACAAAAAAGCAATATTGTCAACTGATTTGTTTTAATTGCTGGAGAAATGAATAAAATATGTTAAAGATATAGTCCATCATTTGTAATTTGTGCATTTTGTTCGTTTGAAGCAACAAAAGTGTTCAAAATCTAATGAAGGATAATGAACAACTAAACCTGATGAAGTTTCAGCTGAGCTTCAGCTGTATATTCCGAGAAAAACAGCATTCTAGGATCTCAATTTCAAATCAAAAGTTGCTGAATCATGTTTTGAATTGTTTTGAATTGCAGCTATACGCGATGTCGCGCAATGATCCGACGAATTATAGCAACCGCGTGCGCATCGTGCCAATGCTTGCGCGCGCTGCGCCGAATAACAAAACGAACTACTAATTTAAATTTTCCTACGGTGTGTCTTAAGACGCACCGTTGGAAAGGCCTTCTTTCGTTGATTACTTCAAAATGATAGCTTGCCAGAAAGATTAATTTCACAGGGAGTTTAGTCCACTTACTATCTTTCAACCAAGTATGTTTTTCAACAATAATACGCCAGTTACTTTTTCGGATGGCTGCAAATGATGGACTATAGCTTTAACACATTTTAACCATAGTGCATCTAACTTAATTATGGCTATTGTTTCATCATTAGACTCTTTAATAAGGCAGGTATGGTGTACTCTGATACAAAAACCTAAAAGAAAACAAAATGGCAATGCTTTCGGCATCCGCACTTGAGATGCTGGTATGTGTTTCATGCTGCGTAGGCCAAACAAAAATTTCTCCTTTTTGGGGGGAAATCGCGTCTAGACTATACATAGAATTGCATTGGAACATTAAGGTCACAAGTCCTCATAGTTCTAAATACATGTACTCTGTATTTCTTAAAAGCTTGCTTGGCTGGAAAATTCAATTGATTGGATTTCCCCCTCGCTAATAAATTGTGGAAGAAAATCAATTTTGAACTAACTTAAGTTTTAACTTTAGTTTTAGTCTATTTGGTGTTCCAGAAACATGCATTTCATTAGTATGTCTGAAACAGTGACATTTGATGTACATTACTGATGCGGGCATAAGGTTTATGTTACTCATCATAGTTTGTGTGCAAAATGTCAATGGGAAGCTAATACCTTATGATTTGCTTAGAAATTCAATTTGTAGTTTATTTTTCAGGCAGCCGCATCTCAAAATGCGGTAATAACGCCTAATGGCTAAGTTGAACAAGAAACTAAAATATTTCTCCTCTTTTTTTTTTTTTTTTTTGGCAGCAACTTTTGAACTCTTGATTCAAGTGTTTAAATTCTACTTCAAAAAGCCGCCAGTTCCCAGAAGAAAGTCCGCATGGGGCTAATGGTTAAATCCAGAACGGTCTGTCAAGTTGGGTCAATAGTCCATTATCATGTTGCGGCCATCTTGATTTTTTTCCCATTCAAATCAATGTAACCAAAGCGAGGCCGGAAGGAAAAATAGTCTGGTTCCTTTTTGCTCAAAAAACAGTATCATTCAGTACTGTCATTGGATACAGGGTGCATGACTGAAATGGTGGCAGCATGATAAAGGTCTATAGGGCATGAAACCCAACAGTGTGTCGTTCATGACTAGATGATGGTGACATTGCCTTGTTTTGTGAGTCTGTTCATTATGTTTGTACAGCTGGGCATTCTTGAAGCGGTTATGATCTTGAAGTCTGTCTTCATACCTAATCCGTCTTGGATGAAGGCTTGAGTTGCTGCCACTCCTTCGTTGCTTTGTTGGGAAGGCCGATGGCAATACCTAAAGCAGCTACGTTCTTAATTCCCTGTAAATCAATTTTAAAATAGTTATTAAAAAATAGTTCGAGATGACATAGTTTCCTGGTAAACATCATTAGTGACTTCTTGCCACAACTGATATGCCCAGTAGTGTTGAAATTAATTAAGCTGGGTGGTGGGGGGGGGGGGGGGGGGGCTAGGGGGAGGGGGAGAGGGTCTATGGATGGTAATGGGGGGGGGGGGGGGTTCTCGGCACCCCCCGACTCCAGGTGGCGCTGTCCATGGTAGAAACTTGCATGTATACATATGTAAATACATAACATTTACATCCGATTATGGTAGTTTTAACTATTGGATTTAGAGTACATTCAAGTACAGTGCCATGGGTGAGCTTTCCCTTGTGCCCCCCCCCCCTTTTTTTGGTACCCTTCCTTTAATTATTTGGGCCACGGTCATTGGTGAAAGCCCATCAGCCCCCCCCCCCCCCCCAAAAAAAAAAACCCCAAATATTTTGGACGTGTCAATTAGTGGTGACGCAGATGTTTGAATTTATAATGGACTAACAGAACATTATCATTATAAGATGGAATTTTGCGTCGGGGTGATATAAATCAAATTAGGTTTTGCCCTTCAGTTTAGGTTAGGTTTTTAAACACTGTATAGTCAGTGTGTTAACACACTGAGTATACAGTTTAAAAACGTCTGTGAAGGGCAAAACCTAATTTGATTTAGAACATTATCATGTTGCGGCCATCTTGTTTTTTCCCCATTCAAATCAACGTAACCAAAGTGAAATACTGGAAGGAAAAATAGTCTGGTTCCTTTCTGCACCAAAAAATAATCATTCACTACTATTATTGAATACAGGGAACATGACTGAAATAGTGGCAGCATGATAAAGGTCTCTAAGGCCTTGTTACAGACAAATAGTCTCTGTATTGTTTGTGTCCTTGAGCAATGCTCTTTATTCCAATAGTGTTTATATTCCTACCTGGGCAATAGCAGCTAGGACACATTTCTCGTCTATCATGGCCAAGGCATACTCCTCCTGAAATCCCCAGTCCTAGGACAAAATGCATAATAAATCATTAAAAAATCTTGCATTAGGCCGAAAAAAAATGGCTCCGGTTTCTAGTCTGCGTGCGTCGCCGTAGCCATGCGCATCGGCAAAATTAAATATTTTTTTCAATGTAAGATGATCAAAACCGCCAAACTCACTGGTTTGACTGGAATCCTGCTGCTGCACAATTTTAACGTGTTTTTAGATGGGGTTACGATCGGGTACAAGCTTTATGTGGCCTCTCTGGACTCCCATATATTTTGCACTAAATTTAGTCGGGCACCATTTGCAGTCATCAGCCGACGTTTGAAGGGAAAAAAAAGGGGGAAAAAACGCGTTGCCGCGGCTTTTTGGGGGGCAAGCTCCATACCAGAAACCAAAGGTTTTTTTTGGCCTTAGAAAAAACGCTTCTTTTTTTCCTGACCGCTTCCTTTTTTGTTTTTTGGCCTTTGTTTTTTAAAATCATACTTTTGCAATTTATTTTGTCTTTTCATTTCTTTCCAGCAAAATAATAGTTTGTGGACGTGCGAGTTCAAAATCTGGTAGAAAGGGCGGTGACTCCTCTGGACACAAAAGTATCCGCCATCTTGGAAAATCCACCATCTTCGAGGGAAAAGAGGCCCTCCTCCCTTTTTTTTAAAAAGCCCAGACGAGAACTTTGTCCTTTTTATAACTTGGTCCTATTACTTCTATCTTCTCGACCAAAAATTTCATCAAAATTTATGAATAAAATTGACTTACAAGAGCCAGGTTTTCGGCTCTCATGAAGAGTTCCGTCAGGGCGCGCTGTAATGGCGGTAGCGTGGTAGATACAGCGTCAGGTACCAGCTTCTCATTCATGGAGTCCAGCAACCTCAGGAGGGGTTTCAAGAGACCCAGGTCAGGGGCCGTTGCCACGTCGATGGTTGCCGACTCGCTGGCTGATTTTGCGCTGCTGGGAGATGAGTGTTTTCATATTCACAGTTTGGTTTTTAAGTTGGCTTCTTATGACAGAACACAGGACAGTAAAAATGAATTTCAGCTAGCTAGATTGTAAGCAGAATAATTTCAAGAAGATATTGTAGCAGATTGCAGCTACGCGATATCACGCACTGAACTGACGAATAATAGCAACCGCGCACGCGTGTGCGTCTTGTCAACGCTTGCACGCACCCATTCACGGATTCACCGAATTACAAACCAACTACTCACAAAAACTTCCAAAAATGCTTCACTTGACTCATCTTTGGAAATGGCCTTCTTTGATTGTTTTCTTCAAAATGACAGCATGCCGGAAAGAATAATTTCACAGGGAGTTTAGTGCCATTGCAATCTTTAAACCAAGTAAGCTTTTCAGCAATAATTGTGTCAGTTACTTTTTGGATAGCTGCAAATGATATAATCTACCTTTAATTCATTCCACATTAACCAGATCACACAAACATTGCGAATCATATTATTCAAGTTTCATGTTTATGTCTCACAAGGCACCCTCAGATTTTTTTCGCTTACCCCATATAAACCACATTAATATTTCAAGGCAATGACATGTTCCTGACACGACATGAACCGGTGTTATAAGAAAATCTGACTCCTATAAAAGTCGAACTCCTTTCCCCTATTACTGGTTAATCTCTCGCACGTGAAAGTCACTCTCCTAATTATCATACTTACGCATGCGCAATACTACCAACGAGTCTATATTTCATGGAGTCGAATATTCAGGCTACACCGGCCCTACCTGGTGAGTGTATGCAGAACCTGTAGTAGAATCTGGACTGTCTTGAGTCTGTACTGAGCTGTCTGCCGACATGCGACGTGCACCAGCCAAGCCCACAGCTCCTTAAGTGCTATATGCCTGTACAACAAATATGGAAAAATATATATCAGTCACGGAGCTGGTAAACAGGGAAAATTGCTAAGCGCAAATAATATTTGCTGAGTAAAAAACAGGCTACCAGTCAAAATTGAGGTCAAGTTCACGGAGTTTCTAAGCAGAGTCATTTGATAAGCACCATTAACATTTGATTAGCAAAAACCACTGAATCGTTTGTCAACCCCGGTCAAAACATTTTTTATTACAGATTTGAAAAGAGCACAATCTCAGCATTACTGCTGTGAAAACCGCATGCTGATACCATCTTTAGTAAAACAAATTATGGAAGTCGGAACACCAAGAGATGTGATGTAGTGATGTGATGAAGTGGCCCTATTTTGGCCTGAATCTCCAAATGAAAATTTCCGACAAACGACTCATGTAGCTTGATCGTATCACATAACCTGGCTGGATAGCATATGCCCATTACGCTGTACATAAACTTATGTCGCTTTTTTTACCATTTCGCCCCGGTCTTCCAAAAATGGCCGCCGATACACAAACATTATAGGCGTACATTAAGCGTCATATGGTGTCGTACCTTGTCAACTCCTGCTTGGACAGCACTGTGTTCAGAATCAGGTAGCCGGTGTCAAATCTGTCAAATGGCCAAGCAAAAAGACTTATATTAGAAATTGTCTGTGACAAACACTGCTTCCCTTTGCTGTGCACATGCAAAAACCACCATTCATTTAACAGACAGATACCACGAAGGAGAGACTTGTTACATTGGAGTTGTACTGCATTTAACTTCCAATCTGAATTTCTTGCTTCTTTTTCCAAACACAATTTTTTAACCAGTTCGCGCTGGCGGCCGTGTATAAATGCACAAGTTTTCCGAAAGTCAGATCGCATGACTGAAAAACCCGCAATGACAGAGGCCAAAAAACATCTGTCAGCAAGCCACAGCCGCTGACCGAGGCCAGAAATATGACTCTGCAGCCCCAGGGCGATGGCTTCAACCCGCCTGGCATTGCGGTCAAGTAAATATTAAACCCCTGCTTCGGTCCTTTCTTGTCAAAATAAAACCCGACCTCAACTGGTTCAATTTAAGCATCTTTTGGTAGGGGACTGAAAGTGACGTTCTAAGACAAATAGTTTTTGCGTATTTAAGATGAAATGCAATACAAACTCTTTTTTTTGGCCTTTACTGAATGTTTACTGCTGTACAAAGGAAAACAAATTTCATGTGTGTCACATGATGAATAAATAAATTGAAATGAATTGAATTCTAAAACCAAAAACAAATATCGGCTATATGAACTCCTTATCACACAAATGAAAGTTGATACAAATATATCTTGCACGTTTGAAGCTTGAAATGCTAGATACTACTTGACTCCTACCTTCCTAGCCTGTTGCCAATGACAGTGAACTTGTAACCCCAGTCATTGTTACTGCTGTCAGACACAAACTTGAAGTAAAGCACATCGCCTGAATAAAACACAGATAAAATCTACATGTTTAAAAAAAATAAAAAACTAGTCTGCAAGTTTGTGGGGTAAAAAGGACAACGACGCTCTTGCTCAGACGTTGGTCATGTCTCCCCAGGCAATGTTGCTAACTCACGTAAAATTCTGTGCCCGTCGGCACATCTTCTTAAACCACCTTCAATGATTGTTTCCTTCCGATACCATTGATACCATTTCCGATGGAAACATTTCACAGGGTATTTGGTACCAGTCCTATCTCCACTTTGAGCAAGGATTTTCTCTTTAAATCGGTACAGTACATTCGCTCTTTTCACACTTACACTTCCCCCATGGGCATGCACAGCCTCGATCTGGCAACTTTACACAATAAATATAGCCAGTTCAGTGATTCCCATGTCGGGGTTCAGATCACTGGACCGGCTATTTTTATTGTGTAAAGTTGCCAGATCGAGGCTGTGCATGCCCAATGGCGGAGTGTGAAAAGAGCGAATTGCAATTGAAGGTTAAAGTAAAACTTTGTGGAAAGAATCTGCGTTTGCATTCGCATTTCCAGTCTCGTGAAAATGTTTTCGTAGTTGTGTTGAAAAGGCGTGAAAATGTTTTCCCACTTGCGTGAAAAGTCCTGAAAAGGTTTTCCCACTTGTGTAAAAAGGCGTGAAAATGTTTTTTCACTTTCGTGAAAAAACATGAAAATGTTTCCCACTTGCGTGAAAAGGTGGAAAATATTTTCCCACTTGTGTGGAAAGGTAGGTACATTTCTGGATAATTGCAAATGTTCCCACGGGTGTTTAAAAAAAGAAGAAAACCTCCCATGATATGAGCCACACCCACCTTGCATCTCAAAGTCAATCCAGTTCTCCCGACCTCCGCTGAAGTCATGCTTATCATGCTTGTAGTTTGGGTCCGATGCAAACGTCAGGATGTCGCATTCGCTCTCGGTGCTGCAGCGCTCGTCAAACCGGATGCTGAGGTAAGTGGCGCCGCGTATCGTCACGTGACCCTGGACAATAAAAAAGAAAAAAAAATAAGAAAATAAAAGTCAGAAACAATCCACACATGAAGTATAGAAGTATAACTTTGTTTCTGAATAAAAGGCATCAACCTGAAACTTAGCTTTCTAAAAAAAAAAAATAGCCTTAATTTTTGTCTTGATTTAAAGTAAACTTACTAGATTCCACATGTTTCACAATTTATTTCCTAAAATCTGAACTTCTTCTCTTGCATTTTTCTTATTTTCACTAGATTCGCTTTGGTCTGGTACCCAGATGCAGTTATATAGTATACATTTATTTTACACTTTTGAATAAAAAAGCAACAACCGCGAAATTTGCGTTCTAAAATGATAGGGCTAAATTCAAGTTTTGGTGGTGAATTCCTTACTATAATTACAGATTATTTGTAATTTTGTAATTTAATATTTTACAAGGTTCTTCACTTTTTTCAATCCCCCTAGTTCTTTTATCATTTACAGTTGATCCTTGGGTTCATATTGGTCTGGTACCCGCTACCCACCTCGTCATTTGTATTGTTCTTGTATTTGTGAAGTGACTCCCTGATGACTGGTGCCATGCTAGCCTCCTCCATGAATGTACAGGCAGCTACGGTGAGAGGTGCTAAGAGTTCAGGCTCACAGTGGGTGACTATGTTGGACACAACCTGCAGAAATGGAGAGTAGAAATGCATCAAAACAATTTGAAACTACATTCAGGCCAGTTGGAAAGTTGATGTACAGGGTGAGTAAAAAAAAAAGCAACCTAAATGGTAGGACCAATTTTTGAATGAAGTTTTGCCCGTAGCACTTTCAAAATGTAGGATATGTAAGCTCAGTCATTAAGCTTTCTTTTAGTACAAGAATCATTCAAATCTCTCATGTACTTTTTAAGTGTGTGAATTGTTTTCGTTTTGCTAAAAGAACACACACCCTTTTTGTGATCTGTGGACAGAACTTTAAAATGGTGGTTGCGTTTAAAATTCCGTAACTTGAAAAGTACATGAATGATTTCAATGATTCTTGTACTAAAAGATGTACTTTTCAATTACAGAATTTTGAACAAAAACACCGTTTTAAGTTCTGTTCAAGGATCACAAAAAGGTATGCGTTCTTTCAGCAAAATAAAAACAATTAACACGCATCCCTATGTGATATGTTTTCGTTTTGCTGAAAGAACACTTACCTTTTTGTGATCCGTGAACAGAACTTTAAAACGGTGGTTGTTTTTAAAATTCTGTAACTTAAAAATTACATGAGTGATGTGAATGATTCCTATACTAAAAGAAAGCTTATGAATTGGGCTTTCATATCCTAGATTATGAAAGTGTTACATGCAGAACTTCACTAAAACAATGGTCCCGACATTTGGGTTTTGCTTTTTATTCCTCAACCTGTATTGCATTTTAGACATAAAGTCTTCACTTCCCCCTCCCCCATAAGAAAAATGCCAGGAGCCCTTCTGTCCGACCCACCTTACTCAGGACTTCCTTCTCCTCTCCTCGTTGAAGCAGATCCAGCATGCTGACGATCTGAGCAGGCTCGGTACAGCCCAAGGTGGAGGTATTGATGACACGGCCTGATGGCCAATCAGCAAGCAGCGCTGCTAGCAGGTGACGCGCATACATGATGGAGATTGCATAGTTGACCTGTATTAATAACAAACAAACAAATTATGAATATACAAAATGCTTGTTGCAGTGATTCGTTGCTGGCCTGCCATCTTGATGGTGCCAGGTTCGAACCCTACCTGGGTCATGTTTTGAAATATGTAACCAAATCTAGTAGGGGCCGAATTTTAAGGACATGCTATGTAGGAAGTATTGTTCAGTCAATTTACATGCTAAGCTCAATTCAGAAAACCAGTCACACACAATATAGATTGCAAAAGAATAGACCAGTAGCCTGTTTCTGCTAAGCAAGTACTTTATTTGCTTATAAGCATTTCAGCTCCTTGGATATTGGCTCCTGATTAAAGGGTCCTCAGATGAATTTTTCTGAGGAACATATTTTGTGCAACTTTCTACTCCTCTTAAATGTATGAAAACTATTTGACATCCCTTTTTTGGTTTAATTTCATTGAAAAGTGCACTTCTTCAAACATTTAAAATTTCTCATGCTTTTCTGGACAACTTAAAGCGCTGTTGCCGTGATGTCACTTCAGGAAGACACTTTAAGAGTTTTGCGTTCAAATTGTGAACTCAAAAATTCGCTCATTGAAAACATTGGTAAGAAAAGTTTGCTCATTGACTTACTGCCATGTACCGCCGACACAACAAATCACCAAAAAAAGAAATTTATGACAGCAAAATATCCAAAATTCTGGCAACTTTTGGTGCTGAAATAGCTGTAACACTGAGGTTTCTGCCTGAAATGACATCACACTTTTGCTCATGAATATGGAAATTCACATTAGCATAAAAACCAAAAGGCACCAAAATACCTTTGAAAATGGGAAAACGAAAATTGAAAATAAGGTTAAACGGGACACAAAGGTGCATTTTCAAGGATTGCATGAAACAATTTTCATTGTATGGGCTCTATCAGTTTTCCTTTCCAACTCGATGCTAAAAGATTGTCAAGTTTTTTAAAATCCAAAGCCTGACTTCCAAGACTACTGTCCAGTCCAATGTAGTTACTACTCACTTTGTGTAGATGCTCCCTGGAAGGGCTCTTGTCAAGAGAGTTCAGCTCTTTCTTCAGCAAGGCGGCACTCTTGGATCTCTGCTGCTTATGGTAAAACTGTCAAGAGAAATAAGAGCATTTGTTTATGTTTGAACTTCTTCGGAAATATATCTGATGTGCTGAACAGGTTTCCAGACATTAGTTTAATGTAGGGGTGAGCATCGGAACCGGGTATCCGAGTACCCGACCGTTGATGTCAGGAACCGGTTCCAGATTATGGAATCCGGTACCCATAACCAAATTACTTAAAGGGAATATACATCATTTGCTTTTGCTGTAATTTTCAGAAATGGATGGAATTGGCAAATATATAGCAAATATAGTTACACTGACTTTTTGAGGTTTTGGGTTCGAAAATGCTATAAAAACCAAGAAAAGCAATCATTTTCCTGTAGTCTGGTTCCCTGACTCCATATAAGAAGAAACAGAGCAGTTTACATACATTGGGGAATTGTAAGGTCAGGGAACCAGTCTAGCTGGCTTGTACCCGTTTATAGGTGTGTAATCGATTGCAAACAAGTGCGATGGTCAATTGGGGCCAGTATTTGAAAAAAAAGCCAGTTTTTTCCAACGCTGGTCGGCCGACCAGCGTTGGAAATTGATACAAAAATACCACTTTTCTTGAAAATGACAGTATACCAGGTGCCATGATTTTACAGGATGCTTTATACTGTCATTCACTTACAGTCCAGCAAGGTATTTCAAAATGATTTGGTAGTTTTATTTTTTGATGTTTGCAAATGTTGTATTTTCCCTTTAAGAACTTCTCAAACAATGAAAAAGAAAGGCTTTGAATGGCATTTGTGGGGGATTTAAATAAATGAAAACCAGGCTACATGGGAAAACAAAACATATTTTATGTTTATGACGCTTGTGAAAGTTGCAGTTTACACCGTAAAGCTATATAAGCTCAATTGTATCTTGCTGTATTGACGCGGCGATGTGGTATTATTATCGTGCGGACCTTAATGAAAAATCTGAACAGCAACTTCCGAGTTTTGAAGTTTGGGGTTAGATTTCTTTCACGGGTACCTTTGGTTTTTTTTCAACGAGTACCCAGTTCTTGTACTACCCATAAATGCGCACCCCTTGTTTAAAGTGGTTGCCAGTTTCCTGTATTAACCTGTATTCATAATAATGAGCTATCTCCTTTTTCTTAGGTTGTTTTTTTTTACAACAAGCAAAACCACGTTTGTCTCATCTAACAGACTGATCTTTTTAGCCATGCCTGTGATGTCTTGACCTGAACTTGGCTTTCTAAAAAGACGGTGTTAATTTAAAGCCTTAATTTTTGTCTTGATTTTAAAGTAATTGTACGAGAATCCACAAATTTCACAATGTCTTTTTCTGATTTAAACCGGGAGCAGAGTAGATACTTCTGCAGTGCCTTATTCTTACCTCTCTCAGTGACTTCTCAGAACTCGCGATGAGTTTCAACGAGCCGTCCAAGCAAGGCTCCGGTTCAGCTTCATTAGGAGTGACAGCCGGCCTGATGAGAGATAAAGACCATCCAAAGAGGATTGAAGGCCAACCAAAGTGGTTTGTGCTGACAAATGGCACAGTAGTCTATGACTTCTTTGGATGTGCAAAATGGTTCAATGACTATCCGACATTCTTAAAGAGAAATGAGGGGGATTATCTGCCATACCAGACTATATATGACTTGAAGCTTTGCATGGCGGATGAGATAAAGTAGAAAAATTGCAGGTAACACCATGTGGAAAGTAATCTCTTTTTGGAAGAAGTGTGGTTCTGAAAAGAACCGGGTAAGGCTACTGGTATTTACTCCCACAAGAGTAAAAAATTGCAGTAAACTATCTTGCTCAGGGACAGAACACATTAATTCCCAGGCTTAGTTCTGACCTAAAGTTTGAGGTTTCTAGCACAGAATTTGAATAAAACTTGAGCACAATCCCTCATTTGTAAAGAACTGATAAATCATTTTTGAAGGATCCGTTGGAACTTTTAGAAAGCATTTTAGGGACATACTTTGGCAGTGAGCTAGAAGCGCTGAAGGAGACCACTCCAGAGTCTACCGATTTCAGATCCAAACGCGAGGGTTTGTCGCCAGTATTTTTGGGCTCCCATCGCTTGGCCAGCTCCTTGACTTCGCTGCTCACGCCCGGCGCATCCTCATCCAGAAACCTGGACAGTGGAGGAAAGGAAGGGGGACCCCAAAAAATTAATAATATTAATCCAAAATGTTATATCAAACAGTGCCTTTGTGTGACTGGCTGATCAAAAGAAGGTGCATTAACTTAACCCTAACCTCACCAACTCCATCAAAATCCATCCTCCCATTTTTGGTGGATTTTCGGGGACTTGGGCCTACAGGCCTGGTTTGACTTAATATTGATGGAGTATGATGGACTTGGGCCTGGAGGCCTAAAGCAAAGCATGCATTGGAAGCAGTGTGATTGATGGATTTTGGCAGACTTGGTCCAGTACTTAGTAGAAGACAGTGGGGAGTACTTAGGGTTAATCTTAAATGGCAACAAAAGAGCAAAATAAAACCTATTAAACTATGGCATTAACCACAGAATTACCAATGAAAAACAAAAGAACATAGGCCCCATTTTTCACAATAAGCGAAAGAGTTTTTTGGAACCTGGATAAAAAGGAAAACGAAATGCCAACAAATTGAAGTATATTCATCAAAGAATCATTAAAACTGAGCAGCAGAATAAATTGGGGTGATTAAAGGCTATCCACTAAAGGAAAAAAGCTAAAGCAATTGTACATCATCACTGCACAAACCGGTCATGGTATCAGTATGGCTTGTGGTTTAATACGCCATACAACAATCTCTATAGTCTGAGCATCAACTGTTGTCCACGGAGCCCTATCTCCGGTTCAACTTCTGATATATCTAAGCAACCCCGCACGCCAGCCAATCGGAGTCGACTTTACTAAATCATGATGTCATTTCATTCTGAAAGCTGGACTTCTAAAGTTTTTGATTGGTCGATTCGGATGCATTACCTTGTATTACAACTGCCGGGCGCGCATAGATCTACAAAATCTAGACATGAATGTGATTGGCCAGCTCTATTATTGCTTGGCGTATCGCGTAACATATCTTTACAGAGTGCGTGATGGCAGACTGTTTTGCTCAATTCACAACGCAAAAAAACAATACTAGATGTCGTGTATAGGTTTTATTTATAGACATCCATGACGAGACATGTAGAAAGCGCCCGCTGAATAGCCAGAATGTGGAGGTCAAGACGCAGTCTTTTTTTGCATAATTAATCGCCGAATCAGCTCACATATCATAGACTCTTTCAAAGAGCCTGTTACATCCGTTATGATCTCTACAAGGATGGTGCGGAAATATGAGAGGGTGCTTTTCACCACTTTTGAGAGCCCCTTGGACGGGAAACACCGCGTTGGCGTACTGGTTTGCGCACCTATAGTGCTAAGTGCGCACAACTAATTTGATTCAGAATGTGCAGAATGCCACAACGTCTTCGCATGAGCATCAAGCGTCGTCACCAATGCGTTTGAGTGTCTCTCCCAGTTGTCTCCTCCAACTCTCCCTTTCTTACCATTGAGGGGGTTCTTGTGCACGGAGCCCATGGAGAAAGAGCAGTTCAAAAACTGTCCTCTCAATGTTTCAACCAAAGGTACATTTGTCATAAAGATAAATAGGCAGTCTTCCCAGAAATTAAATGTCTGATTTTAAACCAAAACCAATACTGCAACCATACAAAGCCCAGTCCATTAAAAAAAAAATCAGAAACAGCCATTTCTTTTTTAAAGTTTCAACACGTGCAAATTACCGGGAGAAAAACAAATTGTCAACAGTAGGCCAATCTGTGAGCCAGACTAAGGCTTTTCCTGGACCTACCATTCCTGTATCTTAACCTCCATGGCCTCGAGGCTGTGGCCAGACTTTTCATAGATTGCTCTCAATATTGGAAGCGGAGTCTGAAAGGCATCATTGGTAAACTGATAAGAAGAAAATAGAAAGTGGACATGTCAAATTCACTTTTTTTCTAGTTTTTGCAATAAATAAAATGAAGTAATTTTGAGCTATTGCTGACATTTATACCTGTACGAGCATTTGATTTGAACTGCATCTTTCAAAGAAATCCTATTTCAAATCTGTTCCCATACAGGAATCATACAGAATAAGATTATATATTTAATCTTTAGTGACTTCATTTTTTTGCAATCCTGAATGCCTTAGCATTCTTTTACAAAAGAAGCAAATTTTGTGACCCTTTTCAAACACTCACATTTCATAAAAAAACATTATACATAAATTGGTACCACGTTCAAAGCCTCTATACCCGAGCAGAATGACTATACTTTAAAAGCCTTCAACTTTTCATGATTCGAGGTTTGAAAATGCTTTCAATCTAGCACTTAATTTTTGGCTTTCTGGTCACTACATCAGTAAACCAAAAAAAATAAAAAAATTAAAAATCTGCCTACTTACACTCATGAAGGTTTTGGTTTTATCATCCAGTCCCTCCATGGGATCCAAACCCCCCTGGGATGAAATGGAAGATTCCGAGATTCTCCTCGGCGAGTGGGACGTGGACGGTATGTCGTCCGGCGTCATGTAACCAGAGCCGCCGGAGTCCGAGAGAGTCGACGAGGAGCGAAAGGTGGAGTAGGACTCGTCACTGTCATCGCTGTCCATGTCATCGTCACTATTGTCCTTGTCATCTGCGTCACCGTCACCCGGGGTCGTAGGCTTGTCACCGTCGATGACCACAGTGGTGAGATCGGGCCCGCTGAGAGAGACTGTCGTGGAGCCGGACTTGCCATAGGTGTAGAGGCGAATGGATAGTACCTATGAATTCAAATGTAGTCGTAATAAATAATATGTATTTATAACGCATATGTATCCACCATTATTGGTGCTCAAGGCGCTAACATCATTATTACCCCTGCTCATTGGGCCAATGAAACATTCAAAAGGCAATCTCAGCTCCCTGGGGAGTATACAGCTCCATGCTGCCTGTTAGGCGCAAGGAAGCTAGAATCAATCACAATAACCACCTCTGCCCTCACAGGTACCCATTGACTCCTGGGTGGAGACAAGAGAAGCGATAAGTGACAAAGTGTCTTGCCCAAGGGCACACACACCATAGCCACAGGCTGGACTTGAACCCACAACCTGCAGAATTACCCGCAGAATTACCCGCAGACCACGAATTCAATGCTCCAGACCACGAGGCCACGGCACTCCACAGTTGGTACAAACTTATCTAAAATGGATTACTCATCCAACATTTACACAATGTGCAAAAACTGCAGCATACTTTGTAATAATAATAATATAATAATAAAAATACCCGAGTCTTATATAGTGCACGTATCTACCAACAATTAGGTACTCAAGGCGCTGGAGATTATTATGTGTATAAAAGTTGCTGATGGAATCCTGATGTTAAACTAGTTTGTGCTCAGTCAAGCACATCGGGGTACCAAATTATATTTTAGGGTTTGAGTGGCCCAAAATGAAGATAAGTGGGACGACCTTTATAAACAGGCAAAGATTTTGTAAATTCTGAAAGCGCTCCAAAATCAAATTTTCCATCCAAAAACTTTTTTCTGTCTTTGATTTTTTCTCTCAACGAAATGACATTTTCATCTGTGAATGTTTACCTCTAAATCCCTCAAGATCCACTGACGGCTGAGTTTGGTTGCCTGACTCGCCAGGTGCACAAGCAGTGGAATTAGCTCGCTGTTGAGAAGCTCCAGTCTACCATCAGAACCGCCGCTCCCCTGCAATTGGTCAATAGAAAAAGACTGATTTAGCATTTGGGCAAAAGGAAAAGATAATGTCTTGAAGACTGTAAGGCTTAAACAGATGAGGTACTGTGAATGAGAGTAGCTCAGGCACTAACTGGTATAATAAGGAAGTAAAGTCTGTCATGAGCCAACAGACCTTTATCATGCTGCCACCATTTCAGTCATGTTCCCTGTATCCAATAACAGCACTGAATAATAACTTTTTTGTGTAAAAAGGAACCAGACTATTTTTCCTTCTAACCTCGCTTTGGTTACATTGATTTGAATAGGGAAAAATCAAATGGCTAGACAATGGTCTATATGGCCCATCAGGCATGAAAGGACTGAGAATATTTCTGTTCCCCCTGGATGAGATACCAGTCATAATTATAGTGCTCATATAGCGCTTTCCATCATATCAACAATCTCAAAGCGCTTTACAAGTATACCCCGCTCATCAGGCCATGAGACCACGCAGCAGCCGATATCAGCGCTCAATCGGTCCTCAACCCTCACGGGTACCCATTTATACTCCTGGGTGGAGAGAGGCAATTGTAGTTAAGTGTCTTGCCCAAGAGTACAAACACCATGTTCCTGGCAGGATTCGAACCCACGCACCATCGTGCATGAGTCAAGCACCGTAACTACTGGACCATGGCGTTCTACTATCGACACACTGGCCGGTAGACTTTAAATGGCTGTTTTCGATAATCCAACCTTTCGAGTCTATGGTCAGACTATGTGGGCATGATTCAGGTGTGTTGTGGAATCCAAGGAATGAGTAAACTTTAAGCAGACATGCCAAAAAGCAATCGTACAATGAAAAAACTTCTGTTTTGTGTGTACATGGAGGTGTTCAATCTAATCAGAAACAAGAGTTTCAGATGTACAGTTTTATTGGTTAATTGTAGCATTCATCAAAAACTATTTACCAAATAATGGGAATTGTTACTCATCCTATTGTTACCCATCCTTGAGGCATAAGGATGTGTTATGATGGCCATGAGGCACATGTACTGGTACAAGAGTGTTCACTATGAAAACATGGAAGCATTTTGTCTCTAGAAGACAATGTGCATATTTGTTCTTGTTGTAGATCTACAGCAGAGTGTTATTGCTCATTCTCTAAATTTGGGGTCTACTTTTTTTCCTGTCCCTGTTACATCTGACATCTATGATTTTATAATTCTGATGCACTTTTTATTGCAGTCGTCCTCCAAGAGTGATTATGAATGGTAAACTACCAACCTCAATAAAAAGAAAAAGTTTTGAAGTATACTATAAAGAACAAAGGGTGCGTGTCTGGGTGTGCGGTTACAACTTGTTCATGAGTTGTTCGACCGCGAAGCAAGCAAGTGACAGGCAGCGAGTCCACTTTTGACAGGTGGCGAAGCCTCGTTCTTTATGATACTTGAATGGCAATTTACAAATTACCAAGGTAACAAGGACAGGAAAAATGTCACACTTTGGACCCAAAATTTACAGAACGACCCTTATACATGGTGTATATTATGATGACTACAAAGCATGGTAAGGTACTAACATACTAAGACAATAGATTAATTAAAACATCGACAAACTATTCTATGGATCAATAGGCTTAGCTGGTAACAACAATTTGAAGACTTTGCAGTGCTCTTGCAACCCTCACATGCAGTGCATACACACTCACTCACTAATTCTCAACCAAAAAAAAAGAAAGAAAAAAAAAAGATTGTTGCCAAATTGGCATGCCTGACAACAACAATTTGAGATCACATGAGAAGAATTTACGTCAGATGCAGGGCTGTGCCGAATACATACCGAATATTGCATCATCAACCAAATATCCGAATGGCATTTTTTTTTCAATTCGGGCGATTCACAATGCAGTGCGCCACCAATAGTTTGCCACGGAGAGTTCATTTTTCCCAGTGCATTGTGGGAGATTGTCGACAAATTCGCAGCACTGGACATTTGAAATTGTTAGTTTTTTCAATCAGTAGTTTCGAGAGCGTATGATTCGAGTGTATGTGTGCCCTTTTCTTTTCTTTTTATCCAAAATGGTGTTTTTTGTAAGGTGGCAGAACGCTATGCCCAATCTATAACAAAATAGCTCAAGTTGTCTACTGATACTCATTCAAACAGGCCGTGTTTTGTTGACCGTAAACTTGAAAAATGGACTCTACATGGCAAACTCTTGGTGGCACACTGTAAAATTCAGTATATAAGATGATTTTTGTAAAAGACCACTATCAAGTTAGAGTGAAAGGTTAAAACAATTTAAGATTTAACTTTTTCCAAGTTTACAAATGTCACAAGCATTCACACATATTCTGTTTCTCTGTTTTTGCAGGATATTCCCTGTATATTTCAAGGCTAAATCGCTACAGATTTCCACTGCTACAACACTGATTTGCTCACAGACGCAAATATGAATTTTGTTTTAACTGTTTGATCTCAATTGTACCTTTAATTTATAAGTGTTTCCCCTGCTTTTGACATAAGAACACGCGTCTGATGTGTGCATGCTATTACACTAAGCATTGTGACAAACACAAGCACAAAAGATATGTTACCATAATTGCATTTCAATGCCTACACAAGTACATAAGCAGATGAACAAGTCAAAGCATGAGTAGTTTTTATTAACATGATTTTAAAATTTGCACGTCTAGAGAAGTCTCCAAACAAAACAAAGATCGGTGATACAGCATCATGAACTTACCGATCTCACAAACTGAGCACTTGCCCTGTTCTGAAATACACAACCACAACGTACAAATAGATTACCACAAATACTACTGCTATCCACGTGATTATTAACAGACAGCACAGACCGACCAGACCGACCAGACCGACAGACAGACAAACAAACAGAAAGACAGGGACAGTTCTGGACTGACAGAATAGACGCTCAGTGCTTCCCATGTTAACAAATTGTGAGGGGGGGGGGGCGCGCATTGAAAATTGTCCATACAATTGAGCAATTCTATCATATTTTGCACCAATCTGCCCGACTATATCTGGGCATGCTATAAATTCTATCACGAAGGCCCCTTTCAATGGTGAAAGCATTGTGCCAGCTATTGTTCATATAAACCGTCGTCACAGGGCAGTTGCTTCATACATTAGCATGCAAAATGGTTTCCCCATTGAAGGGGGCCTCGTGAGTGCACAGTGCTCTTATATATTGGCACTTATGGGGCACCAGGAACAAAGGGCAACAACAGGGACAATGGTACCCTGCAAGTCTGTCTTTAGAAATTGAAGTACCCCATAGCTGTAGCGCTATGGGTTTTGAGATTTCTAAAGGGACAAAGGAGAACAAAAGAAGGGGATTAGGGTCGACTTGAACAATAGTGGAACCCCATAAACCCCAGATGCTAAGTGTGTGTGAACTCGTGCCCAGTGGCGTCACCTCACAACTGTTAATCAGGGGAAACAAAACAAAAAACAGAGCAGCAGGACCACCATTACGACGGATTTACAGACAGACAATCAAACAAGCACCCCAACAAACAAACAAACAAACAAACAAACAAACAAACAAACAAACAAACAAACAGACTAGTCACCTTTATATTTGTAAGAATGGCCTTCATGATCAGATACAGCACCCACACTGTCTCTACACTGAGCTCCCCACCTGATGGAAACAAAAAATATTCATGGTATAACTACTTTGATTTATCATTCATAGATTAATTATTCGAAGCTTTATTATTCATATGTTATTCATGTCCATGAGCAAGATACTTTGCTGCAATTGTTTCACTCCACTTCTTTTGTTGACAATGGTACAGACCAATGAAATGGCAGCCTTCAGATCACATGCAAATCCAATGAGTTTGTTGTTTAACAAGGTGTGGAAATATCTTTCAGCCACTTTGATATTCATTCTACAATTGTAAGGCGTTCTATCAAAATGGCAGAACTGGGCAGAGGTCGAAATGAGGGTTTGCAGGTATAAGGAAAGAGAATACAGTTCTTACAATACTGTTTGTTGCACTACAATCGGACATTCAGTATACATGTAACGGTTGTTTAAAGTTCGTTAGACTTGTCAAAAAGTTAAATACTGAGAAAAAGGCTTTTTTAAAGTTTCGAGTTTTGTAGTGTGAAAATGAAAGATGCCAAATAGTTTTTTCCTTAAAAACAATTTTATTCCACGATTTTTAAACTAGTTATTTAAAATATGTGTAGTAGACATATCAAAGATCACAAATATCAATAAATCTGAAAATAAAACAAAAATCATCCCCATTTGGTTTTTGCATTTTTCTCCACTACAGCCTGTGCCCAGTTCTGTCTTATTTTGCAAGAACGCCTCACAATTCATGTATTCAGTTGTAAGGTTTTTCCTGTTTAAATGTTGAAATTTTAAGATTTTTTTTTTTAAAGTTCTTTCTCGAATCTAAGAAATAGTTTTTATCGATCTTTGCAAATGATTATTTATAAAATATAAAAACTGACCTTCTTTGAGCTTTGTCAGGATATCTTTGGTGATGGTAATGAAGAAAGAGAATTGGTCTGGTTTCAGACTCTGCCCCAACTCCTCATCCATCACCAGCTTGTAATCCTTCACCTGAGTATGGTAAACAGTCCACAATGCTTAAATCTCTTCTTGCATTTTGTGGAGAAAATTCTTCTGATGTGAACATTTATAATGAACGATGCACCCCTGGTTTTTTTTAGGTCGGCAAAATTGATGATCTTTGTCAGCAAGTAGCGCCACTAGTGTCTGATAGTGTCTAGTGTCTTGAACAGCGCCCCTGCTGTCAGATGATGTCCAGTCTTTGAGAACAATCGAGGTAATATACCCAAAGTAAATGTCGTTGAGTCTGTGCAACAAGGTCGTATCTCCTTAAATGGCGTGTGACCTCATGTATGTGAAACGTGAGTTTTCAATGTCAAAAGGTTGTTTCTCGCTTAAAATAACCCGGATGTACACACAAAGTCAATGGACGTCGCGATACGCGAGATACGACCTTGTTGCACGGAGCGTATTCGCGCAAGATACAACTTTGTTGCAGAATCGAGTTACGACCTTGTCGCAATGACGCGACAATGTGCTTATGTACACAAATTCTGAAATCATCACATGAACAGTAATTCACCAATGAAATTTCTCAATCTAATTCCATGATGTATAAACAAGTCGACGGGTGCCTGGAGAAGGTCCTAAGGGGCGAAAAATGGGTCAAAAGGTCAAATTCAGAGTTTTCGGGTAATCTTGGAAATATCTTTCATTTGATATACATATTGTCTCAAGGGGCTATGCCATTCTGATATAATTAACAGAAAACAAAAGACGGAAGGAGGTTTTTCATTATTTGTGCCCGGCAAAGGGTTGTAAGCGTGTAATTCTAACGTAACAAGAAACATGTTCCAAGCTCGCTAATGTCCCACTCAAGTGGACACGCAAAGCCAATTTTGTTCCTGGCAAAAGGACGTAAGGACTTAACATGCCGCTTAAGCGTACATTTAAGGCTTGCAAAATTCCCAGCAAAAGGTCGTTAGCATAAAAATTGAAATAACTTCGAAATTAAGTAATATTTTGACATAAAAATGCACAAATATTATTTTAATTATTAACAAATGTCATCAGTCAAAATTCCAACCTAAATGTGATTTTTAATCTAGAAACGGCAGCACAAAACCTTTCAACTCGATTATCTCCAAAAGTGCTTTTTGCGTGCCTGGGCTACTTACGTCCTTTTCCTTGTCACACAACGAAGTCTTGTCTTTTCCCTGAATGCTTCTTTAGTAAAGAGCAAAAATTCCACTTGCCTGTTTCTTCTTTCTTGTTCTGACGTCCGTCACCACCACCCTGTTCTTCTCGACGAGATGTTTCATGACAATCACGTTGGCCTGCTCCCCTAGTGTCTCTACATACTTGACGGAACTTCCAAGACACAGGACCTGACAGAAGTAGAGGAGGAATATCACACAGAAAACAAGAAAATAGTCAGACTATTGGCCAAACACTGATTTTATCTGGATATCAGGGGCTTTAGAAATACGTCTGTCAAGCCGGAAGGGTGGCTTATTTATTTATTTATTATTTTAACTGGGTAGCCCATTCAGTGGAATCCACTGACCATGGGTCCCAGTAAAGAGAAGACAATGTGGAGAAATTACAGTTTTAGATGTGGGAGGAAAAGCCCAGAAGAGTATTCCGAGGAAAACCCACAGAATCAGGTAGGGACTGAAAACCTGTAGAATACTGAGAAACCTCCCAGCAAGATGAGGAAGGTCTGCTACCTGTTGTAGGTATTGGGATTTATTTTGTTTTTGCTTTGCAAAGCTGTTAAATCGGACCATGGCTGAGATCACCCAGACCACCTACTGGGTTCCAAATGAAAAGCTATGAAAGGAGCAAGAAAATACTATATAGGAACAGGAAAATAATTGTTCAAAATGATTTTTTTTTTAAAGACCAGGAAGAAAATGCTGTTTTCCAAATGAAGCATTTGAAAAGGAACACACAAAAAAATATGCTGCTTTCTAAAAAAAAGAAGAACCGAAAGTGTGTGTTCTTAAATGTAGCATCCAAAAGAAAAAGAAATATTGCTATTTTTGAGACGCTCCCTTTACTTGGAAAAGTCCACCACAATAAACGGAGCATTCCAAAAGAAACACACAAAAATGCCCTTCAAAAGGGAATAACTCCATTTGCTGTATAAATTACCTCAGGAAAGCCTGCTACCACAAACAGTGTAAAGATACAAGGCAGAGGGCACTGCTGCGGCAGACACTGGATGGTGGTAGTGATCTTGTGCGCCAAGACCATCTGCCAAGACGGCACCAGGCACAGACGCTGGAGAATGCTGGCCATCAGGGATGTCCACTCTAGACCACTCCTGGGACAAAAGGAGATGAATTCATGGGTTAGGTACATTGTATTACATTGTATTACGTTGTATTAATTCCCAGCGCTAGGAGTCCAAAGAGGAGTGCTTCGCATTCAATGACTCATGTGATGGAAAGCTGCGTTGAGGAGATGAAAATAATCACATTCTGCTAGTTGATCACAATTTTTTTTTAGATAGACCGTGGTGATATATAAGTGGCCTATTTTAGAATAGTATAATAGGGGTGTAAATGGCGCCACCAACATCAAAATAGTCCCCCCCCCAAAAAAAAAACCCCTTTTTTTTCTGCGGCCAACATTTTCGGCAACATTTTTACAAACTTACAACAAAATTTGAAGAAAAAAAAGTGAGCCCTCCCCCAAGCTAAATCCTGGGTGCGCCACTGCATTCTGAATCTGAATGCTTGCCAAAGACACTGAATCGTACTCACTTTTCAAGGCATGACGCTCCAAGCTCAAACAGAAAATCCACAGTCAGCGCTCCGTCCAACTTCTCTTCCGTCCCTTCTCCTGCCTCCTCCTTATCCATGTTGGGTGCATCGTCGCCTTGGGCTCCTTGAGACGCCGCCACCGCAGCCCCGCTGCTCTTACCCATTCCTTGGAGCGAGGCCAGGGCTTGGGATCGGCGGATGACCTCGTCAGCTTCCTTGGGCAAGATGTGGATGAGGAGTTGGCCCAGCAAGGCCACGATCTGGTGCTGGCAGTTGTTGTTGCCACTGGTGTTTGGTTCTCTGCGAAGAAAATGAGGCAAAATTAGAAGTATACATAACTCTTTCACATAAACCACGAAGGGCTGGATCAGCAAGATATCAGAAGACATCTACACCAGTGCACCATGTTCTACAAAATTCACTACAACTTCGTCAATGTCAGTTTTCCACCTTGTATCCAACTTCACCCAGCATTAGGCAGATCTCAACATCATCTTCACTACCAACCAATCCAGGCATTAAGAAACTCATTCAAATTCTCATTCTTCGTCCGCACCATACCAATAAGGAACAGGCTTCCGCTGGAAGCAGTAATAGCACCATCAGTTGCAGCTTTTAAGGCAGTGGCCCTTCCGGCGGTGAGAGACATGTGTCTCACCACCACCCACCAGCAACTCTAAGAAGTGAGGATGCTTCGGAGATGAAACTGGCCTTGGCAAAAAAAAATCTGAAATTGGACCTTGGTTACGAGCCACAGCGTCGCGCAGCGCAATGCAGCACAGTGCAGTGCAGCACAGCGCATCAATATCATAGGTCAGTATTGAACCTTTTCTCCAGCTGGAAAACATCTGATCAGTGTTGGTCTAGGTGTTTTACACTTGTGCACATTATACGTGCCATTTTCATTGACTTTTCTTGGAAATAATAATTCAAAAAAAAATTTTTTGTGGAAAAATCCTTAAGAAATCATTTTTGTGGGATGGTTAAAAAATCTGGAATTTCATTGGAAAGGTTTTAAAAATCTGATTTCAGATTAAAATCTGAAAAGTTTCATCTCTGCTACCAGCAACTCTAAGAAGTGAGACCGCTTTTACTTGCACTTGTATCTCTACCGCACCTGCACAACTGCACAACTTGAGTCACCTCGACTTCTCCTTGGACAAGCAAACTGCTTGTTAGGAGTCTACATATCAAGTATCAAGGGGAACTGACTGGGTGCATTAAAATCATTTTTTTTTTCAAAGTTGAGCAAACAAATTGAATGGAGCAGGGTTTGAACCTGCGACCTCCGGTTTGCCGTTCCGATGCTCTACCAACTGAGCTATCCAGCCCTACGTTGGTAGTTTCTCAATTTGTCAACATCTTTGTTCGAGGAGCGCTTATCAGAAGCCATAAACCTGTGTATATGCCATGTGGCCAGGGATCACGCCCAAAGTCACAATGCTAGCCGTTCCAGTGCTCTACCAACTGAGCTATCCAGCCCTATGTTGGTGGTTCCCCAATTTGTCATTGTCTCTCCTCAACATAACTCATGAGGAATTCATGACCTTTTATTACTACGTACTCAAAACAAAATAATTTTAAATATGAAAAACCAATAACAGTTTTAAGGTTAAGACAAGGAATTGATATTATATGTTTGAAATCTGGTACAATAAGAAAATATGCTTGAGATACACTGCAAACAGAGATTTTTTTTTATTTAAAAAAATAATAACGTGACTTAACAAATTTGTCACGAAATAATAAAATATTTTGGTGTTATAAAATTAATACAAAAATGATGAAGCTTACTTGGCTAATTTCAGTAAAAGGGGCAAGATTGTTCCGATGTGAAGGTCGTGTGAGTGAAGTCGCCTTAGTGGTGAGCTGTCGAGCTGGCAAACAGAAAGACAAAAATGTATTCATACTTGATAAATACGAAATGAAATCTGTGAATACGTTTAAAATGGTGAAAAAAACTAAGAATTTGAGAGAATTACATTTAAATCAGGGTTCCTGCAGGAATCTTAAAATGAAACTCCATGACTTTTCCCGGGACAAAATTAAGGCTTTCCATGACCAATTCCTATGCTGTTCTGGCATCTTAGGAGCCTATTTATAATACACTGGCCAGTCATCACACTGAGGCAAGGCACGCCACTCCCTTTCAGCCTTCCAGTTTGACACAAGACCACTGAGCACCACAAAAGCATCACAATGGTGCATTGAACATGCAACAAGTATGGAGCATACATGCGTAAAGAGGAAGTATAGTAAGGCCAAAACAAAAAGTACTTCTGCCTCCAATTACATGGCATTCGAAAATAGGGTAGGTAGGTAGGAAATTTTTTGTTGGGGCTAATTTTTTTTTTGTACGATCATATGGAGGCGTCTGCGTGTAGTCATGGGTAAAAGGTATAAACTGATGGTTTTTGGTGTTTTTTTTCTCATTTTTCCAATAAAAAAATAGGGTAGGGGCTGTCAGAATAGGGTAGGTAGGAAAACCGGAAGCAGAACTATTATTTTTTTGGCCTTAACTGGAATGCAAACCAGAAGATTGCCATTGCCAAATATTATGCATCATCACGTATGGGTTGTGCAGGATTCTATGATTTTTTCCATGACGTTTTTCTTGGAATATCAACACCTGACTCTTTTCCATGACTTTCCATGACAGCTGTAAATTCCAGAATTTCCCAGGATTTTTTCCACGTCTGCCGGAACCCTGTTAAATCTTGTGTTTCAAAATTTGTCTTTTTAGAAGCTCGTAAATTTTGATGTAGAAAATGTAAAAAAAAAAAAAATTCTCCAATAGTTCCAGATAGAGCACAGTCTCAGCTTGTTAAAAACAACTTTTATCAGGCGCTTACTGGCAATATTTCCATCGAAAATCATTCTTTCCTCTCCACCATCCACCCCTTAAATATCCTGATTTTAGTCTGGAATGGTTTCTTAGTGATATAAATGGAGGGAGTGCTTACCCGTGTGTTTTCTAGTAGCATGGCCCCTAGCAACCCCAGCACTCTAGCTTGAGAGTTGGCTATGAAGGCCTTCTCATGTAACTTTTCGTTGTCCTCCACGGCTGATTCAGTCTCTGAAAAAAAAAAACCAAGTGAAAATATTTAATAATAGTAGCAATAATGTGTATTTTATATAAAGTGCAGGTATCTACCAGTTCCCTGCTCATTGGGCCCATGAAACATTCTAAATACCATCTCAGCTCCCTGGGGAGTATACAGCTTGATGCAGCCATTTCGGAGCAAGCAGCTACAATCAACCACAATAACCATCTCTGCCCTCACAGGTGCAAAGTGCCTTGCCCAAGGGCACACGCACCAAAACCTAGGCTGGACTCGAATCCTCAACCTGCAGAATTCCCCGCAGACCACGAATTGAATGCTGCAGACCACGAGGCCACGGCACTCCACAGTATTATCCATTGTATAAATTAGCATTAAAACGGAAATGAAGGTGTTAATATCCATGATTAATCCAAAAAAACTCAAACCTACACAATGAAACAAAGTACTTCAATAAAGCACACGAGGATGTATTTACAAAATAAGCTTTAACTCTTTGAGTGTTGAATCAATTGACCAAATTAATTTGACGAAATTCAAACACTGGAGTTTTTTAGTTGATGTTCAATGAAATATGTTTGAATACCTTCCGAGTCTTTCTTCTCACTTATTTCAGACGGTTTCTCCTCAACATCCTTCTCAGAAGTCTTCGCCGCTTCTTTCTCATCCTTCTTACTTTCTGCAAACAAAATTTACAGAATTTGCAACTGAAATGGGACGTAAAACATCAGACCTTGCTTCCCAAAAAATTTACATCACATTTATCCGATTCATTTAAACAAAAAATAAAAAATTGTAAAATTAACCAGGTTGAATCAATTGTTTCACAACAGAAATTGAAAACTGGAAAAAAAATTTCATAAAATGGAATTTGCATTGGGGTGATGTCAATCAATATTAGGTTTTGCCCTTCACCGACGTACAAACACTGTATACCCAGTGTGTTACCTCCCGAGTGAAAGTTGGAAAAAATCACTCGGGTGGGACTCGAACCTCGACCTCCTGCTTTCTAGTGCAGACGTCTTACCACTCGGCCACCGAGCTAACGGGATCGGTTGGCTGGTTCGAATCTGATGTACATAGCAGCGGGTACCGCATTAACTATTCATAAGATGGAATTTTTGCGTCGGGGTGATGTAAATCAAATTAGGTTTTGCCCTTCACCGACGTATGAACACTGTATACTCAGTGTGTTACCTCCCAAGTGAGAGTTGGGAAAAAATCACTCGGGTTGGACTCTGATGTACATGTAGCAGTGGGTGGAAAAAAATGCCCTCTAAAGTTTGAACGGCCTCTTATTTGTAAAAGTCACTGTAACCATCTCACTCTTTCCGTCTACTTACCTAATTCTGGGCGGGGCTGAGCAACAGTGGGTAGGCACTGAGTGGCCAGCTCAATACACTGCTGGAACAGCTTACTGGCTGTGGCCGTGTACTCTAGATTGACAACTGCAATAGGAATATAGGATACAGAAGGGTGATGAGGCGGCCATGAATAAGGGAATAAAATGTGTGCTTGGACGTTTTTAAACACTCTGTTTAAGACCGGTTGGAGTCTGGATGCTGATAGATAATTACCCAAGCTGAAGGCGAGGGTAATTATCAGCATCCAAATTCCATCCAGACTCTAAAAATAAATAAAAAATTTCGGTCCAAAAGTTTTGAAAAAGTTAACAATTATAAATTTTCAACGATTTTGTTCAACAAAACACCCCTTTAGCTATGGAATGGAAAGGCCCTCTGGTACACAACTCCTCATATGGAGATTGACGCGTGCGTACTGCGTGATGTTGCGCAAAACGCAGATCTACCGGTGTTGTGTGAATTTAGGACTATGAAATACTGACTCAAGAATAAATGCACCGGATTTTATAGGAGTCCAAATTTCATGTGACTGGAGAAGAGTTTAAGACCAGCCAGCCATGTCAGATGATGTCCAGTCTTTGAGAACAATCAACGTGAAATTCTTATCGTTCTACTTGAAGTAGAAAAGTAGTGGCCTTTACTAGGAGGAATTCAAACAATTTTATTTATTTGTTGGGTAGGTAGTTTGCTATTCATACTCACTCTAAAAGGACGACTGAATTCAAGAATGCATCAGAATTATAAAATCATAGAAGTCAGAGGTAACAGGAACAACGGTAGACCCAAATCTATAGGATGACTCCTCTACTTTTCCCTACACATTTCTGAAATGAAATCATTTGAGTCTAGTACCTCGACTCTGAGCAGTGTGCATCATATCGGCCAGTGACAGAGCCAGTGAGCTGAACAGCAGCCAGGCATGATGATGGCTGTAGGTTTCTAGCAAGGTCCCCTGCTGCATGTCCGACGTCACCGTCTTCATAGGAAATACCTCCACGCAGTGCAAGGCCGTGTGCCTGTACATAAAAACCCACACATTTGATTTTAATACAAGACGACTAGACTTTAAAGCTATAGTCCATCATTTGCAGCCATCCGAAAAAGTAACTGACGTATTATTGTTGAAAAACATACTTAGTTGAAAGATAGTAAGGGGACTAAACTCCCTGTGAAATTATTCTTTCTGGCAAGCTGTCATTTTGAAGTAATCAACGACAGAAGGCCTTTCCAACGGTGCGTCTTAAGACGCACCGTAGGAAAATTTAAATTAGTAGTTTGTTTTGTTATTCGGCGCAGCGCGCGCAAGCATTGGCACGACGCACAGGCGCGCGCGGTTGCTATAGCTGCAATTCAAAACAATTCAAAATATGATTCAGCAACTTTTGATTTAAAATTGAGATCCTAGAATGCTGTTTTTCTCAGAATATACAGCTGAAGCTGAGCTGAAACTTCATCAGGTTAGTTGTTTAGTATCCTTCATTAGATTTTGAACACTTTTGTTGCTTCAAACGAACAAAATGCACAAATTACAAATGATGGACTATATCTTTAAATCTGGTCGAGCGGACTCAAAAGTCTCAGGTTAGGACATTGTTACACAACCAGTGGGAGTTTGGCCTGGTGGTTAGGGTTTGGGCTCATGATCAGAGGGTCAGGGGTTTCAATCCAGCTGCTGGCCATATTTTGTGTCCTTGAAGTAAAATGTGGTGGAGTGCCATGGCCTAGTGGTCTGGAGCATTGAATTTGTGGTCTGCGGGTAATTCTGCAGGTTGTGGGTTCGAGTCCTGGCTGGGGTTATGGTGTGTGTGCCCTTGGGCAAGGCGCTTTGTCACTCATTGCTTCTCTCCACCCAGGAGTAGATGGGTACCAGGGAGGGCAGAGATGGTTACTGTGAGAGGTTGCGACCAAGAGCGCAGAAATGACTGGCTACCGGCCATGTATGCTCCCCGTGGATCTGAGAAGGATTCAGGAGTGTTTGCCTGTTGAACAGGGCTTATAATGATTGTAAAGCCGTGTCTGAGCCAAGCATTTTTTTTTTTTACGGCTGCGGATATTATCTGTGGGGTCCAAATGTACAGATCAGTAGCCGTAGCCATAAAACATGGAACTTACCCTTCAGGGAAGTCCTGCGCATGATGGCAGCCGTAGCACAAGTCAAAGTCATCACAGATGTTGCAGTGAATGCGAGTACCCACGATGAAGCCGTGGCAGAAGTCACAGTTATACCTGCCCAAGCCATCCACGAAAAACAAAGAGAAAAATGCCATACTGATGTCCAAAATGCCATATTGACGTCCAAAATGCCATATTGAAGTCCAAAATGCCATATTGACGTCCAAAATGCCATATTGACGTCCAAAATGCCATATTGACGTCCAAAATGCCATATTGATGTCCAAAATGCCATATTGATGCCAACATGCCATATTGACGTCCAAAATGACATATTGACATCCAAAATGCCATATTGACGCCCAAAATGCCATATTGACGTTCACAATGTCATATTGACGTCCAAAACCATTTCCCTATCAAGAAACTAACTCCGATTGAAAACCTTTGTGATTAGTGGAAATGAAAAAATGAACCAAACTGAACTGAAGTGGTTTTACACATTTTAAAATAAAATTCTAGTTCTAATAAAATTTATACCCGATTTCTTTTCCTTTTTCCCTCAGCTTATTTTGTCACAATTTTTATTAACCCTAACCTTCCCAAATCCTCCAAAATCCTCTTTGCAAAATGGAGGATTTTGTAGGATTGAGGCCATCTGGTACAAGTAAGTGGCTGAGTTCGCAGGATGCACTGTGTCACTGTCTGAGGCTGGACCTTGTGTTGTTTATGCTCAGCCAAGCATGAATTTAGGCCTAGAATATACTTGAAATCCTCCGCACTGCTCCAGGATGTCAGTGGCTCTGCCTCAACATATTGACAGTGCTTGCCGGAGGACTTTGCAGGATTGAGGCAGTGGTCACCCCTCCAAGGACCACATTCATGAAATTACGGAGGATTTTGGAGGATTGAGGCTGTATGCTATTTTTACATGGAGGCAGTTGGAGGATTTTGCGGGATTGAGGTTGCATCCTAGCAATAATGCCTGGGGAGTTAGGATTAAGATCCTTTACTAAGACAAATCATGGGTTACCTGAAATCCACCATAAGATGGTCGTCACGGTGGCCTTCAACCTGGACACCACCTGGAAAAAATAATAGCCAAAAATAAATGCAATTTTACATCAGAATTTACAGAAGGCTTTGGACCATGGAAATTCGAAAATGGATATTTCACCTTTTTTTTTCACTATTTAAAATTTTTTTTTTTTAGAAAATGCGAACCCGGACAAATCGGCGGCCATATCTAAACAAATATTCATGTGGGACTAAATTTTGTTTATGTTTTTTTTTCATGCTGTTGATGTTGTTTATTGCCTGTGGAAAAAATTAACTGAATTGATTGGAAACCTTTAAAGCCATGACTAGAAACGTGAGAGCTCTATAAAATCGAAATTGACACTTTTTACGGCATTAGCTTGTGCTGGTAAATTAGTGGAGAGAGGGAGACCACGAACCTGTATCACACAAGAACACGTTTCACATTCAAACAAGAAGAGACTATGTCTTTATTTCATGACACATTTACATGTACAGGTTTGTGGTCTCCCACTCTCCACTAATTTACCAGCACAAGCTGATGCCGCAAAAAGTGTAGATGGGGTGCTGTGGTCCAATGATTACAGTGTTCGACTCATGTGCCGTGGTACATGGGTTTGAATCCTGATTGTGGGGACATGGTGCTTGAGCTCTTGAGCAAGGCACTTTACCATTATTGCTTCGTCCTTCGGATGGGACGTAAAGCCGTAGGTCCAGTGTGTTGTGTAATGCACGTTAAAGAACCCAGTAACACTTATCGCTAAGAGAAGGGGTTTGCCCTGGTGTTTCTGGCAGTGGCTGCAATATGCGCCGCAGCACCTCGTAAACCCTTATAAGGTGCTACATAATGAGTCTCATAATTCTCATAAACTTCGTTTTACCTGCCTTTAATAATAGACATAATTTCCAGCGCCTTGAGTACCTAATTGTTGGTAGAAACGTGCGCTATATAAGACTCCGGTATTATTATATGATTATTATTATTTGTTGGGTTGTGTATTGGCTTTTTAAATTTCCGTGGCAAGTCAATTTGCAAAGTAACACTTTCTGTTTATCGACTCAATAGAAATTGCAGCCAGTTATGTAAAAACTTACCAAAGAAGCACGAGCGACAGAAGTCAAACGCTTCGCACTCCAGACAATGATAGTGAGCTCCCCGTAACGTGGCCGCACAACCGTCGCAAACCATAACAATCTCAGGCAGGAGATCGCAGTAACGAGCGACAAGCATATGCATGGCCTGACGATGAAATGGTAAAACGGAAAAGAGAAATTACATGCGGCTTACCGAAGTAGCAGCTAGAGCATAGGTCCATGTCTGTGCATTCCAGACAGCGGTAGCGCGCCCCAGGAATGTTAGCTTGGCAGCCATCGCACGAGATGGTTACTTGGAGCATGCTGCAATACCGGGCGATAAACATATGCATCGCCTGGTAATTAAAAAGAGACTTAGAGTGAGCGCTGGATCGGCAGATGGCAATGAGCGCTTTTTGGTTTTTTTTGGAAAATTTTGTTTCGTTTTCAGGTTTTGATTTTTGCGGTTTGTACCGCGGACAGAAAAAAAATGCAAGCGGACTTCTCCTTTGCTTTAATGTAGAAAAGAATAAATGCATTAGTTTTATTTTATGAAGGGGTAACAGGTTGTCTATCTTACATTCAGGACAGTGCCTTTTTTGTTGGGGGGTGTCCCCATGTTCATGTTTTACAGCATTTGCACAATTTTTGGGGTCATGAAATTGAATTTCACCTTAATTTCAAGTATTTTGCAACTACCTTTAATGCTTGTTTTCTTAAAAAACGATATCATTTTGGCGGAATGATTTCACAGGATATTGATAGCAGCCCATCTTCACTTTGAAGTTTCTGTCATTAGGGGAGTCAGGTTGGTGTAGCAGTTCTTTCCTCACCTTCCACCGCTGTGACCCAGGTTCGAATCCCGCCTGGGCCAACATGTGGATGGGGTTTTCAGTCCCTGCCTGATTCCGTGGTTTTTCCCCAGAAAATTCTTCCGGGGTTTTCCTCCCACCTCTAAATCTGTAATTTCTTCTCATTGTCTTCTCTCCACAGGTTTCTTCAGGCTTGCGAGCTACAGTGCTTAGGGCGCTTTGGAGGAATCCTTGGTTTCATTACCAGAAGTAATTAATAATAATAATTAAATCAGTAGGTACTTTTCCGGGTAGGTACTTTTCCGGGTAATTGCAATGTTCCCACTATTAGCCTCAGACTGGTATGTGATCCACATGACCAAGACACTCACCCTTCTCTTTTCCAATGTGTCCTGTTGCTGGATATTGTGGAACCAACCTGAGAACCGATTGCCTGAGCTGGTCTGGAACTCCTTGAACCACCCCATGCACTGCTTGTGCGCCTCCAGCTGTTGGGCTTCGTCCGCAATGCTGGAATGCTCGTCTCGGGCGCTCACATTCCCTACATCGTCCAGAATGACATTTTTCATGATGACGTCAGTCAATGCCACTCATCACGAGTCACAGTCAAATGAACTTGGTCAGCTGCTGTCAGTCAATTACAGTTGCGACGACAGTCACAGTTACTTACAGTCAGTCATGGTCAGACACTCATAGCGAGTCACGGTCATTTATTGTCACAGTCAGTCATAGTGAGTCAAATGCAGTCACAACCAGTCACAGTTACTCACAGTCAGTCATGGTCAGTCACTTATAGTGAGTCATGGTCATTCATTGTCACACTCGGTCATAGTGAGTAAACTGCAGTTAAAACCAGTCACAGTTACTCACAGTCAGTCATGATCAGTTACTCATAGCCAGTCACGGTCATTTATTGTCACAGTCAGTCGTAGTGAATAAACTGCAGTCAAAACTAGTCATATTTACTCACAGCCAGTCATGGTCAGTCACTTATAGTGAGTCATGGTCATTTATTATCACAGTCAGTCGTAGTGAATCAAGTGCAGTCACAGTTACTCACAGTCAGTCATGATCAGTTACTCATAGCCAGTCACGGTCATTTATTGTCACAGTCAGTCGTAGTGAATAAACTGCAGTCAAAACTAGTCATATTTACTCACAGTCAGTCACGGTCAGTCACTTATAGTGAGTCATGGTCATTTATTATCACAGTCAGTCGTAGTGAATCAAGTGCAGTCACAGTTACTCACAGTCAGTCATGATCAGTTACTCATAGCCAGTCACGGTCTTTTATTGTCACAGTCAGTCGTAGTGAATAAACTGCAGTCAAAACTAGTCATATTTACTCACAGTCAGTCACGGTCAGTCACTTATAGTGAGTCATGGTCATTTATTATCACAGTCAGTCGTAGTGAATCAAGTGCAGTCACAGTTACTCACAGTCAGTCATGATCAGTTACTCATAGCCAGTCACGGTCATTTATTGTCACAGTCAGTCGTAGTGAATAAACTGCAGTCAAAACTAGTCATATTTACTCACAGCCAGTCATGGTCAGTCACTTATAGTGAGTCATGGTCATTTATTATCACAGTCAGTCGTAGTGAATCAAGTGCAGTCACAGTTACTCACAGTCAGTCATGATCAGTTACTCATAGCCAGTCACGGTCATTTATTGTCACAGTCAGTCGTAGTGAATAAACTGCAGTCAAAACTAGTCATATTTACTCACAGTCAGTCACGGTCAGTCACTTATAGTGAGTCATGGTCATTTATTGTCACAGTCAGTCGCAGTGAATCAAGTGCAGTCACAACCAGTCACAGTTACTCACAGTCAGTCATGGTCAGTTACTTATAGTGAGTCATGGTCATTTATTGTCACAGTCAGTCGCAGTGAATCAAGTGCATTCACAGTTACTCACAGTTAGTCATGGTCAGTCACTCGTAGTGAGTCATTGTCACAGTCAGTTGTAGACAGTCAACTGAAGTCAAAACCAGTCCTAGTTACTCAGTCAGTCAGTCATGGTCAGTCACTCATAGTGTGTCACAGTCATTGTCACAGCCAGTCATAATTACAGTTACAGTCAATCACAGTCAGTCATTCATGCTCAGTCACTAATGCATGTAAAGAAACTGTGCCTGCCGGCACAATTTCTTAAACCACCTTCAATAATTGTTTTCTTTCGAATGATACCATTTCAAGGGGAAATAGTTCCACAGGATACTAAGTACCAGTCCTATCTTCACTTTGAGTAAGCATTTTGTTGTTAAAGGTACAGTCCATCATTTGTAATTTGTGCATTTTGTTCGTTTGAAGCAACAAAAGTGCTCAAAATCTAAAGAAGGGTACTGAACAACTAACCTGATGAAGTTTCAGCTCAGCTTCAGTTGTATATTTCGAGAAAAACAACCATCTAGGACCTCGATTTCAAATCAAAAGTTGCTGAATCATGTTTTGAATTGGGCCTGAATTCAGCATCCAAGACACGTTCTCACTGAGACGATTGAAGCAATGCGATGTGGCGCACCGATCCAACGGTGTGTCTTAAGACACACCGTTGGAAAGGCCTTTTTTCGTTGATTTCTTCAAAATGACAGCTTGCCAGAAAGAATAATTTCACAGGGAGCTTAGTCCCCTTTCTATCTTTCAACCAAGTATGTTTTTCAACAATAATTACGTCAGTTACTTTTTGGATAGCTGCAAATGATGGACTGTAGCTTTAAATAGGTATGTTCCTATGTGCTGTTAAAGGTTCACACAACCCATGGCAACTTCTGGATGCGCTGTGTGAGTGGTATTTTTCAATTGTCTTACACAACAAGTTGAAGAAAAAAACCCCTAATTCCCGTCTTACGTTTTGCAATGTTAAGCAGCAGTGAGGGTGCCTTGATGTCGCAGAGAAACTTCAAGTCGTAGGGTTGCCAGTCCACATCGAGTAGATGAAGCAGACAAGCCTCCATGCAGGCATAGCCAGTCTCTACCTCCCTGCAAGATAACACCGGACACATCAATTTAACTCATTAATCCCCGTACCGCCCAAAAGTGCCCTGCAGGTTACTCCCTGATGCTGCCCCGATCTGCCCGAAACAACTCCAAAGTCCAATCTACTCACATCTTTATACATATTAAAGCTTATCTGACTGAAATCTGACCTTTGCTGCCACCATTTCAGTAATGTTTCCTGTATCCAATAACAGTACGGAATGATGTTTTGTGCAAAAGAGGAACCAGACTATTTTTCTTTCTAGCCTCACTTTGGTTACGTTGATTTGAATGGGAAAAAATCAAGATGGCCGCAACATGATAATGGTCTATTATGGTCGACCTGAGTTGCCCCTAATAATATTTGGTTCGTCGGTTTATTTACAAATTTGTAATAAAAAGCTGTATCCCTTGAGTGATCCTTATTTTTCCCAGGTTTGCAGCATTGCTAATGTCACTAGCATCGTGACTTTGGCTTGATCCCTGGCTACACGGCATATATGGGTTTATGGCTTCTGACTAGCGCCCCTTGAACAAAGACACTGACAAAATTGGGCACCGCCAACATAGGGCTGGAAAGCTCAGTTGGTACAGCACCGAAATGGCAATCCGGAGGTCGCAGGTTCAAACCCTGCTCCACTCAATTTCTTTGTTCAAGTTTATCAAATATTTGTGTTGGGTGTTAGGCAGTCTAGTAAGAAGCTCTAGCAGTGTTCCTACCAACAACGAAATAGTCAACTTCTGGTTACATTTGATTTTTTTGTGTTCAAAAACATGCTTTATTTATGATATATCTAATAAACACTTACTCTGATTGGTCAGTGCAGTCAAAGCTTTGGACAGCCTCGACTAGACTCTGCACCAGGAGGTAATAGGAGCCTCTCAGCCTAGCCTCCAACTCAAGTCCACAACCATCCAGTCCACTTGCATAGTGCCTGCCAAAGGACCACCACTCAAGAAAATTCATTTGGGAAACACGAAGGGCAGAAACTAACCTTAAGGGATTTGGAATGGTCAGTGAAAAGGAAATCCTACATTTTATAGATAAAAAAAACCCTGTATGGTGAAACCTCAGGAATTCCAGATTTCAAAAGGGTTTCTTTAAAATTCTGAAATCAGCAAAAAAATCCTGACGAAAAATCCTGGAATCAGGAAAAATCCTGATGAAACATTATGAAATCAGAAAAAGCCTGACGAAAAATCCTGGAAGCAGGAAAACTCATGACAAAAAAATCCTGAAATCAGGGGAAAATCCTGACCAAGAAATCCTTCAATCAGGAAAAATCCTTCAATCAGGAAAATCCTGACCAAAACACCCTGAAATCGGGAAAAATCCTGAATTCAGGAAAAATCCTGAAATTAGGAAAAATCCTGCCAAAAAAATCCTGAAATCACGAAAAATCCTGAAATTAGGAAAAATCCTGCCCAAAAAAATCCTTAAATAAGGAAAAATCCTGAAAACAAATCCTGAAATTAGGAAAAATTTTGACAAAAATTCCTGACAAAAATAATCTGCATCAGGAAAATCCTGACAAAAAAATCCCTGAAATCAGGAAACATCCTGACCAATCTCACGCCGGGGTGAACACATTTCAGCAAATTTTGCAGTGAAAGTTATGTGACATCATTCGACTTCAGTTCACATGTAGCATTTGCTTGAAGTATGAACCTGCTCAATATAAAAAAGACTTTTAAGACATGAAACGCACATTTCAGCGGTGGATTTTGAGAAGAGCATTTCCTTGAGGAATTGCAGGCAGTCCGATTGGAAGACAGTGGGCTTGCCGCTGGCCTTCAAGAATCGGCAGGCAAACTGGTAGACGTCGGCCACGGCCTTGGCTCGTTCCTGACGCTCCTCTTTAAGACGTCCCACCCTAAGGAGGAAGACAGTAAAAGAGACTTATTACTACTACTACTACTACTACTCAATTCAATTCAATTCAATTTATATATTCGTCATGCCAGCATGAAACTTTCCTTCTCGCTTTGCACATAACATTTCAAATACCTACAATACAGAAAATTAAATATATAAACATACAATATACACGTTAAAACATTCAATGAAAAGGCAATAAATGAAATAATAAACGTGTTTCTCAAAAACACTGTAAAACCCTAAAAACACACACATGGACCACATTGAACAGGCTGCCTATGGGACAAGGAAAGGTATGCTGGAGGAAAATAGGGATAAATAGCAAGGAGGAAAGAAAGAAGACTTGCACACACGCACACGAAGGGACATGGAGAAAGAAGGGGTTGATAACGGAAGGACCGATGAATGGCACGAGTAAGGAGGAGGGGGTGGAAGTGAATGGATAGATAAGAGGGAAAGGAAAATAAAGGGGGGAGGGGGAATGGCAAGGAAGGCAACTGGAAATGAAAACACTGTGTAATGACAGGCTTAAAACTATAATACATGTACATGTTCTTTAAAAACACATTATCTGCTAAAATCGTTATTGAAGCGAGAAACTGCACTTGGTACAAAGGACAGGCGATGCACAAGAGAGTCGTAGTGACCCCCAACCTTCCCAACCAGAAGCAAGGGACTAACAATCACTTGGGAGCAACTGGACAGCATCAGCTTTAGCCAGGTAAGCCGGGGGCGACCATGGGGTCTTTTCCAGGTAGTGGGCCGCCGACCATTATGAAACTGGATGGCAACATCCAAAGCAAGTCTCACAGGGGCAAGGTTACTTCTTTCCATTCAAGAAACTGTGCAATATCTTACACTATCAATATCATTGGGTGATATCCATAGAGCTATATTAAATTACTAGAGCACTTACTCGATGTACAAAGCAATGCCTGATGGGTGCATCCATGTTTGTGCACAAACCTATGGAGAACTAGAAATTTTGTACGGCTTTTGTACGGCTATTCGCATATCTGCGTTTGTATTCCATACCGGTGCGTCATCGAAGCCGATACTCCCAAAACCGAAACGCACGATCAGCAAATGAGTGTGTCATTTTGCTCTACGCAAACAGCGCAATGCGTGTGCGTATTCGCTGCAGATGCTTTTTGCCGTGACGTTTTTTTTAACTGTCATGACGCGCTTAAGTTGTTTTCGTATGTTCTACTTGCGTGTTGCATGTAGAGTACACTTTCAAAATTCAATCCATCTAATTTCATTTTCTACAAACACGCACATGAATTCAAAATGTCTGCGCCAAGGACAGCTTCAAAGCGGCTCTGCGCGCAAGAATGAGGAGTTAGCGCTCTAGTAATTTAATATAGCTCTATGATCATGTCATAACTAAGCAAAGGCAATCTTACCTTTCAACGGTGAGGTGAGGGTTCTTGACGAAATCCAGGACCAGTTTAAACTCAGGATACTGGCTCAGCACTGTGCCTTCCTCTGCTGTACCCTAACATTTAATAATAAAAAAAGACCATTCTAGGCAATGTACAAAACATTTGCAAACATTAAATAACGAAACTACCAAACTGTTATGAAATACCTTACTTGACTGATACAATGGACCTAAGACATGATGACGCCACGTTTTGTTTACATGTGTGCTCTCTATGTGATCTTTTGTCTTGCAGTTTACCTGGAATGCAGCATTCATCTCTGAGGAGATTTGCCGTTCCTTCATGGCTCTGAGGTCCAGTGACTTACTCCTTGTGTATAGGTCACTGCATCTTCGCTGCAGCTTAAAAAATAATTTTAAAAAAGGTGTATCAAAGTAGGACTTTTTCAAGGTCAGCCTGTTTAGATTGAGCAGATCATGTACCCAAACCCATCCTACGTATGCACAAAATCTTGGAAGCAAGCAGGAAAACCAAATAAAAAATGTTCAACTCCCAACATTTTTTTCTGCTCTCTTGCCAAATTGTTTTTGGTACTTTTCTAGGATGGCCAGAGTTCTCAAACTTTTAAGTTTGATACAGGCCTGCAAAGGGGTCAGTAATAGAATGATATATTAAAAAGCAAGGGGGGCAACTGCCACAATGAAAGTATGATTAAAAGTGATTAATTTTTGACTGAGCAAAAACGTTTCCTGTACTTTTTTTCAGATTATTGAAATTAAGATATTGACGCTGACTTTCAAAGAATGGCTTGAGTCGCGAAAAACTTGGCAGTCCGCCAGGCTAGTTTCACACATGAGAAAACACCACATTCTTGTAGAGTAATCAGTTCTTTTTAATACACAACAGATTTGAGAGAATTCAGGAAGATTTTAAAACGTACCTCGACTTTCTTTTCCAATTTTGTCAGCCCGGCAAACTGCAGCAGAAACCTGGCCTTATCTCGAACCACTCCAACTACAATTATAACAAAACGTATTAATAATAAATCATTGTTCAGAGACTGATGAACTTTACAGACACAAATTTGGCACAGCACAGCATGTACTACCTGGTTTACTATTTTAGTGACAGTAGCAGATACTTATTTTTTTTTTTAATTATCATAATAATTATTGATATCAATATTTACATAATCGCTACTTACTGGGTTCAACTTCCAAGCATCCTGTTTTTGGATCTTTCTCCTGCGCTGCAAGTTGCTTCTGTCGCAGGTCAATCTAAAAAAAAAAAAAAACCACAATCAAAGTGCTTCCAAATTTACAATTTCAAACTTTACAACGTGTTTAGATTGCTTGGTGGCAGGAATCTTATGACTGCACAAAAACATTTCATACAAGAAACGGAAAAAGACTGTCGCGGTTGAAGTTGCTTTTTTTTCCCCTCTTAAATAATGGGTTTCCAGTTCTATTGCCTTGCCTTACTGTCTTCTCACTTTGTTATGAATCCTGTGATTGTGACATTAATGACCTAGGCTTTCTTTACACATGTCTGGTTTTGTTAATGCGCCTATCAATTGTTTCCCCCACCCCTCCCCTCCCGGGCTGCCCCACCCAAGACGTGGGGATTGTCACTTTTGAACTGACAAAATCCCCACCCCTCGGGCAAAATTTAATTGACAATCCCCGACCATGCCCCGACTTACATACGTGGGGCGCACTAGTGATTGCCTTTCCATTAGTACGCCAACGTTAACAATGTAATTTGAGTGACCAAAATCCCCACCCTGGGGCATGAAAAACGTGACCAAATCCCGACATCGGACCTGGGGCAGCGCAGGTTGGGAGGGGTGGGGAAACATTTGATAGGCGCATACTAAACACACGAATTATAATAAAGACAAGGCACTGACTCTCACTAACAGAAGATACAGATTTTTATTACAAATCATCAAATTTAAATTTGACAAAAGTCAGCAGTACACTGCGTAATTAAGACAGACTTACAAGGAGTGGTCTAAGTCCCTCAGCAGTTCTGAATGCTTGTAATATGCCGTCGCTGGGCTTTGACGGAGAATCGGGTTCAACTGCAAAACACAAACAGTAATGAACAGCAATTTATTGCAATTTGTGCAGAGAAAAGCATCAAGTTAACAAAAGACTTCAATATGCTGCTTAATAAATACTACTGCGTCAAACACTTCCCTTTAGATTCTTTGCATTCAGCAGCCATCTTGGAGGTCTACTCATGCTTATTCCTGAGGAAGAAACACTGCACCTTAAAGATGGCCACAATGCAAAGGAAAACTTTATTTTCTCCTTTGCATCCAAACTTACTTTTACACTATGAATGACATCGACTGTACTTCAAAACCAATGTGAATTTAGTATAAGATGGAATTTTCAAATTAGGTTTTTGCCCTTCACCGACGTTTAAACACTGTATACTCAGTGTGTTACCTCCCAGGTGAAAGTTGGAAAAAATCACTCGGGTGGGACTCAAACCCACAACCTCCTGCTTTCTAGTGCAGATGTCTTACCACTCCACCACAGAGCTAACGGGATCGGTTGGCTGGTTCGAATCTGATTTTACATAGCAGCGGGTACCGCATAAACTATTATAAGATGGAATTTTCCGTCGGGGTGATATAAATCAAATAAGGTTTTGCCCTTCACCGACGTTTAAACACTGTATACTCAGTGTATTACCTCCCAAGTGAAAGTTGGAAAAAATCACTCGGGTGGGACTCGAATCTCCTATCATTACGATAGTTTTCTACTGTGCACACCGCTGCTTTAATATCTACGTGTTTCATGAAGATTAAAGTGCACATTACACACTATAGTTTAAAAGAATTGTTGTCAATCCACTCTGATTGTATTTATACACTGAAACTTACAATACTAGTTATTAACACAAATGTATACATATTTTTGTTTTACCATATGTGGGAATTGTGCTTCGAAGCTCCTGCGAGTGCCACAAGAGGGCAGCAAACACTGACACGACTGCACTGTTGACCAGCTCCCCACCGACTGAAGGCATGTGATAGAGGGACTGGCATCTGCACGAAACCAACAGAAATTAACCCGTGAAAATATGACCAGTCAGTGATTCACAATATTCAAATGCAGAACAGACCTAAGGCCCCCCCCCCCCAAAAAGTCTCCGGTTTCTGGTCTACATGCGCATCGCAGTAGCACTGAGCGTCGGCAAACTTTTTTTTAATGTAAGATAATGTCTCAAAACCGCCAAACTCACTGGTTTGACTGGGATCCTGCTGCTGCACAAATTTTAACGTGTTTCTGAAAAAAAAGGACTTGTTCAGGTTTTCATCTGGTTTTATATGGGCCCTACAGATACACGGTGAAATTATAACCAAACTGTTCTTTAAGATCAGTAACTTTAAAACCTTACTTGCTGATAAAGGTAGCTGGTGCACCAGGGGAGCTGTTTGCAACTCCAACTAGAAAATCGTTGATTACTGACTCAATGGGTTCAGTGGCCTATGGAAAAATATATGAAAACAGTTTCGTAGTAAATAACAGAGTCGTAACAAAGCCAATCACAAAATCCATCACAAGCCGATCACAAGTCAATTTGTTTTCAAAATGCCATGGTCCAGTGGTTACAGTGTTTGACTCATGTACAATGGTGCGTTGGTTTCAAACCCTGCCAGGAACATGGTGTTTGTGCCCTTGGGCAAGACACTTAACTACAATTGCCTCTCTCCACCCAGGAGTATGAATGGGTACCTGTGAGGGTAGAGGACCGAATGTGCGCTGATATCGGCTGCCGTGTGGTCCCATGGCCTAATGAACGGGAAATAATTGTAAAGCGCTTTGAGATTGTTGATACGATTGAAAGCCCTATATAAGCATTACAATAGTTAATTAATTAATTAAATTACAAACATAGTCGCAAGTTAGGATTTGGGTCATTCTATACATTCGCGGTCCATTTTTTTTCCCTGTCCCTATTACATCTGACATCTATGTTTTTATAATTTTGATGCACTACTAAATGCAGTCATCCTCCAAGAGTGATTATGAATAGCAAACTACCTACCCAACAAATGCAAAAAATTGTTTGAAGTCGATCTTGATGATACTTGAATGGCAAATTACAAAGGACCAAGGTAATAGGGACAGAAAAGCTGTCACACTTTGGACCCTAACTTTACAGAATGATCCAATCACCCAATTGTTTGTTGTCATTGACTAAGGCTATTCGACAGTGTGTATAAATGGCAAAAAAATGAAACAATTCAACAAAATAATAATAATACCGCAGTCTTATATAGTGCACGTATCTACCAACAATTAGGTACTCAAGGCGCTGGAAATTATGTCTATTATTAAAGGCAGGTAAATGAAGTTTATGAGAAATATGAGACCCATTATGTAGCACCTTATAAAGGTTTACAAGGTGCTGCGGCGCATATTGCAGCCACTGCCAGAAACACCGGGGCAAACCCCTCTCTTAGCGATAGGTGTTACTGGGTTCTTTATCGTGCATTACACAACACACGGGACCTACGGCTTTACGTCCCATCCGAAGGACGGAGCAATAATGGTAAAGTGCCTTGCTCAAGATCAGAAGCACCATGTTCTCACAGTCAGGATGCGAACCCATATACCACGGCACACAAGTCGAACACCGTGACCATTGGACCACAATACCCATTTTGGGCTCGGTCTACAACTCACATGGATTCCAGAGAATGAGCGTGTCAGCCTGGCGACCTCGTGACCTCCTCTGAACAGCGTCGTCCAGAGCTCCCCCTTGAGTAGGTTCTCAGCGGCTGCCTTCAAGCTCTGCTCCTGGTCATCTGATGAGCTGGCTGGTTTCTCCACAGACTTGGCTGTTTTCAATTCAATTTCAATTTAAAAGTTCAATATCAAGGGAAAATACATACAGAAGATTGCATAACTAAACCACTTGCTCCTGTACTGTGTGGTGTTACAATGTATTTATTCACTGATGGATCTATAAAACCGTAGATTGCTAAGGTGGTTTTTGGCGCAAGGACAGGGAGTAACAAGCAGGGTGATTTGGTGTGGCACAGAGCCACCTGCCTATGATACACAACACTACCAGTGTTGTAGTACTCGTACTGAAAGTAAATTTTGGTACTCGTACTCGTACTTGCAAGAAACAAATTACCAGTGCTGTTACTCATACACATACTCATAACAAAATACCTGTACTCACACTCTTACTCATGCAAAAAATTTCCCGCAAGAATTTAAATTTGTTTAATGCCTAGTGTGACAGCAAAAAGGCCTTGAAAACGTGTGACACAATGAAATTTGCTCCTACTTTTGGGAAGTGCTTGTACTCGTACTCATACTCAAGTACATTTTAGGGTACTTGTACTCGTACTCATAGAAAAAAAATGATTTGTACTCTTACTCGTGCTCATGGCAAAGTACTCATACTCATGGAAATGTACTCCACTATAACACTGAATACTACTAGTGTCAAGTGACGTCTTTGCAATGTTCGAAACTAAAATTCAGTGTACATGTATTTTATATACCGCCAGAGGAGAGCAAGACAAAGAAAGTAATGACAGATTCACTGTTGTGCTCGAACGGTCCTCAATGAGAACGGTCCTCAAACGTAGGTTTGTGTGATTAGACCATGAAAGAGTAATAGCTGCTGGGCAAAACTTTCTTAAATCTCGCAAAATCTTATGAAATACCTTATGACAATTTGACTCTTTATTTCGTAGTGGTCTATCAGAGGTCATCTCTGATGTGTTACCATACAATTAAGTTTTTCACTGCGAGACATGCTTTTAATACCATTATTCAATTGCATTATTATTGACTAAAATTTCAAGAGGATTTGAAGGCTATATTGGGAAGGTTTTGGATGAAGAATATTGGACCAAATAATATGCAACTTTACTCTGATCTCCGAGGCCACATAGTAACCTAAAACCGATTGATTTGAAAAAACATTGATTACAAATAATTGATGTGAATAGTGTGTTTACTGAAGTTTTGAGAACAGAAAAAATTAATAAAATGACTCTTACGTTTTGGAGGATTGAGGAACGAGGAGCAGATCTTCCCTTGCAGTTTGGCCAGACTCAGCTGGAGGTCGTAGAGCCAGGAAAACTGGATATCACGAGACCCTAAAGCTGTCACCTGCAAAATGCCAAATAAATTTTAAAAATATAAGAATGTGACATTTCAAAAACGCCTATCCTGGCCTAAAAAATCATAATTATTTTTGTTTTTAACCATATGGGATGCTTACATTTTTCAAAAATTGAAATAAAGAAGTTCTACATTATATGTCTTTCTGTTTTGCTAATTTTGTCCAATAACCACTCCTACATGAACATCAGCAGTGTAAGCTTGGCCTGCAAACACTGTGACCCTTCAGGAATAAAAACGTCTACAATTTCTGTTCAGCAACTGTTTCACCCAAGACGTGCCATTTTGAATACAGACACCTTAATTTTGCCTATTCCAGTATCTTCACTTCTGAATACATATGGGTTCCGTGCACATGTACCCCCTCAACGGTAAGGAAGGGAGAAGTTGGAGGAGACTACTGGGAGGGACATTCGAACGAATTGCCGACGACACCTGACGCTCACGCGATGACGCTATGGCTAAAAAAAATGTGGGCAAATAATTGCCAAAAAAAGTTTTTAAAAGGAATTGCAGTAGCGAATATTAGAAGGTGACGTCACATGCGAACGGCCTATCCACCCTCTCTCCCCCCCCCCCCCCAAACAAATATTCGCCTTAGCCGGCCAGGCGCGGATCCAGAGGGGGGTGTTTTTTGTTTCCAACCCTTCCCCCTCCCCTGTTGAAAACAACCCGGTCTACATTTCAGCACACCTCCCTGCAAAAATTCTGGATCCACCCCTGCTGGCCCCCCTAAAATATAGGCTCTAGAACCGCCCTGGTACACTGATCTTGAAACACAACATTTAAAACAAAACCAACATCGAAAAACCACTCACGGTGAATTTGTATCCCCATTCGTTATTGCTGCTGTCAGAATGAAAGAGGAACTGTAGACGGTGGGGTGACTTGAAGATATGGGACACCGGCCACTTATCACTGCCGACCTTCTGATCATAGACAGTCTTCTTGCCAAAGGAATCCGTGAATTCTAGGTAATCGTACCTGATGGAAGGAACACAACATTTGTTACAAATTAGGTTTTTGTTAAGTAGTTCAATTGATCTGTTCTTGCATTCAGCGGCTGCAGAACAGTTTTGAAAGGGGGGGGGGGAGAGGGCCAAAGCACCATCGGTGCCGGCCGGCCGTTGCAAATTCGGAAAAGTGGGGGGGGGTGTGTGTTACACCCTGGCCTCCCCCCCCCCCTGTTCTGCTGCCTATGCCATGGCAACTACATTGTTAGTAGGCCTTCCCGATGATCGAAAGCGATCATTTGATCCCTTTATTTCCAGAGACAGTAGACTAGAGAACTTATTTGTTATGTTTATCCAGATATAGGGCCTCGAGTATTTGCGGACCTGCCAAGAAAAAGTGGAAAAAGTGGGGGGGGGGACAATGGCTTTTAAATTGATAAAATAGTTCCTCTTGGTGAAAAATTCCTCTTGGACAAAATTGTGGGAGTTAGATGAGAAATTTTGATTTGGTGTTTTTGTTGATTTGGTGACGAAAGGCAAAATGATCGTTTTTAAATAGATAAAATTGTTAATGGTAAAAGACAAAATTCCTCTAGGGTGAAAAGGAGCGTTATTGTCAAAGAAGGGACAAATTTATTGTTGGTAAAGAGCACAGTTAAAAAAATGCAAAGAGCAGAGTTCTTCATGGTGAAGTTAAAATATCTCACTTTTCGAAGACCAAATTTCTTGTGGAGGGTACAGTTCTTGTTAAAGATCATGGCTCTATTTTTTTGGTTTAGTTATTGCCAAAAAAACCACCTCACCTCAATTCCGTCTCGCAGCGTGGATCAAAGTCCACCTGGAAGACCTGAGCTCCCAGGCAGTTGAAGACCTGGATATAGTGCTGGTTGTGGGCGTACTTGTGGGCCGACTCCACCTCCCATTTGCGTAGGACAACCTTCTCCTTTTCCTTCTTGGTTGTGTCTTCCTTTGTGTCATCAATCAGACTCTGGTAATAACAATAAAAAGATTTTCAACGGACGATCTTTATTCGGGCATGCAACTGTAAAGCCACAAAGAACAAGGAAATACCAAGACATCACAAGACTTTGTACATTGTTTTTCAATTTGTACTGGCAGACATGGCTGCTCCGAGGAAAAGTTGCATGTCTGTTTACTCAGTAAAAACATCTTGGTGATCAAACAACAAGAAAAATAAACAGCTTTTCAGAGATGAAATGGAAAATCAAGGGTGAGAATAATGGTTGCACAAATATTATTCAATACAAATTTGGATTACTGAATATTTCAAAATCTGTTTCCCACTGAGGAATCATTTTTTATAAAATTGCAACGGAAAGAAGGCAATTTAAATAATCAAATCATAATCCCCAAATCCAGTGTCAGCCAAAAATTGTCCAGCTCGATTTTGACTGTAAAACAGATTGTTCAAGTCAAATGCTGGTTCAAGCTTGGTGTGGATATTATTAGGCAAATACAATTTTTAAGCTCTAGCAGTATCTTCTATATCGGTGGGTCAGTCGAATGGTCTATCTGTTTGTCTGTCCCCGGAAAATGGACCAAAAATATGGTGTCCCATGTGTGTCATTACGTCATATTTTTTGGCGTCGCATTTTTCAGCTCTGGCAGGGATCATTTTGATCGATTTCATGCAAGACTTTCATGCAATACTTCTTGCAACATGGCCAGAGCTTATTGTGAACTCGCACTTGTTTTGGCATGACAACAAGTAAACATGATGCTGCAATTTTGCAAAAGTTGGACACATTTCAAGTCCGTCAAATTTCACTGTGGATGTTCTGTGATGTCATATTTGTTTCTCAGTACCTAAGCCACCTACCATGGCTGTATTTTCAGTCAGTTTTGTGTCCGTTGCACAAAAGTTAAAGTTAGGACCTAATAATGCAATGGATGCAAAATGGACTGAAAACCCACTTATTTTTTTTTGTTTTATAATGATGAAATGGCACAATTGCAGAATACCCCGCCACTCAATCTATGCACCTCGTAGCCGGCTACAAAGTCACGGTTGATTGCCCTCAATAAACCTTCTCAGCGCTACTTTATGTACTATGCGTCATGCTCCAATGCACTCCCACTCCGTATCCGCGTAGCTGGCAACAGGGTGGTTGGTTTGGAATTTTTTCAGCAACTCCCATTCCTGTTGTGTTGCTTCGTTCTCAAGCATTATCAAGGGGACTCCCATTCCGTAGCCGCGTAGCCGGCAACAGGGTAGTTGGTTTGGACTTTTTTCAGCAACTCCCATTCCTTTTGTGTTGCTTCGTTCTCAAGGGGACCCCCACTCAGTATCCGTGTAGCTGGCAATGGACTTGGACTGTTTCTTTTCCAGTGATTCCAACCGCATAGCCAGAGATTGTATTTCCGAGTGGCCAGGAATATTTTGCAATTACTCCGATAATATGCCAAGCTTTCCTCCAAGACTCACCTCATTAAAGTCACATCCCAAGAGCTCCTGGAGCTGTTTGACTGCTACAGAAACTTGCATGATGTCACCCAATATAGACTGGGGCAAACACTGCTCACTCAGCAGAATCAGCATCAGGGTCTAGGGTACAAGACAAAGGGTCAAAGGTTGAATTCTTATTTCTGATATCATCAAGTGAGCCTTAGGCTGGGTCAGCATTACACGGCTACGGCTTGAAATTACACACGAGTCTATGTGAAGTGGCTGCAGCTGCTACCAAATACTTGTGTGTAATATTAAGCCGTAGTCAAGTAATTCGGACATGGCCTTAGGCTGGGTCAGCATTACTTGGTTATGTCTGCCAATAACACACGTGTCTATAGAGGTAACTGAAGCCATCAAGTTATTCAAACGTGGCCTTCTTTGCAGCATTTTCACATCTGATGAGAATTTTTCAAATAAGCAATTATCTGTCGTAAGGTTAACGATTAAGGAATCTGAAAATACAGCAGAGATACATACACAAGGAAAGTAACATTTCAAAACAACGACTCTATAAACATTGTTCCTTAGCATTTAATTTTGATGAGACTGCCTTTCCACTTATAAAATGTTGACAAGCAATAGTAGGCTAATTGAAACACTATCAAGATCATGCAAAAGACTTGAAGAAAGTTGTCATACTTTTGCATCAACAAAACATTACGCCTTAAGGTTGGTTCACACTTCGCGCAAATGTGAAAGCAAAGCAAACTTGACGTCAGTAAATATTCACTGCGAAATTTGATGGAGTTGAAATTTGTTCAACTTGTGCCTATTCGCAGCGCAAATTCTTCGCATTCGCGTTCACTTCCGTGCAGAGTTTAAACCAACCTTAGTGGAATATGACATTAAGAACTTTACCAGTTGCCTCATTGTTGTCCCGACGAAGCTGTACTGCAGCGCATCGATGAGTTTCTGCCGCTGCTGTTTGAGCTCCAACAGACGCTGCTGCAGCTGCTGCAGCTCAACGCGCTGGTGTCGCTGCTCCACTAGGATCTGTAGCTCTTCCTCCAGGCCGAGTTTGTTTTCGGGTTCTTTCTCGCTGCTGTCGGTGACTTTCTCTTGTTGCTGCTGTTGTTCTTCTTGTTGCTCTTGCTGCTCTTCCTGCTGTTGTTCTGTTGCTGCTTCTTTTACTGCAGGCTTGGGCTGTTCCACTTGTTCTTGCTGTGTCTCAGTCTTTGCTGCTGAACCATCTATTACCGTCAGGACTGGTTGCTGTTGTTGCTGCTGCTGTCCTTGTTCTTGCTCTTGTTGGTGTTCCTCTTGCTGGTCTGTTGCTGCTTCCTTCACAGGCATTGCAGAGTCTTTTACGGAAGGCTTGGGCTGTTCCGCATCTTCTTGAAGTGTCTCAGCTTTTACTGCTGCATCCTCTATTTCCTTCAGGACTGGTTGTTGCTGTTGCTGCTGCTGTTGCTCGCTGACAGTGTCCTTGGCTGCTGCTTCAGGTAATTCTTTATGCGTCACTACTTCCATTTTCTCTGTGTCATCTGAGGGTTTTTGTTCTTGCTGTTGCTGTTTAGTCCTGTCATCTGTTGCTGACTCTTCAGAAAGCTGCTGCTCCTGCGCTGCAATTCCCTCCTTAGACTGATCCTTCTCATCTTCCCTCTGCATTTCCTCCTGGTCTTTCTTAGGAATTTTTACATTGAGTATCATTTCATTTTTGACCCTGATGTCGTTCTCAAGCTGTGTCAGCTCGTCTTGCCGTTGCGCGAGATGTTCATGGAGGTGGTTGAGAGCGCTGACACTTTTGGCACACTGCATGCTGGTGTCTACAAGATGCAAAACAACCAAAAAATCTGGAGTCATTCTTGCCATGGAGAAAATTGCACATAATCTTCAGGTGGAATGAAAAAAAAATTTTTTTTACTTTTTTTATTTTGATTCAGTAAGATTCAAAAGTTCAATTTTCTCTTTACTTTGGAAATAAGTACATGTATAGCATTATGTGCCAAATTGATGTTTCTCGATTCTCGATTTGATGTGCCAAGGTTCGATCCCCCCCCCCCTTGTGTACTTACACTTGAGTATAGCATCATGAGCTAGCTTGGTGTGCATTGGGTTAGGAGTCTTGGCCTGTAGTAGATCCTTACACCATGCCATCAGGCTTGCCAGTAGTGCACCCAGAAGCTTACTGACGTAGGACTGGCCTTTTGGTAGTTCTGCTGGGTTGCTCAGACTAGTTTCAAACTGTTGCAATTTAAAAGTCAAAAACAAACATTACAAATTGTTGGTAATTAAGTGAAAAAGTTTAACAAGCCATATTTAAGCCAATTGCCATTTAAGTCTTTTAACAGGAAGAAACCAAAAGATATTTTAACACTGTAGATGTTTAAAATGTTGATATTGTTTTCTTTTCAATGAACTTAACAAACAGTTCTTAATCTGAATCTTCCTCCCAGTAGAAAATTGTCTAATGTTTTGAACTGGCGTGACTTTATTACTCATTGGGAAATTCTATACCCGGAATGTCCTGAATTGTTGTAAGATACCACTTTCAGTAACACCTTATGACTAATACCAGTTTACTGAAATCAAAACCAGTACAATAAAATCATGTGGACTCACCTCCTTATAGACGACAGACTGCAGAGTCCCGAACACACTGAAGATTGCTTGAGCATCAAAGTTCTCCTAAGGAACCAGACATCACACACAAATTATGAAATCTGACCATTGAAGGTGGGCGATTAGATGGCCAGGTGGGAAAAAACCTTCCAAAAACTTGCAGAAAATGAAACACAAGTTCCAACAAAAAAAAACAGGGTGCTGTCAGGCCATGATACCAGTTTTTGCAGCAGCTCGAGATCAGCGCATTCTGGTCTCTACCTTCACAGGTACCCATGTATACTCCTGGGCGGAGAGAGGCAATTGTAGTGAAGTGTCTTGCCCAAGGACACAAGCACCATGTTCCCTGTCAGGGTTCAAACCCACGTACCACGGCACGTGAGTCAAACAACGTAACCACTGGATCACAGCGCTCTGATAAAAAGATGTAAGGTTCTGCCTGATTTCCTAGGTTAGATGGGCTAATAGGAAACAAATGGGTATTTTTGTCTTTTCTTGGCCTTAGTCCTTTTTGTCTCTTCAAACCCCCCAAAATATTAATCAGTCAATACAGAGTCCCCAAACAGACTTTTTTTACTGGGTCATGGTAGGCAGTTAAAAAAATGTACATCGTTACTGCGACAAATTGGAATTATTTACCTCAGTTGGGTCAGAGGGTAGAGTGAGCAGACCTCTCGTGTCGACGCTCCCAAAATGATGACACAAGGACTGAAAGACCAAGTTAGTGGCTGATTCCACGTTGCTCTGCAAATGAGAAATATGTGGAACAGTACAATTCAGAGAGGGAAAACAGTTGTGATTTTTTTTTGGGGGGGCAATAAACGCAACTGACACATTTCTCATTAGAGGCCAACATAAAGTCGCAATGTTTTACATAAGGCCTGTTTTCAAAATTTTTAAATCAAAAAAACAATAAATAATAGGAGTGATTTTTTGGGAATTTCATGCTCTTAAGTTCATGGGAAATGTCACCAAAAGATGACAACGAAAAAATGTTTCCAAAGTTTTAAACACCGAGGGTTTGTCTAAAAAAGGCCTAAAGTGTGCTTCTGAATAAAAATATCTGAAATGAAGAGATATCTTACGCTCAGTAGATCCATGAGATGAAACAGTTCTTTCTTTCGCTTCTCCTTGTCTGGAAAGAAGACGGCAGCTCCTATCGCACAAAATAACTATTGTTATTATACGCAGCGACTCAGTCAGTTAAAGGGAAGATATAACACTTGCAGACATCAAAAAACAAAATGATTGAATAATCACGAAATTACTTACTGGATTGTAAGGGAATGACAGTCTAAAGCATCCTGTAAAATCATGTCTCCTAGTGTGCTGACATTTTCAAGAAAAATTTGTATTTTTCCAACGCTTGTCGGCCGACCAGCATTGGAGAAAACTTGCTTTTTTCAAAAACAGCTCCGAATTTTTCATAACAGTTGTTCCGCATTTCCTTTGCACACCTGTGAAGGGGTACAAGCCTGCCAGACTGATTCTCTGACCTTACAATTCCCCAAAGCCATACATTTCTCTGTTTCATCTTACGTGGGGTCAGGGAACCAGACTACAAGAACATGATTAGGTTTTTGTTGGGTTTTTCCATCATCTACATGCCCAAAACGTGAAACAAGTCAGTTTTTATTTGCTATAACACACTCATCCTCCAAATCCATTTATTTCTGAAAATTGTAGCAAAAGCAAATGTTGTACATTCCCTTTAACCCTAACTCCCCTGCCTAGTTTTCTAGGAACCATACCCATTCTGGCAAATTCCAACACCCACATGGGAAATTGTACACACACACTGTTGGACTTAGTTTCTGGAGGTATGCCAAACCCAATGTAAAAGACCATCAGTTTAGGGCTACTGTTCCTATCCCAACAGATTTAAACAAAACCTACTGTTGAACTTTGATGGGTTGGGTTCAGTTAGGGTTAAAGGCATATAACTGTAAAGGAAATTGGATGATTCTTTTGACATCCTACGATCAGAACCAATAACAATGCAATATACTAACCATCAAGGATAGCCTCCTTGGCTGCCTCTTGCAGCAGTGCGTCAGGGCCTTGGGCCGGGGTATCCTGGTTGACCAGGTCACAGAGATGAGTGAACATGGTTTGGCTGCATTCCTCCCACTGAACTAACCAGTCTGGCTTGGCATTCTCCTGACAAAGAAAAACACCGGAAGGTAATCAGGGGGAACTTTTTTTCTATATTTCAGCTGTCCACTGTTAAAAGTTAAACATTAAAAAGATGGTTATAAAATGAATTGAAACAAAATTGCAATTGCATTATAATTATAATGATTATTGTAGCAATATTTAAAATTTAAAGGTTTTTCACGTTTTTAATAAAAAAAAATTTAATGATTGGTAAGCACCTTGAACGTCATTTTGAAGGATTTGGCGCTATATAAGATTGTTATTATTATTATTTTATTATTTTTCTCCAATTCCTCGTCAATAATTGCAAACAAATTGTGCAGACATTTGAGGGCATTTCATAAAGTACACTGAATTTTAAGTCATTATTATTTGGCGATCATTTTTTTTTACCCTGGCTTGTACCTGGTTCAAATAAATTATCAAAGTGTCTGGCAGCGTGGCGACCTTAATACTTGACAAATTTCTGTGCGATGACCTTTCGGAGAGGTCATGAAAGAGCTAATGGAACAGTAGGTAGTGCTGTGTGACCAAACAGAAGAGTTCCAGAGTACAGACGAATCCAGACATGTGATCACTGAACATTCATGAGGCCCCCTTCAATGGAGCAACCATTGTCTAGGCTATTATACAACTGCCCCATGATGGATTATCTGAACAATAGCTAGCACAATGCTTTTGCCATTGAAGGGGGCCTCCATGATAGAAGCGATACAGTACCCGGAATAGTCTATAGAGGAATCCGGCAACAAGAATTAGAAGCTTTGACTGCGGTGGTGTCACGCTCACCCGCATGCTGCACACGTTCTTAAAGACGCGACACAGGCGCGTTTTGGTATTCCTATTGGTTGAAGGAGCCCGGAGTGTACTACCTGAGCGAGACTCGCGCGAGTCTGGTGCCACCGCAGAAAATGACTGCCGATGGATTTGTCAATAGAATACATAACATGCCTGCACTGGTTCATGCACTGATGATGCCGAGTCACCACGATTTTATTGTTTTACCAAACTGAGCACCGACCTGCAGCATCTTTGCATGTGTGCTTGCTACATGTTTACAACAGCATTCATATCACTGTCACTGTTGAAGGGGGACTTTTGGGTTCTTAGTTTTCACCTTTTGCAGCATGGCCACAGCTCCTTCATCCGCCGGCAGGGCCTGAGTGATGATTTTCTTCAGTTTGAGTTTGGCCGTGTCGCTCTCTAGTTTGCTCATGATGTACGGGTAGCTGCTGTGCAACAACTTGAGGGTCAGCATCCGCGCCAGCGTCCACTGGGGAGATCTACATATACAACCGACGAACAAGGAGTATAGTACCATTAAATGTCAGATAAATCCTTCAGTGAACCAACAGGTCTGGTGAACTTTATTGGTTTAAAACTTGACCTCTTGATAAGGTCGTGTCCAAATCTCTTGTCTTGGGCTACTGTCTAGGTCCTTGAAAACCGCAACCTAATGGGGACATGCTGAGAATAGATGTAGTCATAGCTATGGATGCATGCTTCAGACATGGCCTTAATTTCTCTTCGCGATGTATTAAGATTGTCATTCTGGTACCACATTTCCCCGCAAACTTTGAAAATGTGAAAAAAAAGTCTTGTTAAGCACAGGTACTGTGGTTTCTTACTCTATTATACCAGTGGTTTCTTGTTCTATTATACCAGTGGTTTCTTGTTCATTATGTAAATTAACTGTTCTTTATGCAAATTAACTCGACGTTCTAATCAGTATGCTCTGATTGTCTTCAGGAGAAGTCTTCTCCTATAAAGCAATCAGAGCATACTGATCGGAATATCGAGTTCACAACCGACCGATTCTTTTCAGAACCACACATCTTCTCAAAAGAGATTCTTTAACATGGTGTTTCCGCAAACCCTGACTAATTTGACTTACGTGGTTGGCATGGCGTAGTAGAACTTGCTGAGGAGATCCAGGGACACTGCCTGCATGTCCAGGCCCACCAGCTTGCCGTTGGAACTCTCAGATTTCTTTGACTGCTCCTGAAGGAAACATTGAAACACAAATCAAACTTATTGATATAGAAAGGCAGGGATGACTTTGTCAAAGTTTATTTTTTGAAGCTGTTACTAGATTTGATACTGGACTAGACTTTAGATTGTGATTGGCTTGCCGGCCTTGGGACAACTTCACTATTTATTATACTAGGCTTCACACCTCACCAGCTTCGCGCATGACCGCTGGTAAACACCTCGCCCGCTTTGTGCGCAGTCACTGCTGAACAACTTGTGAATACACACAAGCTTTCGTGTAGTTAAGAAAAAATTCTGAAAAAACTCATTTTACGCTCACTGTGAAAACACTTTCAATCCATTTTTTTTCCTATGATTCTCTTTAGTGTTTCTCTTCATTTTGTCACAGAAAAACTTAAACCCAAAAATGCGTCTAAACCTGTTTTCCAGAAAGGGGGAAACACTGTGTGGACGTGGGCAAGTCCACACAACGTCGCCTCTACCTGGTTTATGTGGACATCTTTTGTTCGGAAGTCCACACAGTGAATGTAATGCCTACCCACAATGAACACACCCACACATATTTGTAAATACCGGCAATCGTGGACCCCATATTGTCCCTAATCCTCATTCCTTTGTTTGTACTCTAACTTTTTAGCAAAAGCTCTCATTGGTTTTGTACACGAATTTCAATTGTGGACCATCGGTCAATCATGGACCCATTGTTTGTGCCCTAACCCTTTTGTCCCAAATCCAAGATTGCCAGGGTTTACATACACACACCCTCTGCGCTTTATAGTACAGTGATGACGATAGCATGAGACTGACTTAATTACGATTCCATCCGAAAATCTAATTCACTTTTGGACAAGTTCACTTACCTGACATTTTGTTATCCCGACAACGAAGTGGAGAACTCGCACACAGAGATCTGCTGCAGTGACTGGGGCTTCCTGATCAAATGGGAGTGGTGCAATCAGCGACTGAAAAGAACCAAACAATGACAAAATGAGTACCGTTCAGGGGGCGGATCCAGGTTTGGTCAAAAGGGGGTTAGCTGCCAAGTGGGGGTTTAGCAGGAATTTCCTGTTTTTCTGCACGATTTTTCATATTTTTTAACAGCCCAAGAGGGGCTTTAAATCCCCTAACCCCCTTACAGATTCGCCACTGCTGTTACTTCACAAATACCTTGGTGATCTGAAACATTTGCAACGCACAAAAGCAGTGAGAGGGATGAACGGACACTCTGACCAGACTTGACTTGAGCCCCATCCCTCAGTCAAAAAAAGCGGAATAAAAAAAGACGGGGAAAATGAAAAATGAAAAGTAGCCATAGCCCTATCAGTCCTGAATCCTCCAATTTTAATACGATTTTGCACACCCCCTAGGGAGTTAGGGTTAAGCCAATTAATAACTGGAATTTCGCACGAATTGCAAAACAGACACTGCTAGAGAGTGAACTGTATGGCTGTATACATTAAGGCTATGTGTGGCTATGTACATATTATCAGTAGCACCGGCTTCTAATGTCTGAGGTGCACCACCAACTTTCCAAATTTGCTAGATCCTGTCAAAAAAAAAAAACTTCTGAGCCCTCTCCAATGTCAAACACATGCGTGCACCACTGGAACAAACCTGACTTTCGTTCGTGACAGCAACTGAAAGGCCGAAACTTTCAGCATTTGGGCTTCTGTTTTTGATTTGAAAAAAAAAATTAAACCCTACTCAAGTTTACCTTGATCGTGTTGTCAACAGATGAGGAGTTTGTGGCGTGGCCAAAGAACCTGATACCGAGGATACCAAGCCTCTCTGCGTTCACAGGATCCCTGGGTCTCAGGAACTTGACCAGGATGTAACGGCCCAGGGTGATCTGGTCAAGCTGAACGTCTGCCTCATCCCTGGGAATTAAAAGGACACAATTTATTTTTACAGATTTGTCCTTCTTTTTGCAGGTTTAGAGATGATAGACACAAGGTTAGTAATATTTGAGGCTTTGCATGGTGGAGAAACTCGTGAATGAAAGGTTTGCGGAAACACCATGTGCGAATGATATCTCAACTAAGAGAATGGTTCTGAAAAGAACCAGAGGTATAAACTAGACACCTCTGGTTCTTTTCAGAACCATTCTCTTAGTTGAGAAATCATTCGCACATGGTGTTTCCGCAAGCCTTTCATTCAGACACAAGGTTCACAGGCACAGGATGACAGCCCGGAAGATGGGCTGGATGCTAGATAACAAACAAGAAAATATGGGCTCAGGAAATGTTCTGCAGTAAGGCAAAAAAAAAAAATAAGTCGGTCTCTGGTCAGCGCGCGCGTCAATTTTAATCATGCGCGTCAATCTTTTTTTTTTCCAATTGCCGCACCTCCTCAATTTTTTTTACCAAAGAGCACCAAGGAATGGGAAATTGAACCAAGGCAAATGATCGAGAGCACCAAGGCAAATTATGGAGGACACCAGTGTACATGAGGACACCAAAAAAAGCAAAATAGTACCCCACCTTGTCTGTACAATCCAAGCTTGAAGAAAAAGAAAAAAAAAACAAAAACAAAAAAACACAAGCCGCGCCCCAGCGTCAATTCCGGACCCTTGGTCTGACCAGAGAAAGAATATTTTTTTTTTTGGCCTAAGATAGGATAGCTAATGGGCTCCGTGCAAAAAGAACGCATTGCCGACGGCGCGTAATTCATGCAAATATGCTTTGGCTTTGAGACATTCAGAAACTAAATTAGTCGTGCCTACTTTGCACTGTACACGCGTGAAGCAGTACCCAAGTGCGGTGTGTCCCGCCCACCGGGCTCTCAAAGAGCGCCCTCTCCTGTTCGCGCATGGAGCCCATACCCTGGAATTCACTCATATCGCCCACCCCGCAAACAGGATGCTGGGAAGGGCTGATCTCTTTGAGCTCTCATTGGATAGATTTTGCGTGACCTGTGACGTAGCATGCAGCACACAAACGCCCTACAGCTGTTTATGATACATAGCGCGCGCTAGCTGCATGCGAAGGTCATGATAAGTTACCCATAATGCCATCCGTACTTCCTTCACAAGATTCTGTGAAGCGGCATCAGCCCTTCCCAGTGCCCTGTTTACAGGGCAGGGGGTACCAGCGAAACCCTGGAAAAGGAACTACCTTACGTTTGACACGAGCCAGAATCATGCATGAACACAGGGAAGGATCCATAAGGTAGCATTTAGGCTGGTACCGAACCTTACAGTGACCTGAACTCACCAATCGTTGTTCATAGTGAAGAAGGCAACCGGGTTGTCAGGCTTCCCAACGATTGAGACAGATCTACGATGAAAAAAAAACCAAATCACAGTTAATGAGATTAACAAATTGCTGGTTAAGTATAAATATAAACATCTTTGAAATGTTATCTCTTTTAAGGGATGCACAAACTTATAAAACACGGATCCAAAGCAAAATGGAGTACAAGAGTTCAACCCTGCATTTCTACTTTACACATATGTTATGGATCACTTTTTCTCGCTTGCTGTAATAATAACAATGTGGCGCATATACAGCGCTTTATACCAAAGGTCTCAAAAGGCAGCACAATTATTACCCCCGTTCATCAGACCATAAGACCATTCTTTCTACAGCAGCTCAAGATTAACTCAATCTGGTCTCGACCCTCACAGGTACCCACTTATACTCCTGGGTGGAGAGAGGCACAGGTACCCATTTATACTCCTGGGTGGAGAGAGGCACAGGTACCCATTTATACTCCTGGGTGGAGAGAGGCACAGGTACCCATTTATACTCCTGGGTGGAGAGAGGCAATTGTAGTTAAGTGTCTTGCCCAAGAACACAAGCATCAGGTTCCTTTTCAGGGTTTGAACCCACTTACCATGGAACACGAGTCAAATAACATAACCGCTGGACCACAGCGCTCCACAAAATGCGGAAAACAAAAACAAGCTTCACATGCCAACATCCCTTTTTGGACACTCATGACAACAACAAATGAGTTGTTGTATTTGTAACATACACTTCTGCTTTACACAAAGTTGGCATGGATACAAAAACAACTTTATTACTGGTACCTTAGTCCATTGAGAATACGATATTCACTCGGTGTCCAGTTGTCGTACGCCTCAAACTTGGCGAGGTGGCGCTGCAGTTCAAATTCCTCTCTGAAAAATAAAAGGAGACGATAGCAAAGTCAATCAAATATTATTACATTAAAGCTACAGTCCATCATTTGCAGCCATCCGAAAAGTAACTGTCGTAGTTATTGTTGAAAAACAAACTTGGATGAAAGATAGTAAGGGAACTAAACTCCCTGTGAAATTTTTCTTTCCGGGAAGCTGTCATTTGAAGTAATCAACGAAAGAAGGCATTTCCAACGGTGATTCTTAAGAAGCACCGCAGGAAAATTTAAATTAGTAGTTCGTTTTGTTATTCAGCGCAGCGCGCACAAGTATTGGAACGACGCACACGCGCGCGCGGTTGTTATAATTCGTCGGATCAGTGCGCGACGTCGCGTATAGCTGCAATTCAAAACAATTCAAAACATGATTCAGTAACTTTTGATTTGAAATTGAAATCTTAAAATGCTGTTTTTCTCGGAATGTACAGCTGAAGCTTAGCTGAAACTTCATCAGGTTAGTTGCTCAGTATCCTTCATTAGATTTTGAACTCTTTTGTTGCTTCAAACGAACAAAATGCACAAATTACAAATGATGGACTGTAGCTTTAAGCTTGTGAAGATGGTCTGAAGCACCATGAAGTGATGTATCTCCCTAACAAACCAAACAGACAATACTTCACTTTGTGCTGCACCTGTCACAACAATACGTGTTAGTTGGTGGACAGGTGCGATTGAGTGTGTGGTGTTTTTCCTCTACTACCCTGTACGACATCCGAGGGAATCTTAAGTCTGTTTGATTCTTACTGACGTAAGTCTGTGATCTATACTAGGAGTCCCATGTTACATCTGGTGCCTCTCCTAAACGGGACGCATTGTTTTTATTTGCAGTTCGGTGTTTATTCATAGGAAATAACAATGCGTCACGCCATTGCTTATACTCAGTCATGCATGTACATTAGAGCATTTCAAAGAACAGTCACAGCCACAGCCACAGCCACAGCCACAGCCACAGCCACAGCCACAGCCACAGCCACAGCCACAGCCACAGCCAGCCATGGTCATAGCCACAACCAATCTCCTGCTACGGCTATGGCTACGGCTATGGCCACGGCTTTAGCTATGGCTATGGCCACAGCTATGATAACAAACCATGATCACGAACCAAAATATTTCACAGGGGAAAAAGGTGTTATTGTAGCAATAGCCATATCCCATATCCATAGTCATAGCCAAAACCCATGATTATAGTCACAGCCACAGCCATAGCCGCAGCCGCAGCCGCAGTCATAGCCACAGCCAAAGCCACCGCCATAGCCGTAGCATAGCCGTAGCCATAGCCGTGCCACAGCCATCGTCTTAGAAATAACCACATAATCATAAACCAAAATATTTCGCAAAAACCCTAGCATTAATCATAGTCACAGCCATAGCCATAGCCATAGCCACAGCCATAGAAATATATTGTCACGGTATGAAGTTCTCACATGCCAAGTTTCATGCTTTTATCACAAAATGCGCAATTTTGTCTCTATGCCGCACCACTCAAAGAGGAAGTAAAGTGAACTGGAATGCAAATCGGAAGACTGTCATGTGTCAAATATGACACATGATTGCGTATGGGTTGTGCACGATTCCATTACTTTTTTTCTAGGAATATCTACTTTCCATCAGTTTCTGCCTGAATAACTACTTTCCACCAGTTTCTGCCTGACTAACACGGCTGCCCACCACTTTTAGCTGTCCAAAACTGTATTAATTGCAGCGTCGACCAGGTGAACTCGGTGAGATAGTGGACTCAATTATGAATAACCATTATCAAAAGCGTGGAAATCTAGGTTTCAACTCACTCATCATCATAGACGAAGACGAAGCCAGCTGCAGGCCCGATGGTTCCCTTGCAAACCTGTTGAACGATGAAAGAAATTAGTTTTAGATAAAAGAAATTAGTTTTTTGAAAGAGGTTTTTATAGGCTCCATGCACTTACAAGAGAGGTGGTCTCCCCCAAAGTCTCCCTTTCTTACTATTGAGGGGGTATTTGTGCACAGAGCCTATAAGATATCAAAAGAACTCAAATCTTTTGTAAAATGATGCACCTTCACAGACTTCTCAAAGTGCAGCATCAAAAAAGGGGTATTTTTATTTTTATTTTTTTTAATTTGAAAACAAAAATGTATATTCATTCGGCCAAAAAAAAAAAAAAGTCGGTCTCTGGTTAGCGCGCGCGTCGATTTTAATCATGCGCATTGATCTTTTTTTTTCCAAAATGTTCCGCGGTAGCTCCAACAGCGCCCTCTATTTCCGCACCTCCTCAATTTTTTTTTACCAAAGAGCACCAAGGAATGGGAAATTGCACCAAGGCAAATGATCGAAATGGGAAATTGCACCAAGGCAAATGATCGAAAGCACCAAAGCATATTATGGAGGACACCAATGTTTTTGAGGACACCAAAAAAGCAAAATAGTACCCCACCTTGTCTGTACAATCCAAGCTTGAAGAAAAAAAAAAGCCGCGTGGCCGCGTCAATTCCGGAACTTTGGTCTGACCAGAGACCGATTATTTATTTTTTTTGGCCTTACCTTGATTTGTACTTTGGTGACATGGACTGGCGTCTCACTGACAAAGAACATGTTGACCTTTGTCTTTTCAGATATGTATGCTGTAAAATAAAGTCGAAAAGTTTAACATTTACGGGGTTTCAACAAGTTCAGAAAGGAACAGTCTTGTCTGAAATTACAAAGTATAAAGTTGAAGACAGTTCTTCCCACTTTGAGACGCTGCACCTAGGTTTCAAACTGAAACAAACCCTTTGCAAATAGCCATTGAATTAATGGTTGACTGACTATTAAATTACTTATTTCCAGGCCTTCAAGCAGACCCACGTGAAAATGTAGAAAACAGTAAGATCAAAAATTTAACAAAAAAAGAATGAAAATACGACTTTGGAGGACAAAATGAGGATAAAAGTAGGACTTTTGCGGGCTTTCAGGAGTAGTTTTCATTGATACTCCCCCATGTCCACAGCATCATAAGCCTCATTTGGCATGTTCTGTACTCACAACACTTGTGCTCCATCCTCAACTAAGCTCTTGGAAGTACAGTTGCAGTGCTTTTGTGCCCAAGCTCTTCATTGTGTGATTTACATATGACAATGTGTAACAGTGTTATGAAAAATATTCAATGAGATTTCACATTTCTGAGTCATGGGACAAAAAAAGTAGGAAAAAGTAGGAATTTCAAGTGAAAAAAAGGAGAAAAAGTAGGGGAAGGTAAAAAAAAACACCCGGAAACAGTAGGAAAAGTAGGAATACTTGAAAGCCTGTACTTTATTCATAAGATTGAACAAAACTGTGACCACTCAAGATCTGAACCAGGGACCTCCGGAACATAAAAACATATTTTGTTTCTGACAAACACATCTTGAACTACACGGTGGAGCAAAAAGAAGGAAACCCACTTTTGACAGGAATTTTAACCTATTTACTTAACTATTTGAACTGGGTTTTTTTATAATGTAGTAAAGTATAGCTCTTCAACCATACATGGTGAAAAAAATCTTTAAAAAAATCACAAAAGTAGTGTTATTATGCTGATTTGATTACAAGTCACCAAAATCACTGTTGTCCACGTGTAAGTCTGTTGTCTTCAAATCATGCTCCTGTCTTCAAATCATGCTCCTGTCTTCAAATCATGCTCCTGTCTTCAAATCATGCTCCTGTCTTCAAATCATGCTCTCAGTCAAGCGGAATGAATAAAGCCATCCATGGACAAACAGGTTTGGCACATAAACTTTTTAAACTACCATATCTCAGAGACAAGATATGCATTTGCAAATATTTTTTCATCACTATGTTTAAAGATCAATATTTTAATATCATTAAATTGAATTTTTGAAAAATGCTCAACAAGTAGGTGAAAATTGCTGTCAAAAGTGGGTTTCCTTCTTTTGCACCACCCTGTACATTGACAACTTTTTGCTAGACTGCCAACATAGGACTGTGTAGCTCAGTTGGTAAAGCACCCGTACGGTGTTCCAGAGGTCACAGGTTCAATCCTGCTGCAGTCAATTTGTTTTGTTTTTTTAAGGCCCAGCTTACGGTCAGTGCTCCAACTGCTGGTCAGGACTTTGCTGGGGCCAGATTCGGGGGATTTTTCCCCACCATCACATCCGGCGACAGTCACGGAAAACTGGTTAGCTGGGGGACAAAAAAGGGACACGTTGAAATATTGCAGACATTTGTAGGCCTTTGATTGGAAAAATTTCAAACAAGCAGGCAAGAAAAAGGTTTTTCCACTGGGCTTGAAATTCCCCCACTCCAAAGTATATTAATAATGCATGTTTCACATTAATAATACTAATAATAATTTATACATTTATAGTGTGCAAATTCCATAAGAATATGATCAAATACGCATCACAATTATAATCCCTGTTCATCAGGAATGAGACCCTGTAGCAGCTGGAGATCCACGCAATATTAAAGGTCTCTACCTTCACAGGAACCTGTTTACATGTACACTCAGGGGTGGAGAGAGGCAATCGTAGTATTGCCTTGCCCAAGCGTACAAACACCATGTTCCCTGTCAGGGTTAGAACCCATGTACTGCGGCACACAAGTCGAATACTGTAACCATTGGACCACAGCACCCCACATTGGACCACAGCACCCCACATTCGTGTTATGGTAAGAATAATTTCATTTAATAGTGACAGATGGAATGTTCCATGCCACCTGGCTTCACCTCGTGGAATGGCAGCATACTTTCATTCGGTGACGATTGGAATGTTCCATTCCACGCCTGAATAAATCCTTGTCAGGTGATTGGCAATAGTTTAACCATGCCATGGAACTTCTATTTTTGCAGTGTGGCTGGACCGTGGGTTTGGACGAATAATTCAATGACATGTGATCAACAACCCATCAATTACATGACGGGGATTTAATGATTGTTGTTATATAGCCCAGATATGAGGATAACTGTAAAACTATGACACCATGAAAACTAATTCTCCATTTCAAAGTGACGCACAAAGGATAGCCACAATTGCTATTTTCGTGCAACTAAATCTTGTCTTATTAGATAGATCACAAGGGGAAAATGGACAAGATTCAGATGTCACTGACAAAGTGGGACATCATCAACACATGGCTTGATAGCTCAGTTGGTAGATTGCCTGTACAGTGTTTGGTAGTGTGGGACTCCTGTTTACGTTGCTTAACCCTAACTTTCCCAAATCCTCCAAAATCCCCTCTGCAAAATGGAGGATTTTGCAGGATTGAGACCATGTATAGTAAACATGTGTGCTCGATTTTTGAGGATGCACTGTGTCAAGGTCTTGGGCCGGACCTTGTGTTGTTTATGCTCAGCCGTGCATAAATTTTGGCCTAGAATATTCTTGAAAGCCTCCACACTGCTCCAGGATGTCACTGGCTCTGCCTCAACATACTGACAGTGATTGCTGGAGGATTTTGCAGGATTGAGGCAGTGGTCACCCCTCCAAGGACCACATTCAAGAAATAACGGAGGATTTTGGAGGATTGAGGCTGTGTGAAATTTTACATGGAGGCAGTTGCAGGATTTTGCAGGATTGAGGTTGTATCCTGACAAAAATGCCAAGGGAGTTAGGGTTAAGTTCCTCGATCAGACACAAGACACCCGACTCACCGTATTTCCGCATCATTCTATCAGAGACAACATTCAGTGACTTCAGTAACTTGACGGCCGCAATGGATTCTTCCTTGCTGTCTGTTGATGTCAAAAGCAAGAATTTAAAGTAAAGGTCACATTATGAAAATGACATACACACCGTTTGCGCTTACACAATATGGCTGTCATTAATCCTAACCCCTTAGGTATTAACGACTCTATCGTATCTTGTGTAGACCTACTTTGCCTGTGAAATTTAATGAGTAGCAGACTTTTGTTCGTGTTCTATGCACGCATGCGGGAAATTGGTTTCACGCGTTTCTAATCTATTCAACGACTGTTTCGTCAAGCAGCAAAAACAAACATAAAACAGACATCAACTTGTAGTTTTGATATGCCTTGCTTAACATACATTTAGTGAAATGGACTCAAGACGCGTCTTAGCTAGGATCGATCTTAAAGTGAGGACTTGTTGAAAGTCCTTAGATGAGTTACAAGATAAGACAAGTTTCTTGCAATTGGCCCTGGGGCCAATTTCACGGCGCTGCTAAGCACACGATTTTCGGCTAACAGAGCCTCCGTCTGTTTCATGGAGACCGTAAGCACAAGCACAGCAAAAGGCACGCTTAATTTAGAGGAAAAATTTGCTTAACTTAGTGACGTAACAATAGAAATCTCCATACACGCGCGACCGTTAGCACGTCCACGCCGTGAAATAGTGCTTAAGGTTAGCACATTTTTCTGCTATGCTAAGCACAACTTTTCTGCTAACTGTTAAGCAGCGCCGTGAAATTGGGCCCTGGTCACAGCTATTACAAGAGGGAGTGATTGCCTTTTGTGCTTCATTTAAATAATGATAACTATTGATTGAATTACCTAGTACGTGCTGCAATGCCTTGATCACCTGGGCCATGATGCCCCTTGCTAGAGACAACTCCAACAGAATCTTGATACCCTCCATGTCCAACACACCATCAGCATTCCTAAGATCATGAGGTACAAAGCCAAACAAGAATTCATCCTCAACTGATTGAAAAAGACTCCATGAGCTACATTTGGGCAGGAATCTTCCTGAATCCTGCAAAATACATGGTTTTGCCCTTTACCCTCTTTAAGTGGTTAATTAAATAGTGCAGTTGATGCTATGCTGTGCTTCAGTACACGCCTACCACTTTTGTGAACAGAGAGGATACTTATGAAATCTGTCAATTGCTTATAAAACGAGGCTTCCATAATCCATATCCTACAGTCATCGTGCAGTCTTATGCGTGCATAAGACTGCGCGTGCATATAGAGCGTGCAGTCTTCGAAATGCGCACGCAGTACGCTCTGAATAGCCGGTCAGCGCCGTTTACGTATTCCTAACACCCAAGGATTAGTGAAGGAACGCACACGCGCCCATGGAGTCTAGGCAGACTCCAAGGTATCCCTGATGACTTGTGACTCGATCTGTTGGGTTTGGTTCGCTGTACTTTGAGAGGGAGGAAAAAAGGGACACAGCTCACCTTGCCACGGACGTGAGGAATTCTTCGGCCTGATTTAAGACCAGCGGGCTGGGGAAGGGATTCCTGCCGAGTCTGGTCGAGGCAAGAGACAGGGGGGCATGTTGGACAAGGCGGTCCTGGAGAAAAGAGTGGTGGGGAGAGAAGATTTAGACACCTCTTTAATAACTGGTAGTGTCTTAATAAAAAGGCCATATTTTGAGCAAATTAGAGGCGCCCTTTTGGGGGTAAAAACAGAATTGGATCCTAGATTATTGATGTTGGTTGCATCTTTCTATAGTTCAAAAAATTACATTTTCAGTATTTTTTTTTGGATTGAGGTAAAACTGCTTAACTGCTTCAATAACTGTGATATCCCGGTTTGTACCTCATTTGCTAAAAATTATGGCCTATTAGGCTGTTCATTAAAAGATTAACAGTAACCGTACCAACTCCATCAATCTCCATACCCGCATTTTGGGGGATTTTGTCAGATAAGCCACGTGTACCAAGTCCATCAAAATCCACCCGTACCAGTGGTGAATTTCAATGGATTTGGTCCTGAAGCATTATGTGACGCAGAGTGAGTGATGGATTTTGATGGACATGGCCTTCTACTTAATAGTAAAACTAAGTAGGGAGTTAGGGTCAAGAAGATCAAACTGATTCTTTTTAATTCTGCAGAAGTGGTATTCGGAAAGAATGTTGCAATCTGATGCCACTTTTTTCTTCATATATCATCTCAATAAAGGTCAGTCATTGCAAAAATGTTGAAAAGACATGAATCTGGGACTGAGAAACATTTCCCATTTTGTTTACTTTTGTCAGGAAAAACTTTGTTAGGACAATTTTCTTGACTCTCCACAGACTTCGCACACAACCACTGAAGTGGCATCTGGATAATACATTCTTTTCGTGGGTATTCTAATTATATTAATCAAGAACATATTATCAAAAACAGAAAATTGAAGAAACAAATTTAGAAACAAAATGTTTGATTTAAAGCTACAGTCCATCATTTGTAATTTGTGCATTTTGTTCGTTTGAAGCAACAAAAGAGTTCAAAATCTAATGAAGGATACTGAGCAACTAACCTGATGAAGTTTCAGCTCAGCTTCAGCTGTACATTCCGAGAAAAACAGCATTCTAAGATCTCAATTTGAAATCAAAAGTTACTGAATCATGTTTTGAATTGTTTTGAATTGCAGCTATACGCGACGTAGCGCACTGATCCGACGAATTATAACAACCGCGCGCGCATGTACGTCGTTCCAATACTTGTGCGCGCTGCGCTGAATAACAAAACGAACTACTAATTTAAATTTTCCTACAGTGCTTCTTAAGAATCACCGTTGGAACTGCCTTCTTTCGTTAATTACTTCAAAATGACAGCTTCCCAGAAAGAATAATTTCACAGGGAGTTTAGTTTCCTTACTATCTTTCAACCAAGTTTGTTTTTCAACAATAATTACGCCAGTTACTTTTCGGATGGCTGCAAATGATGGACTATAGCTTTAAATAGATCGATAAGACAACTCATAATCTTTTTTTTTCTTTTCAACAATTATAAAAGATGTTGTTTTGAAGGTAATGTACTGTGTTTCAACAATATTTCAGGGCCATAATTTCATTTTCTTAAAAACAAGTAATCAAAACAAATTCCCACCTTCAGCCTATTACATTACATACACATTTAAATATTGCATTAAAAAAAAGGCAAAATGTTTATAATCTTTGTGTTTCATCGCATTTTGTGATACCTTGTGTGTTGAAGGATCATCTGTTTCAGCTGCGGGTTCGTTGCCATGGTAATTGTGGACGTCGAGGCAACAACATTGAAGTACCACATGATTGAAGCGTCCTGAACAGAAACCTCTGAGTCCGGGATTGACCTTTTTTACGAACAAAACAGCAAACAGTCGTCAATGGTGGAAAGGAATGAACCTCATCTTAACAATATGAAGCATTTTCTTTTTCATGCTAAGTTTTGTCAATTCTTTCTTACCTATAACCCATAGTCTTGACGCCGTGAATCCTGACATCGCACCCGTCGCTATGGCAACGGACGATGTTGATCTGCACATAGGGACCGATGACGTGCGCATTGTCAAGTAAGGTCACGTCTCCGGTCGTGCTACTGCAAAACGGCGACAAAACGAAACTTAATTTTCACTCAAGAATTACTGAAGTGTAACCTCCCAAAAGACACACATGTTTACATTTCAAACCTAGTGTGGACATCCCTTTGTTTTCGTGTAGTTAAGCAAAACCTGTGAAAAATCTCATTTTACTCAAACTGTGAAAAATCTTTCCACCAAAATTTGTTTCTATGATTCCCTTTAGTGTTTCTCTTCATTTTGCCACGGACAAACCTAATCCAAAAATGCCTCTAAACCTGTTTTCCAGAGAGGGGAAACCTTGTGTGGACGTGGGCAAGTCCACACAACGTCGCTGCTACCTGGCTTATGTGGACCTCTTTTGTTCGGAAGTCCACACAGTGAATGTAATGCTTGTACACAACTGTTCAGATTTGTCCATTATTTAGTCAAGCACATTTCCACACGTCTTTATAAACTAGGATTGACTGTGTCGGCATTGATTACAAATACACACAATACATGTTACTAAAAAGCTTACCAGTAAATAAACTATTGGAGTGGTTATACTGGTTCCCGTACATTATTCAAATTGAGAGATTTTGAACCAGCGCATAGCTTCACATGTGTGTATGGCACACAATACAGAGATGTTAAGATCACACAAAAGCTGGGAGTGTGACAGTGTGAGCGGCAAAGGCCATCATAACGTAACCTTGGCTGGCCCTGGGGACTAGGGCGTCTCTTTTGGTCAATGGCTTCGGGGTTGTTTTTGCGACCATAACCAGGAACATGTTTGATTGAACCACCACTGTCAATCACACAGAACCATGCTGCACGGCGCTAGACGATCTTTGCGCAGAACCGAAATCGCCAAAATGTTTAAGCCAAACACAAAAACAACCCCGCAAAATTTAGTTTCAGAGCTATTTAGCTTGAGGCGTGTGATTACGATTGTCCGGCGTGTGAGCGTGTGAATTGATTCTAGGGGCGTGTGACACACACCAGAGGCATGACACCTGGTAGGTCCAGCAAAAGAAGACGAACTATCCAGATTTTTTTTAAAATGGAGATCAGTGGACTTATCCACTCCAAATAGTGCCCTCATATTGGTCCTCCGAAAAGGCTCACGGGTGGGCCTCGAACCCACAACCTCCTGCTTACTAACACGACACAAAACGACCATTAAAAGGTCAACTAAAAGATGATCTCACCTTGGGATGGAGACTTCCCGGATGGTGTGCAGGGCGTTGGGTGTGCGGCCAGTCAGTACCGCTACCTCCTGGGGCATGTAGCTCTGGTCCGACTGGGCAACCTTGATGGACAGCTGCTGGAGGTACACGTCGTCCTTCAGGCGCATCCGAACCCAGTGGGAGCGCGCGTGGCCGTTGGATTGCCAGTAGGTGCTGGGGTCGTTGTCCTCCAGCCTGCGTGTACAAAAACAGTTGCGTATTGAGGAATTAGATTTACATCCACTTCAGACTTGCATTTCAGAGTCGAGCTGAACCCAAAACAGCAGCTTTGGAATAGATCTTTGGAATAGTTCAGTTTGGCATGACCCTGGAACGACAGTCTGAAATGGGTGATTCACTGCTCTACCAGCATTGCGTTACGGGACAGGCGACACCAGTTTTCAGTTTATTTTGCCGAACAGTATTCATTTTGCAAAAGCTATAATCTTTGTGGGCAGTGCTATTGGTAGATTTTTCAATTATGGTTCTATTCGGTTCTTTAGTGACTTTGTCATACACGCGCACACGCCACTGATTACAAGCGCCCACTGGCTAAAAACTCAAGTTGCGTTAACTTCCAGTTCCCTTTGTGCTATGCTACACCGTGTGAAGTACGCATGGTTAAGTCAAGATGACGTCACACTAACGAACGGGATAGAGGACAAGGACTCAGCAGTATTTCCTGTTTTTGTCTGCACACTTTAGTAAGATATTTCCTGTTATATTAACAAGGCATCTGAATACATTTGCAATGGTGATGTCCAACACTATAACAATGCATGATTAAATACAGCATGATATTATTTAGGAAGGTAACCAAGAAGTTTAGAAGCGGCTTCTTCAAGGGAAACGCAAAATACAAATTTGTAGTTTTCCTACAATAAAGAAGCTACGGTGGTGGACATGCAGGTCACTTGCTAAGAATTGCTTTTCACTGTGTTCAATAATAATTAGTTGACTTGTTGATCCACTCAGCACCCTTACCATTGCACTGAATTGTGGGTGGATGATACGCGGATCCACTTGTAACACTTGCTGACTACTTTGACGCTGCCCCCTTCGTCCTGTATCAACTCCTTCATAGCTGAGTAATATACAAGAAAAGAGCTTCAGACATTTCAGGCATTTCAGTCATTCCAGGCATTCGCAGTCGAAATTGATCATTTTCAATCCCATACCCATATGATATCCTTGTTCATACTGTTTCACACCTTGGGATTTCCCATGCTAAGTGCATGTGTACTGAAGGGTGCAGGCCAGTAAATGGGCCTAAAATTGACTATGCCGGCCAAATCACGATTGGTATGCCCTCATTCTTTTGCTATTATAGCATTTGTCAGGCCATGAACTTGAAGGATGGTAAAAAAGAATGGTGGAGGCCATGATCAGGACTAAAACATTGTATTTCTGTGAAAATTGGATGAAATTAGGCCTAAAGTTGCTATTTTTTTGCAAGGGAGCGCAGGCATCATTTTTCAAAGTAGTGTTGGGCTTCATGACTACTTTTTAGGGGTGATTGTCTTTGGATGGAATATTCTCCCAATAAGTCAGCAGATTACCCCTAAACAAAAATTGAACTGAAAATGAAACATGAAATTAGCTTTAATTTGATGGGTGTCTCAAAGACCTCAGAGGGTAGTGAGTATTTGTCCTGATCTTGAGAAGTGGCGGTATTTAACATTGAGGTCTATGGCAGTTTATTTACTGGTCTGCAAACGCATACTATGTGGTATCTGAAGCCTGACTAAGTGCCAAGCACATGTACATGAACATGTCTAGTTCCCGGAAGACACATTCCTACCCAACTGCTTGTTGCTGAATTGATGACAATGTTGCTTAACTGTTAAGTTGTAAACAAGGTAAAGTATGTTTGCAACTTTGGAATTCGCTCTTTTCAAGCTCCGCCATCAGCATGCAGAGGCTCGATCTGGCAACTTTACACAATTCAAATAAGCCGCTTTCGACACTGGAATCACTGAACTGGCTATATTTATTGTGTAAAGTTGTGGCTCTGCATGCTGATGGCGGAAGCGTGCAAATAGCGAGTAATGTCACATGGTCCATTATTGAACTGTACAGTTCAAACTCATTTTGTAAAACATTTTCTTGTAGGTGCGAGAATTTGTGCCGAAGTTCTTCAGCTATTTGAAGGTCAAATTTCCACCTAGAAATCCAGACGTTGTTTTTTTCCAACCTCACCTGTTTCTTTCTGTTTCTGGTTCAGGTATTTCTTGAGGACAATCAGCCTCATGGAGGTGATGTTACTGAAGCTGTTCAAATAGAAGAACGGTAGTCCGGTGCTCGGTGCCCGATTCCTCAAAATGTACTGTGCAGATAAAAGAAACCAGACTTACTCAGACTTTTTCATCCTTTGGCATTTGCAAAGAGCCCTCCCGAATTCATCAAAACCCCAAACCTTGACAGTAATGTAAACGCAAATACACAATTACTCTAACAAAATTTGGAAATCTAGGTCTGTGTAAAACTGATTGTGGTTGCCTTTTACAATTTTTGTGTAAAACTAGTGGTGGGGTTAAAATTCAGATTTTTTTAAACTCGGTTTTGAATTCCACTATGCGGTTTGGATTATGGAAACTGGATATTCGAAACCAGCTTTAAAAAAATTGGGACTTCTATTTTTTGTGACACCAGCTAAAGAAAACAACTGGAACATCTCCTAATTTGCTCCGTGGTCTCTGATTGTAACTACATTCACTCACTAGCGGTCTTCTTGGTATATGAATAGCCTACCCATTTGACTTATCAGAGAGTTCCAACCCATTTTTTCAACATAACAGCTATTTATAAGATGGATTTTTTTTTTGCGTCGGGGTGTTGTAAATCAAGTTAGGTTTTGCCCTTCACCGACGTATAAACACTGAATACTCGGTGCGTTACCTCTTGAGTGAAAGTTGGAAAAAATCACTCGGGTGGGACTCGAAAAAATTCCATCTTATGAACAGTTAATGCGGTACCTGCTGCTATGTACATCAGATTTGAACCAGCCAACCGATCCCATTAGCTCTGTGGTCGAGTGGTAAGACGTCCGAACTAGAAAGCAGGAGGTCGTGGATTCGAGTTTCACCGGAGTGATTTTTTTTCCAACTTTCAATCGGGAGGCAACACACTGAGTATACAGTGTTAATACGTCTGTGAAGGGTAAAACCTAATTTGATTAACATTACAGCTCTTAAGTGTTTTTTTTTTCAATCCCGCAAACTTCATGTATACCAAATCATCCTATACGGCATTCCGTGTATCACCTCGCTCGGCATGACTGTCATCGTTATTCGGTTTGAAGAAAATTAGGATAACCAGATTTTCAAATTTCCGATTTCTCCCGCCAATATGTAAAACCAAAAGAAATCAAAACCACTGAAGACCAGAAATTCAAATGGCCTACTTTGACTAGTTTCCTTCCATGCTGACCTATGCCCTCCCTGTTGGTAGAATACACATCCACTAGTCCTGTCAAGATGGATAAAAAAAACCCAGAAATTAAATAAGTAAACATACTTGTTTGTAAGCACCTATGAAGTATGGCCGTGTTTAATATGAATGTCCAGAGAGCTATGGCCAGGTTCATAGTCAGCATGCACCATAAGCACCAGGACAAGTTTTGTAATACCTGGTGTTTTTATTTTAGTTGGTGTTTTAGTTGTGTCATTCCTCCTGTGTACAAATTTACTGGTAAACGGCCTGCGTATGTCTAAGTTACCCCACATTTCCAACTGGAGTGCTTTATTCCGAGCAGAGCAGTTAGGTTTCCATGGGCCTTATTCACGAGTTGGCCATTTTTGTCGAGTTCCCTGACTGTATTTCATAAATTGTTAACTGTTGAATGGGATGGCGCCAGACTATTTATGCAGGCACAAGGCAGTCGTATTTTCTGTAACTTTTTTTTTTTAATCTGGCTTTAAACATTAGGGAATGTTTAATTAAAATTTTTAAACTATTCATTAAAGCAGACTGGAATTAATGAGAAATTAACTTGGTTTCATTTCACTGTAGACTGTACACAGGTTCCAAAAATCATGATTTTACCTCACTCTCAATCCAATATGGCCGACTCGTGAATAAGGCCCATTGTTGAGAATAATTGTTATTCACAGACACTATTCATAGAAACAATTTTGGAGGATTATAATTGAAATTATTGTTTGAAGACACAAAGAACATTATTAAAATCTCTGTGGTAAAAATATATAATAAGTGTATTTTGGAATGAAAACAGCACTCTTTTGTACTCTATTTTGTCATCCAAAAACATTGATTTCATATGGGCTAGCTGCAAAGATTGATACTGATGCTTTGAAGTAATGTATAGAGATTTTTCTAAAGGACAAAAATACTCATAAATGTCGTGTTATTGAACCTGAAACATCCCATTAGAAAGCTGGTATCCAATTCAAAAAATTTAGTTTTGAGGTGGTTATGACTCACAGAACTTTTAACATTGATGAGAGATGTCAGGTTTTGACATGGCATTGTCATGTTACGATGAGAATATTTCTGTTTTAAGTAGTTTACCTGGTGTTAGACTGCACGTCTGCAGTGTGCGTACCACGTAGGACAGCTCCCCTGTCAGGTTAGCGCCACTGGATGACTTGAAGGTCTCCAACATGCTGGCCACCTCAATGAATCCCTCACCGTCCACATCAAACTGATCAAATGCCTGGGGGAGGATCACAGCCACAAAAAAAATCACATTCCTGGTTCCCAGAATCATACTCGGTTGCATATCGAGTCAGGTTGACGTAGCGGTACTTTCCTCGCCTTCCACCACTTGGCCAAGGCGGGTTCAACATGTGGATTGGGTTTTCAGTCCCTGCCTGATTCCGTGGGTGTTCCCTAGGATATCATTCTGGGGTTTTCCTCCTGAATGCCAAAGGGGAGTCAGGTTTGCATAGCGGTACTTTCCTCTCCTTCCACCGCTGTAGCCCTGGTTCGAATCCCGCCTGGGCCAATATGTGGATTTGGTTTTCAGTCCCTGCCTGATTCCGTGGGTTTTCCCTGGGATATCAATCCAGGATTTTCCTCCCGAACGCAAAAGGGGAGTCAGGTTGGCGTAGCGGTACTTTCCTCGCCTTCCACCGCTGTGACCCGGGTTCAAATCCCACCTGGGCCAACATGTGGATTGGGTTTTCAGTCCCTGCCTGATTCCTTAGGTTTCCACCTGAATATTCTTCTGGGGTTTTCCTCCCACCTCTAAAACTGTAATTTCTTCTCATTGTCTCTTCTCTATAAGTTTTTTCAGGCTTGCGAGCTACAGTGCCTAGGGCGCTTTTGAGGAATCCTTGGTTTCATTACCAGAAATAAATAATAATAATAATAATAGTATTTACCCTGGATTGGGCATTTGGGCGACATCCCCATAGATTTGTATACACAATTTTTCAAACTTAAATGTGCCCTAACCCAATTTCCTTGTCCTTTTTCCACGAATTTCGGTATGATTACTAATTAGACCACGAGCAACAAATATAATCTAATTGTGACGATAAAATTGTGCCTCTTAAGGAAGGCTGTGACATTTTTTATAAGCTCCCTAATGACCGATGTCTCCCACCGTTCGGTTACTCACGTTACATTTTCGTAACGTGAGCAACCGATTTTGTGCGTCTTGTTTATCATACATAACACATTTTTCTGGATGTCATCTTTGGTGCTTAGGTAGGTCTAGATCTACTCTATCTACCATGGGGAAAACAGTTATTAAACCTTTTCAGTAAGGTAATAACAGCCCAAGGAAACTCAAAAGTACATCAAAATGTAACGTGAGTAACCGTGTAATTGCCCACATGGTTCTATATACTTTAAAATGGAAATTATTCATATTCTTCCAAGAGGTATCTTGAATTCGCAAAAAAAATACAATTTATTTGGATTATTTTTTTTTTCCCCAAATAAAACACTACAGCAAAATATACCTCCACACAGTCGTCTCGCCCAACTCCTCTGGCCATCAGAAATTCACAGAATTGCGACAAGGAAACAGCCTCCTGAAATAAATAATAATAATAATACTGAACAATTATATAGCGCTCTAACTGTCATAGAAAGTACCACAGCGCTTTACACAAAAATTGACGAAAATCCCCCCCAAAAAACACCAGAAAACAGAACAAGAAATAAACCACATTCAAAATACATGAGTAAGTAATAACAAATCAATTAAACAGATCAGTTAAACAGATGGGTTTTCAGGGATTTTTTGAATGTTGCTAGTGAGCTAGAGTGGCGGATGATATAGGGTAAATTGTTCCAGAGTTTAGGGGCAGCAGCGTGGAAGCTTTTCTCTCCAGTGGAAGTGCGAGTTTTTGGTACACGGAGTAATCTGGTGTCAGTAGATGATCGGAGGCTTCTGGTCGGCTTGTAAAGCTGAATGAGTTCGGTTAAGTATGAAGGTGCAGAGTCAGTGTTAAGACATTGGTAAACGAGGGTCAGAAGTTTGAAGTTGATTCGGTTGGGGATTGTCAGCCAGTGAAGATCGTGGAGGATAGGAGTGACGTTGTCATATTTTCCAGCCTGATAAATCAGTTTAGCAGCACGATTTTGGAGCCGTTGACGGCGTTTGCAGTCAGTAGATGTTATACCGAACAGGAAACATTTCGTCACAGAACATTTCATGGAACTGTTCCAAAACCTCTGACACATCATCAACATTGGAATCTACTAAAGGGAAGTTCACGCTAATCCATCCTACTTTTTTTTCTGTGAAGCTTCCTGTACAGTACAGGGGAGTAAAAAAAAACAACGAAACCTAAGGCCAAAAAAAAAAAGTCTCCGGTTTCTGGTATGGAGCTTGCCCAAAAAGTGGTGCTGCGACGCGGCTTTTTTTTTTTTTTACCTGATTATTTTTGCTTCAAATGTCGGCTGATGACTGCAAATGGTGCCCGACTAAACTTAGTGCAAATATTATGGGAGACCAGAGAGGCCACATTAAGCTTATTCTCGATCATAACCCCATCCAAAAACACGTTAAAATTGTGCAGCAGCAGGATTCCAGTCAAACCAGTGAGTTTGGCGGTTTTGAGATTTCATCTTTCATTGAAAAAAAAACTTTTTCATTTTGCCGACGCGCATGGCTACGGCGACGCGCGCGCATACCAGAAACCGGAGACTTTTGTTTTTTGGCCTAAATGTCGGGACCATTTTTTTTAGTGAAGTTCTGCATTCAAAATCTAGGATATGAAAGCCCAATTCATAGGCTTTCTTTTAGTACAAATTCAAATCACTCATGCGCTTTTCAAGTTTGAATTGTAAACACAAACACTGTTTTAAATTTCTATCCACGGATCACAAAAAAGGTAAGTGTTCTTTCAGCAAAACGAAAACAATTCACACAGGGATGTGTGTGATTTGTTTTCGGTTTGCTGAAAGAACACTAACCTTTTTTTGTGATCCGTGGACAGTACTTCAAAACAAATCGCTACCCAAAACAAATCCCAGCAAACCCTTCGCTGTATTCAAGCAAATGCAAATGCACACGAGGTATGCTTGGAATTTCCTGGGTAGCGTTGCCGAAGTTCTGAAGACTGGATATGGTTTAGGGGAATAAAATCCAAGCCCCGTCTTGGATTAAGACTAGTTCAGTAACTGACCTCATGACGGTGGTCTTTCTCCTCCAGCCAACTCAGCATGTAACTGTGATGTTTCTGGAGCATCGACTCGGGAATGTAGTCTCTGTCAAAATAAAAGTTCAATCCAAAAGTAAATTTAGTCCTTTTACCGTCCCAAATTGCCCTGCCTATTACTCCCTGTACTGCCCAAAACTCTTTTTACGGTTTAATTGATGTAATGCAGTGTAGTATAGGTGCTTAATGCACATCAAGCTTGCCAACATGTAGCCCTAACCTTCCCAAATCCTCCAAAATCCTCTTTGCAAAATGGAGGATTTTGCAGGATTGAGGCTAAATGGCAACAAAAAGGGGCTGATTTTGGAGGATGCACTGTGTCAAGGTCTTGGGCTGGACCTTGTGTTGTTTATGCTCGCCCGGGCATAAATATAGGCATATATTATACTTGAAATCCTTCGCACTGCTCCAGGATGTCACTGGCTCTGCCTCAATATATTGACAGTTATTGCCGGGGGATTTTGCAGGATTGCGGCAGTGGTCACCCCTCCAAGGACCACATTCAAGAAATAATAGAGGATTTTGCAGGATTGGGGCTGCATCCCAGAAAAAAAATGCCTAGGTATTAGGGTTAAAGACTCAAATTTGCCATGGCTTTACTTTTCCTAGTCTTAATTTGAGTGTCCTTTGAGATATTTTAAAGACATTTAGATTTCCCGATGCACTGTGATTCTATTCAACTTTAGTTGTCTGCATCATTAAAACCAGAGAAATCATTTTCAAGACCCATTTTGAAAATAAACAATCAGCCTTTGTGAAATATGCTGGACATAATGGGTGGGCGGTATATTGAGAGGGTAAAATTTGGTAGGTACCCAATTTTACCCATTCCAATTAACCTAACGCGGTGGAATCGCGTCAACGCAGCTTGTGAAATTATTGTCCAATTACATGAAATGGACGTGGAACGCGCAAAATCTGAGACACACAAAACTTAACGCACAAAAGTCCATGCGGTTGTCTAATGGGCACTGGTTAACTCGCAACAGGCGTTAGGTCAATTTTGTCCAAAAAAATTCTGGGCCTCCGTGGTTTTTTTTAAAAAGGTTTGCAACTGATGGATGATATCGTACTTGACTTTGGATGCTGCTTCTCGCAAGCTGGAGTGATGAAATAACTGGGACAGATCAAAGTCAGTCTTGTCTCCTCCTTCTGCATCTATACATATGCATCACAAATGATGAATATTCATAAATTAACAGGTTTAATCATACTGTATTACAAGATAAATATCACAACATTAAGAAATTTAGATATAAATTGGAGAACTGCAGTGATATGAAAAAATACAACTGTGCTGACATTTCTTTCAAACTATCTGAGTATCAAAAAAGCATGACAAATAGTAACAAAACTCTGGTAGCATAATTTGGCAACAATAACCCTACATACACCTTTAGGCAATGATCACTTAGAGAAACAAACGAAGGAGAATTCAAAATGTATGCAATAAGTATTAATGAAAAGAAAATGGTACTAACTGTTTTTCAAAGCATAGCTTGATGATAAAAACAATGAACAAGTCTTTAAAAAAAAATTATATGGCAATGCCCAATATTCAAAGTGGTACCCTCTTTGAAACACTAAACTTCAAGCATCATGGTCTTGAGAATAAGCTTTAAGGTCTCAATATTTACCTTGTTTGGTTGAGGTGACCTTCTGACCTTCTCCATCACTCTGTAAATAAAAAATGAAGCATTTTAAAAGCAAATGGAGAGGATACATTATTTTGCAACAACTGAACCTTAATAATATGAAAACCTTATTGATGGTCAGTCACCGCTACATGTGTTGCAAAAAGTGTTTTTGTTGAAAAGGTGTGTGAAATACCTGAGGGGGGGGGGAGACAAATATTGGTTGAGAACATTTTTTTAGAATAAAAAAGTTTTGTGATATTCATGACTCCAATATTCTCATACACAATATACAAATGGGTTTTGTAGGGGTTCAGGTTGGCAGTACTGTCCTTGCCTTCCAATGCTCTGAATCAGTGGTGTAAATCTGTGCCGGCGAGTGGGGGATTACCAAAATCCAAAAATTGCCCGGACACGGAAATTCGAAAAGCGGGGGAAGGGGGGGGGGGGGGTACGCCACACTACAATAGGGGATGCTGTTTATGATACATGTGTATGTAACCTTACAGAAAACAGTGCATTTATAAAAGCTTTCGTACTTTTTTTCCTGTTTTTCAGTGCTGTTGAATACACTTTGGTTGTTCAAATTAAATACTTTGTTTAAGACCGGTTTGGAGTTTCGATCATTTCCAACACTGTTTACCTCGGAAAAGTTTTATATCCCAGCATTTTCGAAATCTGTTCGGGCATGATTCGGACATGCACCACACCGGCTTCCGCCCCTTTCATTATCGTTCTTGCTGTAATCTAGCCATGTCTAGCGATAGCGGTGGGAACCATGCCGCATGTTGGAAAACGAAGTTATCCGAGGATTTGTGAGAAATTTGTCCAAACAAACACACTTTATTGGAGAAAATACACACTTAACAGAAATATTTTAATATAAAAAAAATTGGGGCGGGCAGGGATGAAAACTTGACAGGTTAAACAGAAATTCATGAAATTGCCCCCCCCCCCCCAGTGTGTAACATCCAGCCCCCCCCCCCCCATAGTAACATCCTGCCCCCCCCCCCCCCCCAGTAACATCCAGCACCCCCCCCCCCCCCCCAGTAACATCCAGCACACAGTAACATCCAGCACACCCTTTGCTGAAGCTCAAACCGGCATTCATGTTGCCTGGCCAGCGGCATGCAGTGCGGACCGCGCCGGACTAACTCCGGCCAACGCCGTACCGCCCCGGCCCCGCAGAGTTAAGTTGCAGACTGCGCTCTGGTCGCTGGCTGTGCTGTGTTCGTGGTGATTAGACCCGTGAACGTGGCGTTGTATACAACGCCACGTTCTTGTTTCATTTCGAACCTGGCGAAATCGATCCGACAGACATAATTCCGTATGGGTGTTGAGTACTCACCTAGAAATCTATATTTGCCCGTCCGATTGTTTCGGCTGTGTAATTTCGACGAAATTTGCCCATCAGTAAAGACCCATACGAACGTGTAGAAATTAGATTTTAACCTGACCCTGACAAATAACCCCGGACGCGTCTGAGTCGCTTGGACAGATTGACGGCTGTTTCATGTCGCAACCCCGAAAAAAAAAAACCCCGCAGACGATTGGCTGCTCGGCTCATCTCGTGTACAGTACGTGTGTGCACACACACGCGGGCGCACGTGCGACCGCGTGCGGTGCGGTGAGAGAGGAAAGGACTTGAAACTTGTCTAAAACGATGTCTGTTTTAGCTGCGACAGTAAACAGCCGTCAATCATACGAAAATAAAACGCAATGCGCGTGCGTCAGTTGGGAGAAAATGGCAGCTAGCAGTAGCGGACGGACTTCATGAACCGGGGCCAGAATTTTCCTCAATTTTCGTCAAATGCAAGTTTTGACGTACAAATAGAATTCAAGACAGCTTCATATGTGAGTACTTATTACATAGGCAAAATAACGTCCAGTGTGTGTAACGGAGGGAGTCAGAGGGACACGTTCGCCAGGTTCGAAATGACATAAGAACGTGGCGTAGTTTACAAGCCACGTTCACGGGTCTACGTGGTGATCTGACCATCGAAGTTTCTAATCTTACCGTATCAAAGCTACTGCTGTCATCATCACTGTCGCTGCTGCTGGTACCACTTGAAGCACTTCCCATCATTACTCTTGCACACTTTCGTCAACGTTTTAGACTGAAATGGGTTAATTTGGGAACACTCCGGTGCCACTTTCAAGCTTTAGGATTCGGGACTCCCCAATATTTCATGACGGAAGTACGGCCTACCTAACCTACAATATTGCAATATGCATGAAAAACACGGGCGCAGCCATTAGCGGCGCTTTCAATTCATTTTAGGGTATATTTTTTTAATTGGAAAATAAATTTTTATCAAAAAACAAATATTGTTGGTCGAACTTTTGTATTCTTTAAAAAAAAAATAATACAAGTGTTATCCAGTAAATTTATGTAGGAAAATATTATTCTGAAGCGATTAATTAAATTAATTTAATTTCAGTTTCAAGTTATTGTTACCGAAAAAAAAGTCGACGAATCTGTACTCAGGGCGAGATTCTTCGAAAATATGCGAGATTTGGGTGCAGTCTGGTTCCAGTCATTTTTCCCATGTACTTTGGTATTACTCTAGTCTGATTCCTGAACCCTAATCGTTCGAGTGCGTATTAATGGGCATAGTGACCGTTTTAGCCGATTTTCGGCTAACTTTGACAGATTTTTTGTTAAAACGAGTTTGACAGAAAATCTGGCAGAATTGATTTTTTTGGGGCAGATTTCTGGCAGAATTTTGCAAAAATGGTTGACAGAAAAACAGCAAGTTTGAAACAAAATGGTACATTTGTTTTAAAAAACAGCGCCAATCTTTTTCAAACAAACCCTTGCAAAATGGGACAGGTTGCCTGGTTTAGGCGCTGAGGTTCACTGGAGCGAGATCGTAGTCGTGACGTATAACTGCATTTTGCCTAAAATTTACGCAATTTCATAACAATTTTAATTTGTCCATAGATTAATTTATAATGTAATTTGAACCTTAATTAAGGCAATATTACAGCATTTGCATGTGATTTTAAGTGTTTATAGGGTATTTCGAGTAATTCTGATTTCTGGGCAGTTTGGCAGATTTTTGATAAATCTGACAGATTTTTAAAGTGAATTTAGCAGAATTTGGCCATGACCTTACGGTCACCCTGTTAATGGGCGAGGGATCCGAACGAAATTTTGACTCGCGATCGTCGGCTGCATGCCTGAGGAGAGTGCCCGACCTCAAAATGGCTTCAAATGGTATGTTTTTCAAATAATCTACGCATGAAATTTTGAAACAAATATTTCACAAACTACTCCTTAAAATTTGGTTGTTATATGTACAGCGATCATGCGATCTCTGTGGCTTGATCAGTGAAAGTTTACATGTTTTTGGACCCAACGATGACGGTGGACGACCCTCGGCTCTTGCATCGTATACATACATGTACTGTACATGTACATGTACATGATGTAGCATGCAGCCGCGTAGGCTCCATGGCAGTATGCACATAGGCCGGCCGAGGCCGTTTTCTCTGCAGGCATTCTGGATCGTACTTTTACAGTACACATTGGCTATCTTTACGGCAGCCGTAACGCGATTTTCAACTGATATTGTTACAGTGTTGCAAAATCACCATTGTGAATCTATATCACATTTAGGAAAGAATTCCATACAGGTAGGATGGGTTGCCCTATTATCGCGGTACTTATCACGTTTCTCGTTCGGAATAGAAATTGCCAACTAACCTTCCTGAATTGTCCTGTCTTTTGTGTAGTATAACTCTTCCTTTTTAAATTAATATAAAAAAATCCGACGGTTTGGTGGTCTATTCCGTGTACGATGCCTGTGAAAATAGACATGCGCGGCGTGTGCGAACGGAGGTGGACTCCCTATTATCGCGGTATGCGGGAAGTGGTTTTTATAATGATCCCAACTTTTTTGTTCATAGTTTATCTTTGACCAAAACACCCCCTGAATAAAGTCTGATATTTTCCCTGTAACGTTCAAGTTGATTAAAGACAAATTTTCTGCAGGATGATTTCTTAAGACCCTGCCCTTCCCCCGAAAGGAGAACACAAATCCCTGAGGCAAGTCTACTGATCGGCGATTGAAGGCGCCATTCACTTTACACGGTGTGCCGTTTTATTTTCGCTATCGCGCGGTGCTTATTTTGATCCCGTAAATGTTGTTACGATTTCGCGCTGCAAATATCGTCGTTCGACTTCATTTTACATTTGCAGCTGAAGAATGGGAACCAGACAATGGAACTTTCATGGACAGAGCACAATTAAAGATTTATGTTAAAATATAAACGGTACCTTTTAGCAGACACGGTGAGGGAACATTTTGCAAGTTTTGGAAAACGTTAATATTTATTAAAATCGTTAAAAGTCCCGAAAGACACAACATTTTTTAATCGTCCTTTTTATACAACTCGGTAGAAAATCCTTGATGACTGGTGAACTGGATAAAAATCGCCACTTGAAGGAGTTTTGACAACGCAAAAAGAGAAATTTCCCATGCCGCGATAATAGGGATGCCGCGATAATAGGGAGTCCGAGTATATGTCACTTTTTCAATCAATTTTCAAGCGCCAAAAAGTTACTTTCTATGGTTCTTTCATCTATTGGGAAAAGTTCCATACTCGGATGTCAATTTATCTGCTGCCAAACATATTTATTGTCACCTCACCTTGTCATTTGAACGAAAAGAAATCCAGGAAGCTGTGTAAAGGTGAAAAAAATGTACTCAAAATGTGTTTTTAGAGCACATTTTGGATGCATACGTCGTACAGAACTAACTTAAAGCAGCCGGTCAAAACTGATTGCAGTGGCTGAAAAGACAGCGGTACGTTATACACGTGACATCAACAACCATGACGTCGCATGAGCCTGCCAATGATAGTTCAATACGTCATTATGAATATTTATTTTCTCATGAATATTTAGTTTATTTCAATGGATACTTCAAATACGTCCAAAGATTGATGATTGCAACAGCGATCGTGCGCGGCCTAGCGGTTAAGAGTCTCGTATATCAAGCAAGCGTCAGAGGTTCGAATCCCGATGAAGTAACTGACTGATTAATAAATAGAAATTAAGGAAAGGAGAGGGTGAGAGTAGAGGAGGGAAAGTGGAGGAATAACCATAAAAGATGTAACTTTTGGCGCTAGAAAATTAATTGAAAAAAGTGACGTCCGAGTATGGAATTTTTTCCTCTTGTTATTTAAATTTTAATCACACCAGCCTTACCTGCTACACTAGTCGAACGATTGTTGCCATATTTGATGTATTTAGAGCATAACTAAGGCTAATGAATATGTAGGCCTAATAAACTAAATGTCCATGATGACGTCATGATTCTGAAACCTCACAAAGTCCTTTGAGATTGTACAAAGAATATTAAAGTGTAATTTGGTAAAACTGTGAAAAATGGTTTTTAAATTCAAGTTTCATCTATCTTTGACGTCCTTTCAAGTAATGATGTCATCATTGCAATTTTTTTTTTGGACATCTTCACTGATTATTTACACGGCCTATAACTAGTAAAATGCTTCCAGTTTCAAGTTATATTCAATTTTCACTTCCGGTAACACTGGGATAAAGGGTTAACGACTAAGTGCCCGGGAAATCAAAATACATGTATTGCTCTAGACACTGTCTAACTGATCACATAAAAGCGAGAACGGTACTCCACTAGTTCAAACTATTTTTTAAAATGTTGACATTAAATCTCTTAATTGTAATTTAATACCTGATGATGTCATGATGACGTAACAACATTTGTTTCACGTTCATATACTAGGTTTTATCATCATCCCACAAACAGTTTAGGAGAAATTTCTGCGTTTGAATTCACCTAACTTTGACATTGCGGTAGTACCGGAAGTAAACGTTGAGCGACTTTATGTACACAACGAAAAACATTTTTCAATTTATTAACCCTAACCCACCTCACTCCTCCAAAATCCTCCTGGCGGTTTTGGAGGATTCTAGAGGATTGAGGATGAATGGTGATTGAATCAAATGAGGATTCTGGAGGATTGAGGATGAATGGTGATTGAAGCACATGAGGATTTTTGAGGATGAATGGTGAATGAAGCACAAGAGGATTTTGGAGGATTGAGGATGAATGCATTTTGAGGCAGGACTGTCTGATGATTTTGAAGGATTTGGCGTTGGTTATCCTTCATTTAAACACGAGTGCAAAGTTTTGGGATGAGGAGGATTTTGGAGGATTGAGGATGAATGCATTTTGAGGCAGGACTGTCTGACAATTTTGAAAAATTTAGGCGGAGTTGAAAAATTTTGGAGGATTTTGGAGGATTGAGGATGGTTGTAAGCAACAAGGGCCTAGGGGGTTAGGGTGGTCTATCTGATTACAAAATACCAAAATAAATGATTATTTTGTTCCAAGAGTTATAAGTGAAAGAAGTTGGTAACTTTTTCAACTAAAATTGCTTGTAATTTGAAACCCAGTGACGTCATCATGACGTCAGAGTTATTTGCACCACTCGGGGTCAGGGATGTCGGTTCAAAGTTACAAGTTTATACCGTAAACCATTGAGGAGAAAACTTGCGGAGAATTACAGTCCAAAACCAAAATAAAAATAGAAACAAAGAAGCTTTATTTGAACAATTCTAAAAAAGTGATCCAGTTGTGCCCGACAGTCCAGTGTTTCCCCTGGCTAATGAACTGAGCGAGGTGGTAACAATTCAAGTTGATGATTGAAACGAAATTTACGCAGTCTGCAAACTGAAAAGAATGCAGCGCTCACAAAAATGCGCGATGATTCCAAAAACACATCGAAATTGTGAGTTCTTGATACATGGAGTTAAAGGAAAATGCTCATATATTACACAAAATGAAAATTTTTCAATTGATATTTCCTTTTTTGCCAATCTTCACAGCGAGGTGGTGATATTGGCAAAAATTGAGCGAGGTGGTCACTGCAAGTAGCGAGGTGGGCCACCTCATGTTTGAATGGGCAGGGGAAACACTGGTGCCCGATCACTCAATAAATAATCGATATCAAAAATAGCTCAATCCTGAGAAGATGTCATCATGCAAATTCTTTAATAGTATGACCTCCTTGGTTAGAATACATAAAAACATTACATATCCAGCAAAACAAGGTTCACCCCTCTGGCTTTCCTGGACCACCTCATTTTCATCACAGTGCATCTACATGTAGAATCCAAAATTTTCTGAGGCCCTTACATCATCAGGGCTCAGAAAATAAAGAATTAAACTTTGATAAAACAGACAGGAAGGAATTTACTAAATGTAAGAAAGTAGCCTTGAAACAATAATATCAGGCACGGATGGGTAAACCCCCCCCCCCCCACTCTGTCCAAACAAAAATTATCATACAAATTCCTAAAAAATAATGGGAACACCCCCCCCCCCCTGCTGTGACACCCAAAAAAACTATACTTGTGTAATGTCCACCTGTTCAAAATACGGTACACCATCCTGTAATCTAGTGTTAATAATCGTCGAATTTGAACAGCGCCCCCTATTGAAATATGGTACCAGCCCCCCCCCAGTTTTTGATTTTACGGAGGCCAATAGAAAAAACCCTGTGTACATTTTCAGAATTTTTTGCTGATGAAAACGCCTCCCCCTGCAAAAATTCCTGGATCCGCCCCTGTATTTACAAACGATGTTATACATAATGATACAATTCCTTTTCCAGAATTAAATGGAACAAAAAAAGGAGATAAACATAACTTTTGCTGTGCCAGGAATCGCCTCAGATTGCACCACAGAGCATCTAGAATCGAACATTGTTTAGGGCCCTTAAGCGAGCCCTGGAACGTACCCCGTAAGGGCGTTGCGCTCTGCGCTCGCATTAATTTTGTCCTTCTTTAGAAATTCCAGCACCCCCTGGCAAAAGTTTGTTCCAGCGGGCTTGGAATGGAAGCTCTGGTGAAATCAGATAACCATAATTCGGTTTTAAATTTTTTTTAGGATAACCAGATTTTGAAATCTCCGATATCTTTTACCACTATCTTTTTTTATCAGGCCATGAGAATTTTCAGATTTTTGTCCAAAATCAGAATTTTTGAATCTGGGAGAAAGACATTAGCAGTATAGAAAGATATGCATTTTTCAGACACTTCGTCAATTTTCAGATTTTTTTTCAATTGATGATCTCATCCCTGTTTTATCTCAATATCGCAGCAGAAACAGAAACAGATTCATAAAAGTATTTCAAGTTGTATCATAGTTGTGGTTCTTTTATGTGCATTGC